TACAATTGAATCCGTGGATGGGATGCCTGAATTTTAATACATTTTATCGCGTGCTCCCCTCAGACAGAGACATAGCTGCCGAACTGCTAAGAATCTTCTCATCATAAGAGAGATATCCCCATATTTAATTTTGTTTTTATTTTCACTTTGCTTTAGTCTTTTTAGCTAATCATTGCCCTTATATTTTTTTACCATTAAGATTCTCTATAATAAATTTCCTTTTAGCTTCAATTTTATAATAGTATAGTATAATAATACTTCTGACTATATTTGACTGTGACTGGCCAGTCGAGAAAATATCTAAAAATTACATTTTATAATATAATTTATATATTATAACATAATTTTCATTAATATTGCATAATTTATATATTATGTGTATAAATTATATTTAGACTTACATAGAAAAAAAAGCAATAACAGAAATTGTGTGATTATCAGGCAATTAGACCTCATGACCATTAGCGACGGTCACTTCAAGAAAACAAATCTTTTAATAAATTGGTTTAAAAAAAAAAAAAACATTTTTGTAAATTTTTTATATATTTTAACTAAACTCTTTAGATTTGCAAAGGGCTAAGCTTTAGTATATTTTTCTTATTGATCTAATTTAAATTTAAATCTTAAATTGCCAAAAATAATTTTAATAATTCTCAGGTTTTTATTAGTTTGTTCTTAGTGTGTAAAAGCCGCAGCACTTATTCTATAAACTCTATCAGAATGCAAAGTGTTTTGCTGCCACACCTTGCTGGCCCAGGTGGGGTAGACTTCAGCCCCCTCTCTCGCATCCCCCTTCTCGCTAACTGACTGGCCCTTTGGCAATTCTAGAAGCTGCATAAAATGCGTTCACAGTTGGCGCTCGAGCTGCCTAAATGCAATTTCAATGAGCACAATTCCCCCAACCTAAGCTCTATATAAATATATAGAACATACATATATATATACGAATACGTACGTATACTCTGTATAAGTATATGTATATTGGCAACCGTGCGGCAGTAATAGCCAACGGAAGTAATTGAATTTTGTGCAAACGAGTTGAAGGACGATTTGCCGGCACAATCGCAGCGCTCAATTTATTTTGCAACATTGTTGTTGCTCGTGGTACGGTCGTTGTTGTTGTTGTTGCTGTTGGCTAAAGGATTTTAACGGTTAAGCAGCTAAGCGTACTACTACTTTGCTACTTTGATGTTAGCTAGCCAGTCCATGAGGTCCTTGGGCAGTGACTTATCAAACGCTCGTCAGCCATAAATCGCCAGCTGCCCAATTGTCACGCTCAGTCAAGGAGCTGCCCAAGCGCCGCTAATTGCATGGCAACAGCGGGCGAGAGAGCCAGGTAATCCTATACTGTCTATTGATGACACTATCCATATACACACAATGTCTACTCTACGGGCCTAAGTCGCTTTGTGTCCTTCTCCAAGCAGACGTCCAGCAACTACAACTCGCGCCCGTCCTTGCGCCAGCAGTTTGGTTTATTAATGGGCCTCGACATTCACCGGACTCATAAATCAAAGCCTATGAAATCAACAACAGACGGCTATAAGCTATATCAATGGGTAACGGTAATTGGTCGGTAATTATGTCTAGCTGTGGGTTTACCCACTCTGTCAATGAATTGTTATTTGAATATTTTTTGAGAGCTTTTTTCTTCTTGTTTTTTTATTAATTAAAGCTGAAACTGAGCTGAAATCATAAAAGAAATTGTACAAAAAAAATGTGTTAAATTAAAAAATAAAATCTGAAGTATGAAAACTACATTAGTCTACATTTTATTTATATTTTATGTTTTTTTAATATATAATAAATGTAATAAAAAATAATAAAAAAATAAAATTTAAATTCTAAAAGAGATCCTTGTCCTGGCGAATAATAGTAATAGTAATAAAATATAATTATTAGTGAAACAGCTTTTTAGATATATTTGTTGAGTATTTTCTAGCATTCTTTTATTTAAATATATTTCATATTTTTTCCAATATAAATTTCGTATTGAATCAGATATTCATATATCAAGACACGATTAATCATTTACCATTCACATAGCTTGACTATTGTTTTATGCATAAAAGAAGCTAAAAAGCAGAGAAGCCCTGTCTCAACCATACATCAGCTACAGTAAGAACAATTACAATAGACTTCAGAGACAGTGACACGTATCGAATAAATTGGCGTGAAATCAAGTGGAGGAAGCTCCTGATGCTGCAACACGAGTTTATTGCGTCTTTCGACTCGCACCAATGGCTCAAATTGTATCTCTGCATGGGTCTCTAACTGTTTCTATCTTTTCATAGATAGTTCTCTCGCACCATTCAGTCAACAATTACACCGGATTCTGCTTCTTTTTCACTTTTTACTGCACGCAAGGCGCGTCAACGTCCATTGAAATCCTATCTAATGGCAGCCGCGTGACACAATGTTTGGAAATGTTAGTCGAGGCAAAGCCCCGCGGCAACGGACCTAATCGGAACTCGTTTTAAAGTTTAGGTCATACTGTTGATACAACGATAATAAACGCACTCCTAATTACACACACTCTCATATAACGCATTAAATCACATTAAAGTTTTCGGATTAACGTAACACCCCGGGCTAATTTTTGAAATTAACTGAACTTGTGGCATGACGTCGTGTGTTCTGCTAAACAGAAACGACCAAGTTACTTATTAAAAATATTTAATATAACTTCTTATTTTAAAAATACCGTCGCTTAAAGAAAATATTTCTATTCCTGCAAAAGAATGCAATTCTAATGCAAATATTTATCTTGGACTTTTTTAATTATCTATAAAGAACTTATCCACATCTCAGATTTTAATTCATAGGCAAGGTTATGTTAGGTCTTATTTGATTTCAATTGGAAACTTCTTACCAAATGTACATCGTTTTCCTTAGCTTGTTTCAGTAAATACATTTATAATTTAATACTTATTTCCAGTTTCATAATTCTTTATCTCAACTACTCAAAAAATATGTTTCTTTATTTTTTTCCATTTATTACTAAACAATAAATTTAACTTTAATTTAAATAAATTTAAGTAAATTTAATATTTAAAAAACTAAACCTCACCTCAGAAATTCATCTGAAAAACAAATCGCTTTCCAACACTTAAAATTTACGTCTATTTTGGGAACACATGCGTGTGGCTTTTCCTTAGTTCCCGCTCGAGCCCAACCAAGCAGCACCCGGCCCCGGCCCCGCCCTTTCCCCACATTGCGCAACGTCCGTCGAGGGCTCGCGACTAACATGACCCTAACGGCCTAACGGTAACTGCACGCCATTTTGTATGCGGTCGCACGAGCTTTGAGCATGTTTAAACATGATTAATTCGTGTTGATAAACAGTTATTTTAATTAATCGCCAGGTGTCGCTCGCTGCAGGCCCGCTTTTCGCGTGATTTTGCTGCCACATTTTGAATAAATTCTTTGCTGTTTTTAGTTTATTTTTCTTTTGTTGTTGTTCCACACAGCTTAACAACATTTAAATTTAAATCAACTCTTCATTTCACGTGACATATATATATGTAAATATATATATATTTATATCATAACTAATTGCAATCACATTTGGTGGAGCTGCATAAATTTCAAATGTCGAATGCCATTTATCAAACAAAGAAACGCTGGACCAAGGACCAGCTACGACTACACACACTCACACACACAGACACAAACATAGGTAATCAAAAGCCAAGCGAACTTTATCTGAAATTAAAAATCGCCTTTTACATAAATTTTGTCAGCACTTTGCCAATATGCGAATATGTATGTATATAAGAGAATATATATACATATATATATATATGAATGTGTGCGTGTGTGTTGAGCTATGTCCTAGCCAATTGGACTGTAACTGAGCAAAAGTCAGTTGCAGTCAACAACGTAAAAATTTGACCATAATTAAAAGCTGGCTAACAACTTAGACCACGAAAATGTTAACATGCTGAAAAAACCTAAATAAAATACCTAAAACTAAATAAAAGCAGAGTTTTTGTTGTTAGCATTGTTGTAGTTGTTGTTGTTGTTGTATAGGTTACAACTTTTGTATCTTTTGTTGAAAACTTTTGTAAACCTGAACTTTTAAGCAGTATCTGTGCAAAGCTGAAATTCTATCTGTATTGGCTGTTATGCTTGCAGAATTTAATTGCATATCAAGCTTATATAATATTTATGAAAAAACGACAGCTTTGAGTAAACAATAAATATTTCAATTAAAATTTGCATTTACTGCCGGCTTAAATTCATTCAAAAATATTTATTTCTGGCAAGCCCCATCTATGATTCATACTTTCATATGCAATAAATACAAATTTCCATTTAGTTGAAGCTGAAATTCGACCAAAACATATGCGCCATCTATAGCTCACCAAATTTGCATATACTTTAAGGTACGAGCTGAATTTAGACCAAAATATATTTATGCTACATCTACCGCCATCTATGGCTAATGTTTGCAATGCTTCTGCTCTAGCGAAGACACAAACCAGTATTGCCAAACGCATTTGCAAGCAACAATCTATGCAGAACACGTTTTACAGCACTTGAAAAAGTGAAATACTTTTTAAAAGTAAACTGAGAAAAAAAGATTTTTAAATTATAATTAAATATACAATTCCTTTTCCTTTGCCCAGCCCAAGTCAACCAACAGTCAATCAATTTTCAGCTACATGATAAAACACATTCTTGTAATTTATTGTGCAAAAAGTTAAAAGTACTTAATTATACATTTCTACATGAAACAGAATAGATACTTATTAAAGCATAGCTAATTCCTTTTATCATATATAATCATATACATATATAAACATTCTTATATATTAATATCAAATGCTTCAAAGTAACAAATTTCAATTTGTATAAAAAAAAGGAGAGAAAACTCAATAAAAACTGTTTTTTCTTGTGCATATCAAAAGCTGCGCTGCATGAAGTTTGTAAAACTAAAGAGTCTAATACAATTATATATGGAAAATCCAAAAATACATATAATATATATATCTGAATAAATCTTTAGCAATCACATTACTGGCACTTGTTACGTTGAAGCAAATTTCCTTTCATTTTTCATTTTAGTTTTTCATAGTTTTTGTTTTTTTTTTTTTATGTTTTGTAAAGCATTTTCTTGGTTTACACACAGACGAAATTATTTACGTTATTTTCTTTTGCTTGTTTTTAGAGGGAGGGATGGGGCATCATCTACTTTGGGCCCAGATGCAGCTTGCCCAGCAGCTGGGTGGCCTGCTGTCCGGCGCTCTCCTGTGCGTGGCTGGACGCCTCCTGAATGTTCTTCTCGAGTCCTTCGCGCTTCTGGTCCACATACTGATTGGCCTCGTGCAGCTTTTGGTCTACAGCCTGGCTAGTCTGCTTCATGGCGCCATCGATAGCGTTCTCGGCCTGCTTCAGCTTCTGGTCGGCTACAGACTCGGCGGCCTTGACGCTCTTGTTGATGGCCTCGTTGGCTGCCTTTTTGGTCTGGTCCACTGCATTGGCAGCTGCCCGTTGGGAGGCCTCCGCCACATTGGCGGCTACCTGCTTGGAGTTCTGAACGGCGGCGTTGGCCTGATTGACGGTGTTGTCCACAGCCTGTTTTGTTTGATTGACGGCGCCGGCAGCGCGATTTACGCCTTGATCAAGCACCTGTCCAGCCTTCTGTGCCTCGGCGGCGGCCAAAGCGGCAGCATCCTTGGCTAGAAATTAAGTTTATAGAATCTTTAATATCTCGCACTATATTTGCGTGAATTACTGAATTACCTGTGCTTGTTGCCAGTTGCTCGGCCTCGTTCTTGGTCTGCTGCACGGACTGTCCGACCTTCTTGGCCTGCTCCTCGGCTAGTTTCTGTGCCTCGACTGCCTTATCGCTGGCCAACTTCTCAGCCTCATCCTTCTTCTTGCTGAACAAATTGGCGGTCTTGTCGCCAAAGCTCTTCAGAGAGGCTGTCGGAATAGAAACAAAGACTCTATTTTAAAAAATTCCAATTGAACTCAATCTCTTGCTTCGCACATTTGGGCTGTTGGCGGCTGGGATACATTTTGGCTAAGCTTTTAAATTCAACTAAATGATATGCCAGTTGCCGATCATAATTTATAGACTAACATATATTGCAATCAGTCGAGCTTTTGCTTATCGATGGAAATTGTGAAAACTGTGCCCAGACGCTGCTAATTGCCAAAACATAAACAAAAAATGCATGGACACGGCCTGGAATTTCATCGAGCATGAACTAATCAGATCGTAATTACATGCCATGCCTGATTCTCACTACGATTAGACAGTTGACACTCATCCAGCTGCTGCGCAATTCGTGGCGCCTAATTTGGAGGCGGCAACAACAATTTTGAAACGCATCAAATACTACGTGTGCGAAAATGAAACACGTAAGTTGATTAATACGTGGGTGCACGACTACTGAATACTCTGCACATGCACATAAACAAAACGAAACAATCTTAGACGTCTTATAGATAAGTGTGTAGTATGAGTAAATGAAAAATAATAAATAAATAAATGAAATACATGTAAATTTGCCTGACTGAGAGCCAAGTCTTATATCCCTAGCTCTTATGAATCCCGAGTTCCTTGAGGTTAGCATGCAAACTGTAGTCAAATTTGGCTTACGCCAAATATACTACAATAATATAGAAAAGATTTTAGATCGTTAGATCTAAATCGTTAGTTGCTGAGTTCACAGAGAATGACTATAGCTACAACTTTAGGTTGAGCTGCGTAGGACTTGTATAATCAATAGATGCTCTCATACCCAATTTCAAACAGTCTCTGAGTTCGATGAGGTCACGCAGCTAAACAGACTGAACAAGTTGACTAGCAAAGAGACTATACTAATCTAATGCTGACTAATATAAATATATGTATATACATTATAAATACTTAAGGAACGAAGTCTTCGCAGCTTGTAAACAACAACTTGTATGTGTACAGGGTATAGAAAAAAGCAAATTTTAATTATAATTGAATAGGAATTGAGCGCGTCGGAAGCAGTGTCCCAGCCCAGAGAATACGTTCAGCTGCTGCATTCCCATAAAGTGACGTGTGCGTTCACTCAAATAGAAACATTGTGCCATTAAAAGCTGCCGCAACGGCTATCCGCTTGAATCGCCAATTTTCGAGCTATGTAGAACTATTCTGAAAAGGCATGCCGAATGTAACTGTATGTGTTTGTGCATGTACAGTAAACAATGCGAAAATATTTGAATAATTTACAGTATGTGATGTCATAATGGCGATTCATGGTATTTTATTCCAATAGTTTTCAGCTCTTTCTTCTTTATTCACGCTTTCTTGCTGTGCGGCTGTGAAAGCAAAGTGTTTGCATACTAAAACTAAATGGTCTTTCAAATTCAGCAACAATATACAATATGCCATATACATAAAAGAAAACATACTGAATAATAATACTGAAACCGCTATAAAAACTTTTTTACTATTTACATTTTTTGTATATTTTTGGCCAAAAATTTTAATTAACATTTTGATGGGGCCACACGCCGATGGGTGCGAGAAAAACTGGAAAATTTGTGGAATTCTTTGCGAACGCAAAAAGTGATAATAGAACCAAGAAAGTGTGAACAAATGTTAAACAATTGGCCACAAGCACAAGCGGCATGGACAGAGTTGCCCTTGAGCTAGTATGTCAAAAGCTCTTTGCTATAAAACTTGGAGGGGCAGAGGGATTGAGCTTAGGTACGGAGGTTAAGCAGCAACAAATATAAACTCTTAATGCTTCATTCAAGTACATACTGATTATAGATATTTCAGTAAATGTATATATATACAAATATATATAGAACTACTGTGTAGAAATTTCTGAATTGAAATTCTTTAAATTGTTTAATCTAAAAAGCAAATTCTTATTTTTAAACTAAATTTAATATTATAATTCACTCATTGGAAACTGTTGTTAATTTTAAATATAATCTAAGAATAAATACAATTTAATATAGTCAAGTAAGAGGGAATTTTATATTTATTTACTTTATATTATAATAAAAATATTATAAAAAATTTAAAGTGTGTTTAAGTAAACTAAATAGCTCATCTATAACATTGAAATTAGAAAAAGAGCACAAAAAGTGAATATTCATGTATTAATAACTATACATAGAGAAAGTTCTAGCGAAAGAATTTGCTGTTTGGTAAACATCAAGAAACTAATCTATATTTGCATTTAAAAACAAAAGCCAATTTCACTCACAAATTAAAAAAATTTGTAAATAAACAAAACAAATTGCCTGTATTATAGCCGATAGCAAAACAAATTTGCATTTTGCATGCATTCGACTAAGAATAGAAAACTCAACAGCATGTGGCGAATGTCTAGCAAGAATAGCAGCACTAAGAAACACTAAGTCCCCATTAAGATACCACGCCACACGCTCATTTATCACAAAGAATCAACTGCTCTCTTAACATTTGCGTAATAGTACGACGCAGATTCCCAGTTATGCTGCCATGCTGTGGTCAATAATAAGAAAGAAAAACAAAAAAACCGGCTAGAATGTCATAACATGGCCATAAAGTAACACAATAAGCCACAGTTCAGAGCAAACGCCGAGAATCTCAGATGTTTTGTTTTTTGCTGCTTGCTTCTACTCGCATCGCAGTCTCAGATAATGCGCAAAAGCGCAAAGCAAAAAAAAAAAAATACAAAAAAAAAGAATTATAATAAATAAAACCTGTACCCAAGACCAACCGAACTCAAGCGCAACATACACATACAGATACAAAGACAACTACAGCTACTGTACGGACTCAGATACAGATACATTTGCATCTTTACTCATGTGTATGTGGATTTCGTCGCTCTATGACTAACTGCCAGTTGAGTTGAGAAACTTACGATCCACACCAGGTTTTCAGAGACCCCACATAAAAAAAAGCCGGTCAACACACGCACACACACGCAACTCAGCGCCTACAGCTGGGAATCGATGAACCGAACTTTAGATGCTGCTGCTGCTGCTGTTGCTGTTGCTGCTGGTGCTGGTGCTTCTCAGTTGTTGATGATGTCATAGAAATCGTAATCGCTCGGCACATGCCGGACTGAATAATGAATAATTCGCACGCCCAACAATTTGTGTGGCTTTAAGTTAACTCATTGTCGAAGGTCAATACCAGACACAGAAACAACAATAATTTGTCAGCTTGGCAACGGGCCTGGCTCATCATGTCCTGGCAAAGGACACAGCTGCGAATGTCGAATGACGCATGATGTCATATGCACCCAAAAGGTAAATCAATAAATGTTGTATGCACGACTCTGACCAAGGGCAAGGTTTTTCCTTAAATGTTATACACGAGCCTAGTCTATAAAATATTAAATACTTTTTAGAAATTAATGAATAGGACCTGGAGGTAGATGATACCAGGTGAATTAGGCATTATTTATTAGTATGAAATTGATATATAAATATTTGATGGTTTATAAGACAAAAATACTTATAAATATATATCAATTCATGACTCTGACAAAGAGCTAGGCTTGTGCTTAAAAACTTATTAATTTATATATAAAATTAAATGACGATTTTGGACAAATTTTATTCTAAATAATACTAGCTAACAATAATAGATTTTTTGTGAAATTCTAAACATGTCTAAAATCGTAAATAAATATATAATAAAAATATATAATTATTTTGAGTTAAAATGACGACTTTAATTATTTTCAGTTACATATTTTTGTTATTATTTGGATAATAAAATAAAATTAAAATGGATTTATTTTTACTTCAAGATATTTACAGTTCAGTTCTTTGAATCTATCCATTATCAACAAGTAATTGAGTAACTACAATTTTTCGTTGAGTGTAGCAGTCAACGGTACTCAGACAATGAAGAATTCAATTAAATGCATAACCCCAAGTTGACCCAGAGACATAGCAAGCGATTCCATTTTCGATGACAGCTCAGCGTCTGAAGTGCGAGTGTTTGTCGCGCTCTTCCGGAATACCCGACCAAGTGAACTCAACTAATTGAATTAGTTGATCATGAGGCATGGCAGTTGGAACGTTTGATAAGGGCATGGGCGCGATCATACATTAGAGAGCCGTGGCAAATGGATTGGCGATTGCACGCTAGGAGAGGATATAAGTACAGGAGCGAGCAGGGCCAGAGCACACAATGGTGCATTGATCAGGAGAGATGAAGCACATCATAGTTGTGATCGTTGCCGTGCTGAGTGTCCTGCACAAGGATCTCGTCGGTTCAGCAAACACCGGCTGTCCCCGACGCTATCTGCGACGCATCAATGGCAAGTGCTACTATTTCTCAGTAAAAAAGGTAAGCAAATCCTTTGGTCCATTGAACCAACCTCTCTACCTCTCTACCTCTACATATACATAAATATCTGCCTTCGTCTGCTTGTAGATGAACTGGTTTGGTGCCCTGAACAATTGCCTGCGCAAGGGCCTAACACTGGCCGATCTGAGCAATCCGCGAGATTTTTATGGTACCGTCGAATTTCTAAGCTCCAAAGGTAACACGGAAGACTTCTGGTTCGGTGCCAACGATCTGCAAACCGAGGGCCGTTTCCAGTACATCAGCAATGGTCGCTTAGTGCGCTACTTCAGCAATTATAGCATTGTGCAGCTGGCGGAGCATTCACAGTGCGATGATTGTCTCGAGGTGCGCATACGCAACAACATGACCGTTGTGGCCGATGACAACTGCCTGGAGAGGCAGTATTTTATCTGCTCGGAACGGTACTGTGACTTCGCCGAGGCCGTTAAGCAGCGTCATCACAGTCACGAGCATTTGCATCACTTCCATCACGATATCGGCGTGCCCAGCGACGAGGCCGAAGAGGAGGCACCTCAGGATGAACCAAATGGTAGCGATCAACAAGGGGACTCATCAGAGGAAGCAATGGATCCGAATTGTGAAAAGTGTACCACTCTGAACTCAATGTCGTCTGAATTTACGTCATTGTCGACGGCTTCAACACAGGAAGGACACGAAGCGCAAAATGATGAGACAACGACAGTACAAGCCCCAGCTGAAGGAGAGGCGCCAGCTGAAGGAGAGGCGCCAGCTGAGGGAGAACCACCAGCTGAGGGAGAGGCGCCAGCTGAGGGAGAGGCGCCAGCTGAAGGAGAGGCGCCAGCTGAGGGAGAGGCGCCAGCTGAGGGAGAGGCGCCAGCTGAAGGAGAGGCGCCAGCTGAGGGAGAGGCGCCAACTGAGGGAGAGGCGCCAGCTGAGGGAGAGGCGCCAGCTGAGGGAGGAGCGCCAGCTGAGGGGGAGGCGCCAGCCGAAGGGGAGGCGCCAGCCGAAGGGGAGGCGCCAGCCGAAGGGGAGGCGCCAGCTGAGGGAGAACCACCAGCTGAGGGAGAACCACCAGCCGAGGGAGAGGCGCCAGCTGAGGGAGAGGCGCCAGCTGAGGGAGAGGCGCCAGCTGAGGGAGAGGCGCCAGCTGAGGGAGAAGCGCCACCTGAGGGAGAAGCGCCACCTGAGGGAGAGGCGCCAGCTGAGGGAGAGGCGCCACCTGAGGAAGATGCCGCAGACAGCTAAGCCCGAAAGACCGCCAAAGGAAGACACGGTAACTGAACCAACTGATGCAGGATGCCACGGAATAAGGAATGTTTCATAAATTGAAAAATATTTTATGTACACTAAATAATAAATGAAACAAATACAATAAGCAAATCGTATTGAGGGTAGTAATCTATGGCACTTTACCGCGATTATAACTATGGGCTGGTCATAGCTAGTACTACTATCTGAAGGTCCTAGCACTCGGCCCAATACGGCTTGCCAAAGACCTACGAGCCTTACCTTAATGCTTGGCAAGGGAAATTGAAAAGTTATCTGAGATATCGATTGGATGTCAGTCTGAATAGTTTCGAAATGGAATAAATCTATATTTTTATTAACGCTATGCACGACTTATATGCATTATCAATGTCATTGCATGTACAAACTGTAACTACACAGTTTTATCTTGAAGTTGCACAGGTTTTACAGAACCTGAACTTAATTGCGTATCCCCAAAGATGAATTGTTAGTTGTATATAATGGCCAGCAATACTCGATAGATCATTTTGTTACAGCTCCGCTAGGTTGCTTCAGTTCACTGCAATTAGCTAAGGTTAGATCTAAGAAACTTGAACAATTTGCATTATTGTATTTGCATTTGTATTATATATTTTGATCTTAACAGTCTCAAGAATCATTCTATACGCTTCACTGTAGAGTCCGGCTAAAGAGAAATAACTAGAGAAATATACAGCCCAGAATAGACTTATTCTTAAAATATTTCTGAAGCAACGGCAGTCACTGATCGAACTATATAGATCAGAAAAATCAATATTAGCGCAATCCTTTGGGTCATTGTTAGAATTTTCGAAGTTAAAAAAATGAAAAGGAGTTGCTTTTCCACTAAGTCATGAAGCCGTAACGATGCTTGGCCATGCTGACCACATCTAACTTTAATTAATTGATTTGCTCAACATTGAAGCAATAAAAATGATATTAAGATAGCATAATGGGCGTAGATAATGCAGCTGTCACGCCCACAAGACGGTTATATATAGAAGGAACAGCCCAAATGGGCACAGTTTGTGGCGAAAGGTGCCTGCAGCCATGAGGTTACTGCAAATTGTGATATTGACCCTAATCATAGTGTATCCAGATGATGTCCTATCTTCACGAGGCGCAAGGCAGAAGCCGAACAAGAAGCCAGATAATGGTCCTTGTGGCAAACGTTATTTGCGTCAAATTAATGGTAAATGCTATTACTTTGCCGGAAAAAAGGTTTGTACACAAAGCCACGTTATGGAGGCGATAGATGTTATATAGTAAAATCCGTTGTAGATGAACTGGTTTGGTGCGCAGAACAATTGCCTACGCAAGAGCCTCAATTTAGCTGATCTGGCCACAGAGGAGGATTTCAATGCGATTATTAAGTTCCTACGCTCGCGTGGCAACATGGAGGACTATTGGTTCGGTGGCAATGATCTGCAGGTGGAGGGTCGCTTCACCTACATTAGCACGGGTCGTCAGGTTCGGTATTTGGGTGGCACGGAGACCATTGAGCCGACGCATCGTGCAAACTTGGATGACTGCTTGGAGGTTAGGCTGCGGGCCAATGGCACCACGGTCACCGACGACAATTGCTTGGAGGAGCAGTATTTTGTATGTCAGGAGAACGAGCTGAAGTGTGCTCAGCCTGTGGAAGAGGTAGTCGGCAGTCAGCATCATAGTCACGAGCATTTGCATCATTTCCATCACGATGCGGAAAAGCAGGAAAATACTGGGAATGCGACCGTTACAGAAAGTTTGGAAAGCGACTCGCGGCCGACTGATAATTCGGATTCAGAGGAAGCGACATCGGAAGAAAGCTATGAGGAAACACATCGACCAGGGCAGAGTGAAGAAGAGCCAACAGAAGCGGCACAGTCAGATGAAGCCACGAACACATCGGAGGAAACTCCTGAAGTGGAGAATGAAACTACGGGAGGGAAGGATGAATCTACGGAAGAATCGGTTGAAGTTACACACGAGGTAACTGAAACTACGCATGCGGCGGCTGAAGCGGATTCCCCGACTGAGGCGGGTCAACCGGCTGAAGCGGATTCCCCGACTGAGGCGGGTCAACCGGGTGAAGCGGATTCCCCGACTGAGGCGAGTCAAACGGGTGAAGCGGGCGCCCCGACTGAGGCGGGTCAAACGGGTGAAGCGGGTGCCCCGACTGAGGCGGGTCAAACGGGTGAAGCGGGTGCCCCGACTGAGGCGGGTCAAACGGGTGAAGCGGATGCCCCGACTCCGGCTGAAACAAGTGCACCGGGTGAAGAGGGTCAAGCGGAAGAAGCGCCTGCAACAGAAGCTCCAACTGAAGCTCCTCCGCCCCCAGAAGATGAAAATGCAGGAGATGCTCCGGTAGAAGGCCGTGCTCCCAAAGCAGTGCCAGCGGCGATCGATGTAAAGAACACAAAATCTGTTGGTGTGAAGGAGGCATCCCAAAAATTACTGGACAATAATGCCAGTGAATCACCCACTGGAATCGATATATCGACAGCAACTGTACTCACCGCGGCACCAGCTCTTCAAATAACCCCAAATCCAAATGAGTTTGTTTAAATGCGATTTTCCCTGCAGCAAATAAAATGCCAAACATTTCGCTTGGCCTCTATATAAATAAGTCAATTTTATAATGTGAACTTACTACGGGATTGCACGGACTGGGGAAGAGGGTGTGGCTATCGTAAAGGAGTGGAGAAGTGTTGGTGCTAGTGGTGGCATTGGTATTTGGGCATACGGAATCAGTCTGTCTACAGAGCTACTGATAATGTGAAGGCATGCTATTTAAAGAATTTCAATACAAAACTCCTTAAGTTTAAAAAATGATTTGAAATTTAATTTGAAATCGAAAACGAAAAAGTAATATAAATAAATATAAAATCCACTCTGATTTCGTCTATATTTTGTAAATAATTTTATTTCAAGCATCTTTTCTATATTTTGAGTGTACAAATTATAATGTTGCAATAATGAACAAATGGATTTTACTTACATTTTGAAGCATCTGTTTGCATTAAGTGGAAACAGAGAATTATAATCAAAAGTATATTTCAACATAGTCCAAAAATTACTACGAAATATTTTTTAAATTAATTTTTTTTGCTTCAGTCTCGAACAGAAGCCAAGAGTAGGAAAACCGAAAAAAACTTTGAGGGAAGAAATTTCAGTTAACGGAAATAAAGTCATTTATTTTTAATTCTTCTATGTGTATGTGTGTCTGTGTGTATATACACACACTCTAACATACATCAAAGAGGGACACTAATTTTTCCCAAATTTTAACAACAAAAATTTTGCAGAAATATTTATAATTTCTGGGAGCAACACGCAATATGACATAAAAAGTTAATATATATATTTTTATATGTATAGATTTTATACACACATACATATACTTAGGCACACACGCTACTATAACTATATATATATTTATATATATATCACTATATATAAATGGCATCATTTTGGGTGTGGGTGGTGCCAGCGAGAAGAACAATTTATGGTACTGAGACATCCATACATAAGTATATTTATATATATAAGTATGTATATATATATATATATATATATATATATATATTTATATATATAGTGGCGAATACTGCGCCATAATTGGCTCACGCTGACGTATCGTCATTATCATCATCGTCGTGATCATCGTCAAGCTCTAAAAGTAAACGTAACTGTGGCAGACAATTAATTGTATCTACGCGCTACTACTCCTTTTTTCATGTTGGCTGTGGCGATGATGTAATTCTATTACAATCCTGCAATGCGGTCATAGGTTGTACGAGCCCTTACAGCAAGGTCTCACAGTACATTACTATTTTGATGTTGTTATTTTGTTTCTATTATATATTTTTGTTCGATTTTGTTGTTGCTCGAGATGTCATGCCACATACCACATACCACAAACCACATTCCACAGTCTGCATATTTAATTGAACATGCCTCGTTATTTTCTAATTCGAAAACTTTCACAAACAGCTTAAACTGAGTTTTGTCTTTATATATTTTATTTTCATTTTTGATTTCTTTTCTATTTTTGATTTTTACCTGTAAATGAGCTGAACATGTTGAAAGTTTTGCGTAGTTTTTGGTATTAAACAGAATTGAACTGATTTGAATTTCAATTTCAACTTATAAATTCGCTCTGGGTGGATTTTTTAGTCTGTTTTGTACGTTGCGCGTTTATTTTTAAAACGTTCCGAATGCGTCGACGGCACAAATACGAATAAAGTCCAAGCGAAAGTATCTTATTGGAATTGTTGCCACTGCCACTGTTTTCATTGTTGAGTTGTTGTTTTTGGCTACTGCTTCTGAGTTGTGGAACGTATTTGCTGATTGTGGACTATAGCATTGACTGCAATCGCTGCCAGATGTGCATATGTTGTTGATGTTAGCTTTATGCGCACTTGCGATGTAGTGCTGCCAGATGTGTATCGACAGCTTGCTAAAAAATGCATTGAATGTTGTAAATCAATATTATTTACTTTGCTTATTAAGTTAATTTAATTTTAATATAAAACATCAAAATATCTTCCAATTCTGCGTTACTAACGATGTAGCCGTTAAGGTTGAAATTATTAAATTCTTTGGCGTTGCCAGACCAACAGAATTAACAGACTTAAAAGCTTTTGTCTAAACACTATTTCAAATCCAATTAAACTGAGTGGGAATGAAAAGGAAATTATACGAAAAAGTATATATAAATATAGAATTAAATATATTTTTTATATTTTTTTATTATTTATTTAAACTTCACTACCAGTCATTTACCAGCTTACAATATTATAATAAATTCAAAGACAGTTTCTGCCAATGACAATAGTCAAAGCCATAATCACATCTTTACACTACAACACAGATTCTTATTAAATACATTACATGGATAATTGAAATTCCATCATTTACCTTAAAATAACTTTTTTAAGGCGTGTGCTCCGAGAGTCCAGCTGAAAGAGCTAATTAGTGGGAATCGAAACGAAATATAGTCGTATCAGTATCAGTTGAGTAAGAAAACGTTTTCTACTGAAATTGATTTCCAGCCATGCAAATGGCATAACGAATGCAAGATTTGTGCGAATTGGACATAGTTTATATAATGAATTTTTTCTTCTTTTCAGGGTTTTACAAAGCAAAACCATATCAGCTAGGTTCAATATTTTGAAGAGCATTCATCATGAAGCTAAAACTGTTGGCATTGATATGTTGCATAGAGTACCTAAGTGGGATGGCAAACGCCAAGTGTTTCTATATAAGCACAACTAAGGTAATAGCTCTGAGGCACTCAAATATGATAATAAATATTTTAATTTTATGCTGTGCAGGAAACTTGGTTTACCGCTGTGGAGAAATGTAAGGAACTCAAACTTTGTTTGGGGGATTTACAATCGGCCAGCGAATTTCTCACGTTCACGCAGAAAATACCTGAAACAATGCGAGCGGACTATTGGTTCGGCACCAATCATCCCCATGGTCCTAAGTCTAGAAGCTTGACGACTTACAGCAAATTAATAATATATGCTCCAATACTGTCATTCATTAATGTGCGCCAGCAATGTGCGTTCATGTATCCCAATGTTTACCAACAATATAGCGTTTCAATGGCCAATTGTAGGGAAAAAAAACGTTTTATATGCTATAAAGATACCAATTGCGGGGTCTCTAATGGGATAACAGAAGACTTATCTGGACTTATACCATGCGTAATAAAACCCGAATTCCGGAAGGAACTGGACATAAATGCCAAATACTTTGACGATCTATAAAGAATAATGGCATAACTACTTGAAATTTATCCAATAAGGCAAATAAAAATATCTAACATAAGCACGGTCCCATTTGAGTACAAAGAATATCATTATTTCATTAAACTTCTCTGATTTTCCCCTTGCAATCACTTGCGGCAGGAAGAGCAGTTCATATAGGTCTTGATATATATTTATTATTAATTTTTATAAGCCCTAACTACTTAACACAATAATCTTTGCGCTGTTGTCGTATGACCGCATTCAATTTGAGGCACTGTTGTCGCAGTTGATCATTGTCGCCCTTTAGCACCTCGATGGTCTCTTCCTGTCGCTGTATTGTCTGATGTACTCTGTAAGGGAATACACATATATCTGGCATATATTTGAAGCACATTCTGTGCGCTTTACCGTTTCTGCAGCTGTTCCATTTCCTGTTTGTGGCGCTCGTTGAGCACGGCCAGTTCGCTCTGTATGTCCGCGTTAAGATTGTCCCGGAGCTTGTCCCGCTCGTTGATGAAGTCACCGCACATTTTTTTGCTATGGCTAAGCTCCAGCTGGAGCTGCTTTACCTCTGCCTGGCTATTGCGCACCTGGGCATCAGCTTCGGCCAACTTACCACGCGTCTCGGCATACTTTTCCCTCAGGGACTTTTCCACATTCTCAGCCAATAGCAAATCCTTCTCGTACTTCTCCTTGAGGCGCCTATAGATGAAGCATTAGGAGTTAACTTTATTAGCTATTTATTTTACCTACAGAATTTTTTGCTCGTGCTCCTCGCCGCTTTGCAGTGCATCCGCTTCCATGCGCACCACCAACTCGTCAAGCTGCCGATCTCGCTCGGCTCTATAGTGTTGCCTTATGGCATTCTCCTTCTCAGCCTGGGTCACCTTCGATTTGTTCTCGTATTCTGTTTTCCACAGCTCAAAGTCAGCTAGGTATTGCTGTTCGACGGTGTTGATGCGATTCTGATACTTCTCCTCCTGCTTGGCCATCTTTTCCTGCATTTCAAACTTGGCCTGCTCGAGGTCGTTGTCGTGCTCCCGCTGTGCCTCCTGCCGCTTAGCTAGGTAGTCACATTCCTTTTGCCGCAGCTCCGCTTGCAGACGTTCACGTTCTGCAGCAAAATCATCGGCGAGCTTTTGTCGCAACTCGGCCTGGGTTTTCTGGTCTTCCTCCAGCTGACGTTCAAGACGCTCTCGTATGGCTGTGCGTTCCTTCTCAATTATGCTCTCACGATCTTGGGCGCAACTTTCGCGTATCCCGTGCTCGATTTGTTCGTGCTTAAGGCGCGCCTCCTCCAATGCATCCAGCAATTGCATCTGATGCGAACGCTTCAACTCCGTCACCTCGCGCTGATGATCGCAATTCATTTTATTGATCTCCGCCTCCAGGCCTTTGACTGTGAGTTCCTGTTTAGGGCAAAATTTGGGAGAGGTAATAAGTTTTAATTCCAAATTAAATTTATTCTGTAATTAATTTACAAAAAGTCTTTATTCCTCTGAAAATCGGAAGCTCATCGATAGACACCTTCAACTAGTCAACCTGACCCACACCCACCTTAATTTTTTTGGTATTCTCTCGCACCCAACGCTCTCGTCGTATCTTTTCGCCCGCAAGCGTTGTCTCCTTGGTGCGAGCTAGTTCGGTTTCCAGTCGATGCTCCCAGGCTTGGTTCTGACTCTCCAGGCGACGTGTCAATGCAGCCACCTTCTCACAGAGCGAGCCCTTATCCTTGAGCAGCTGCTCAATGAAGCCCTGATGGCGCGTCACAACCTCCTCGTAGTGTTTCTTCTGGTCACGCATTTTCGTCGCACTGTTCGACTTCTCGGCACGCAGTGCCTTCTGCTTCTCGCCGCGCAGCTGAATGACATGCTCCTTGGAGAGATGAATGGCATTGGCCAGCTCGTTGGCACGCAAGCTGAGCGCAATAACACGTCTAGCCAGCTGATGATTGGGAATCATCAGCAGCTCCGAGAGTCTAGAAGGAAATTAAATTTCATCTTATCTTATGTTATCTGGAAGCATGCAGATCTATCACTCACTTGGGCACCTCATCGGTCACGTCGGGCTCGACGACAAACTCCACCTCGGAGCGATTGCTGTCCGGCATAGAGCGACGGGTTTCCATCAGCGTTTTGTCACAGCTGCTCTCCACATTATTCAAATATGCCAAAATGTCTCTTCGAATGATAAAAAGTTTATAAAATATAGGGTTCGGCTTGTGGCAAGAAAATTATAAATAAACCAATAAAAATAAATTATTAAAATAAAATTGTGAAAAAAATTAATTTAAAAAAAAACTCCTTAATTTAATGATTTAATTTCTATATTCTGACCCCTTAGCTCAGCAATCGCAAATGCAAGTTCCTTTAATTCTGTTTCATTAAAAATTAGTTTAATGCTTAACAAGTTTGTCTTGCTCAGTTTCTAACTCTTAAAATCGTGAAAGATATTCAAGACCTTATGACCTGAAATTATATAACTTTTTTTTCCACAATCTCATTAACACAGTCTAGTCCTTGTTTTAAAGACTTAAATATCAAATTTAATAAATTAGTTTGTCACTCACTTGTACTTGTCGCCACTTTCGGGCATCTTGTCCTCATTTTGGCTAACCGAATCCGCTGTGTCGGCCCTTGAGCTGGATAGCTTCAGGTTCAGCTCGCTGGGCAAACGTTCGGCAAAGTTGTCTGCAAAAAATATATATATAGAAATAAAAAAATCCTACAAAGTGTTGCTCAAGTATACCCCGTTTCTTATCCTCCTCAATCTCCTTGATAACCGACACAATCTCATCGTAGGTCGAGCCTCGGGAATCCTCGTTCGATTTGAGCGACAACTGCGAGACGCTCTCATTGTCATTGCCCTCGTCCAGCTCGTCCACGCCCTGTTTGTGCAACTCCTCGAACTGTGCCAGCGCCTGCTTCTGCTCATGGATGCTCATCCAGCTGTCCACCTTGTCCAGATTGTATTCGCTCAGCTTTCGCTCCTCTCGCAGACTGCCCACACTGACGGCTTTCTTCAGCTTGGCGGCGGAACCAATTGTTGAGCTTTTGGCAAACAATTTGGACTTGTTGTTTCTGCTGGTGAGCTCTGCACTGGCTGGCTTCACATTCTCCTTCTTTTTGCCCACAAATGGGGGAGTGGCAGCGATCTTCAGATAGTTGCTAATGACGGAATCGGAGCTGCTGTTGCCAAAATGTCTGCGATCCTCCTGGACAATGGGCAGAAAATTATTCTCAGCGCCAAAATTGCGTTGCACAGCCGAACGATTGGTGGTCCCACTGTCACTCTGGGTATGGTTTGTGTTGCTGTTGTTGTTGTTGTTGCTGCCATTGACTGGGCTAAGATTCTTCTCAGATAAATTGTTCTGCTTGTCCTTGGCCTGCGTTGCATACTTATCCAAATAGTTAGGCAGTTCCATGTTATTAAGTGGCTCTAGCGGCTTCACGCCTTTATCCAGAGCCACACCTACCACCTGCTTATACTCTCTGATGACATTCAGCTCCGGCGTCCCGGACTTGGGCAGGGCCATTGGAAGTGAAGGTGGCGGCAACTGCACTTTGGTCTCCGCATAGCGACAACTGGGCGCATCGCATGCGCATTTGATGTCAGCAGTAGCTTCATTGGTGCTGGCCGTGGAGGAGGAGCGCGTGCTGCAGGTGCAGTTCTCCGAAGGGCATTTGGGATACTCGTAGGTCTCAGCTAACACCTCGGCACTGCCGCTGCCCGCAGCTGGAGTGCCAAAGTGTACGGATTTCTTTTGTCCAGTGGCATCGCCCGGCTCCAATTTATTGGCATTCCCATTATAGGTAAAGTTGGGCAGTGTTAAAGGACCCGGTGCTGAGATGCTGATGCTGCTGCTGCTGGCGCGAATCTCCTGCTTGTCATTGTCGCAGTCACTAGAGTCCACATCATTGTGCTGGCCACTGTTCGGCTTGCTGAACGATACGCGACCCGGCAGATCCGGCTTAGCGCTCTTCTGCAATAGCGTCGCATTGCTCAGGCTCTGACTGCCGGGTGACCAATTGGAAGCATAGGATTTGGCTTTGTCCGTGCCAGGCATGCTGACCAGAAAACGTTCCAACTGCTCACCTTCGCTGCTGTGCGGAGACTTCTGTGAGAAATCCGACTGCTCGTCCGTTGAGTTGGAAGAGTTGCAGGTACTACGGCACAACCAGCTGCGCTTGATGGGCTCCTCCAACAGCGATTTGAGTAGATCAGTGGAAGACACTTGAGGCTGCCAAGTAGAAAGCAAACACTTAGAGAACGCAATAAATTGTTTATAAGCATAAAATTAAAAACTATTTATACATATACAAAAATATATCTTTATTAAATTAACTACAAATAATAAATATTTCTACAATGATATAAATACTTAAACAAGAATTGTTTCCATTCATTGCATCTAAAAAATTTTCTAAATATTTTTAGTAATTTTGAACTAGTAATAAAATTAGTAAAATAAAATTAATATTCCATGTCAAAAATTAATTTTCATAAAGAGCAAAAAACTTTTTATCAAGAGAAATGATATGCCCAAATAAATAATAAATAAGCGATAAATATGTATCATAAAAATACAAGAAATTTTATTTCCATTAGATTTTTTAACATTCTGTTTGGAAAGTCTAACAAAAAGTATTAAAATAATTTTCAGTGTTTTAATAAACTCTATGAAAATATTTGCTCTTGTTAATGCTTACCAAAATCTCATTAAAAAAATTTGTATACTTAAAAAAGAAATCACTTTAAACTTTATTATATGCTTTACGTTCAAACTTAAAGGACTTGATAAATTAATTTTATTTCAATTTTACGTAATTCTCGGTTTCAATACATTGCCATTTTATTTAATTTACGAGCAACTTTGTGTGACAGTTGGTACTCACATGCTTATTATGCCTTAGCTCCTTGTCACCAAAGTAAACGCTTAACTTGCGGCCAAACTTGGGATCCGCCGACTGTGGTCGTCCCAGGAAGGGCGAGGAGCGACTGCGTTGCTGTAGAAAGTTGGCCGAACGTGGACGAAAATGTTGAGTCGAGCTATGGAGTGTGGTCAGGGAGCGGCTATTGTACTTGGGCTTCGTTTTTTGTCTAGCGGCGAGGTTTATCTAGGAGGAGACAGTACGTGAAATGTTCAGAGCCCAACTCAGTGCGCCGACCTACCTGTGAGCCCCGAAGACATAAATCCATAATAGTATAGAAATTTCGCACTCGACGCACCTAAGACACTCGCTTTTCACTTTTCATTCAGATAGGGTTTCCTTTTCTCTTTGCTTGCTTCTTTGAGCCGAACTGACGGCTGCGGCACAGCCAACTGATTTTGTTTGAAAACTTGTTTGGCCCATGGTCGCTTTTGTTTTGGCCAAAATATATATATAAATTGAAGAAGAAAAAAACAGCCCCTGGCTAAAATATCGATTAAACGCTGTCGCCGGCCAGGACATGTGCCCAGCAGATGTTGGTCAGCAATGCAACCCCCGAAGCGAACCTGGACATGGTTACCATGGGTCACAAACGTCACGCTCGACATACGCCCAACCCAATGAAAAGTTAGACAATACAGGTGTTTTCCTTCTGGCAAGTGTGCAATGTTCGATACCTCCCTTACCTAGCCCTCAATCATATTCATTAAAGAAACTCATCATCTAAAGTAAATTTATAATTATCACAGCTGAAGGACAGCCCAGTTCTGCCCCACAAATGCCAAAGTTCAATTGCTTAAGCACAAATACTTTTAAGTTTTTTTCTATTCATTCACGACTTTTTCGATCGATTTTGAGCAAGTTTCCTCAATGTCAAGTGCGAATGATATACTTAGCAATGTCTGAGTGTATGATTAATTAATATCAAATATTGTTTTACATAATCCAATCAAATATATAATTAAAAAATTTTTGGTTTTATAAATATTTGAGTGTCATTTCTATTTCCAGCTCTAGCTCTATAATAATTAGAAAAATAATTTTATCAACTTTGTTTTAGAAAATATTTGACCCAAAATATTTGAGTTAATATTCCATCAGCTTTTTACTTCAATTTGTTTTCTAAACTAATCTGTATTAGATATTATAAAGTTGATTATAAAATTTATATCAAAAATTATTAAAAATAATTCTCTAATGACAAACTTTTTTTTTCCATTCCATTGAGTTATTAAAAATTGATCTTTTAAGCCTTAAAGCCGTATAAAGTTGTTTAAGTTAGCCCAGTTAACTATTGAAATCAAATGTTGTTTTTTATTGAAATCAAATTTTGTTTGTATTTTTTAATAATAATTTATTTAAGTAAAGCAAATTGTTTTTGAAGTAAACATAGTTAAGTGTAGCTGGTGGCCAAGCACAAGGGGCGGAACGTAAGCCAAGCCCTGAGCGTGGCAACTGCCTCAACAGCTGGCGCGTAGTATGTACACGGATACTGACTGATGCGCAAAAGCATAAAATTAAATTTGGCAACATTTCTCATAATGAACTTAGACTCTAACACAAAATACACAAATACGTTAAGTTTTTCGTTTTGTTTATCTTTTCTTTTGATTAATAACAAATTGCACTAAGAGCCCACTAAGGGATTTGGGTGTTGGGTGAGAGGCGGAGGATCGGCTGCCTACTCAGCACGCAGAACAGGCGTCACCTGCACCTCGTTCTTCTCATCGTTTTGTATAGTTAGTTTGGTCAACTCCTGCAGCTCCGCATCAGCAGCTGAGGCAGGCACCTCCTTGGTCACCTGCACCGTATCGGGATAGTTATTCTCGCCGCTGCCCAGCTCTTGTGCAAAGCTGACCACCGTCTTGGGCTCATAGTTGACGCCGAGCGCACCGCTTGGATCGGGCGTGGCAATGGTGGGCTGCTCGCTGGCATGTCCATTCGTATGCGAAATGGTGATGCTTGCTTCCTCATGGGCAACGCCATTTTCTGCGTGCGCTGCTGGAGTAACCACCTCTACCTGTACCTCTACAGCAGAAGGCGCCACTTCAACGACTGTGGGTTCAACAATTGCAGCTGCTGCTGCCTCCACTTGCTCCGATTCCGCTTTGCCGTCGTCATCCTCGCCGGCCACAGCCTTGTTGACCTCCTCAATGGCCTTGGCGACCTCCTCGGGTGCCACATCGTCATGCGCATGCCCATTGCTAAGAGGTTGCTCCTGCTCCTGCCCCTTGACCTCCACCTTGTCCTTCTCCTCCTCTACTCCGCCATTGTGACCATTGGTAAGCACCGCCGGCTCTGCACTGTGTCCATTCGCAGTGGGAACGGCTTGCTCCTGTTGCAGTTCCCGTTGTTCCAGCTGCTTCTCCTCCTCAATCTTGGCCGGCAGAGGCATTTCCAGTGAAGGTACTATAGCCGGACTAGCCATAGTCTCTACAAAAGAGGTACGATTGGGTGAATCCGGCGAGATCATGACGTGGGTGAAGTAGCCGCTGCGCCGATTCTCAAAGTCCAGCACATTCTCCTTGGCCAAACGCTCCTGAATACGTCGCTGCCGACGTATAAACTCCGGCAAATTCTCATCGTCGTCTGCTGGAGCTGGTGTTGACTCAACATCAGCCAACTTTGGACGTCGCAGCACCACCTTGGCGGCTTCATTCTGATCCGCAGAGCCATTGGCATTGCCATTGCTGTTCGCCCAGCTGGCGGCTGCTGTTGAGGGCTTAAAGACGCCATTGAACTTGGTGCCGACCACAAATTTGTTGCTGTTGCTGCTGTTGTTGTTGTAGCCAGCGCACTTATAGGGATTGTAGTTGTTGTTGGCATTCGGTTGCGGCGACAACGGATGATGGCCATCATTGTCTTCCAGCTTAGGTGAACGGGCGATAGTGAAGTTGGGCTTGCCGTGGCTGATCAACAGCTTCGTTGCCGGCGAGGGGCTCTTGTCGCTGAGGGGCGATGGCAGACCGCTGCGAATTTGTATGCTCGGCTTGTTGATGGTATCGGCCATGTTGCAACTGTGTGTGTGTGTGTCAATGTGGATGTATGCGTGTGTGTGAGAGATTGTGTGACTCGCTTGTAGCTGATACGCGCTTTTACTTTCCGTCTATTAACGGTGCTTCGCCTGTGTTTAGCTGTAAAAGATGTTACCAAAAAATTGGAGAAAAAAGAAGTAAAAAAAATTAGTCAAATGCAAATTAATTTTGGATTTTTTTTTGCTTTTTTGCCCAATCATAATCATGTTTAATTTGTGGAGAAACCCAAAATCAAGCAAATTATTGTTAGATTTTTATTGAAATTAAATTTAATTTTATATATTTTATTTATATTGTTTTTTTTTTTTTTGGGACAGCACCTTGAGAATGTGGCGACTGCTTTCTATCAACTATTTGATTTTATGACCACTCAGCCACGTTTAAAGCGTTTATTTTTTACTTCTCATCAAGAAGGTGAGTCACTTGTTAAGAAAACTTCGATAAGTAGCTTTAAGTAGCTGCTTTTAAAGTTCAGCAGAATCAATTACTCATTTTTTGTTAAAAGCACAAATTTTATTTTAAACAGTTCACATTGTCGTTTAGAATCTGAATATATATATTTATTATATATAATCCATGGCATTTATCAATCGTAAATAAGCCAATTAAAGTTTCTTTAAGGCTTTTGCTAATTTATAACTTATTTATAAAACGACTTAAAAGTTTTTAAGTGTGTGCAAAGTCCAAATAGTAACGTTTTCAAAAAACGCCACAAGCTAGAAATTTAATTGATAAGCACTTGAAAATTGGTCAATTACATAAATATATATGTAAACACACATATATATATTCTTTGTTTTAACTGTTATTAATTGGCTATAATTCTAGCATATAAAGCACTAAACGCAGTTTGTGAATTGGCTTAAAGGAACTTAGAAGAAATGAACTTCTAGAAAGTGTTTAAAATTTTGTAGTTTTCTATGTCAACTTTTGGTCTAATAATTTACTATCACTACAAATTGATAATCACTCAATTAAATTCAGTTAACAGTGACTGACAGCTGACTGAGACCTATATATGAATTATTATATATGAATTTCAAAGAAAAAGCTTACTATTCCGAAAAAGAATATACGTTAGTAATACATTTGACTAATGGCTCAAATGGAATCTATAAGGCATAAGAATCTTCATTGTATTCTTTCGACTAAGCTTTTCTATTGAAACTAATTACACATTTCTATATTATGTTCTCCATATATAATATTTATATTAACAATATATAATATTTATATCATCAATAACCATTCCCGAACCACTTTCAATAGTAGCTCAAGTCAATTTGTCACAGATAATTATGTCTATTCCATTAGAAGTTATTATATATTTGATAAATTACGAAAATAATCGAAGTAAATACCTTTCTAAAGTAGTTAAAGCTCAACGAGTATAAAGTAAATAAAATAATCTATATTATTATGATTGTATTGTATTATTATTATTGTACATTATAAATATGCCCTCGATGACAGTTAGATCTGAGTGCCTTGACAACATATCTTTATAGACGCAGATCTTTCGATCTATGCTTCGGCTCTTTCCTTGGGTCTTTATCAACTGGGTTATATAATGGCCACACGTTCACCTGCAAATTGTGCCTTTATCTATCCATCCAACTTGGCGTTCAGCCTCGTGCTATAAATCACATGTTCAGACCTCATCAATGAAAAAAACAAAACTTTTGCATACCGCGTATTTACTTTCGCTGGCAATTTGTGCTGTGTGCTTGTGTTTCTGGTTTTCCAACATCATTTTTCGTGTTTTTCACATGGCGTATGCGTAATTACGTAATGCGAACGGACAATGCACGGCCAGGGCCATCAAGTGGTCATTGTCTGGTTTCCAAAAAAGCAACAAAAACGATAAACAAATGCCATTGATTGTTTATTGAGCTATGTGAACTGCTTAAATAACAATTAGCTGGAATCGTTCAAGCCATATACACTTCGGGCCGCGGCACAGATCGATCAACTGCATGTGACCCAACTGGACTAGAACCTTATCAATAAACCAGTACACGTACACGACTCGTAGCTGATACGAGTACAATTTTCATTGTCAGACCCTGTCAGCCCCTCTCCATCTTCAATGTCAATGGCTAATTTAATTAGTAGCTGCAATTTATGGACCTGCATTGCAGTTACTCTCATAAATTCTATGCGCATTCAATTACAAAGCCAAAGGTCAGACTCACAGTTTATTTGATTTCGTTTTCAACTTTATTGTTCAGCTATAATTGAACTTATTTTTGTTGTTTATTGCCGTTGTTGTTGTTTGTTTTATGATGTCTGGCAGAGTGTCTAGCAATTGCGACGCATCTAAATTAGGTAAATACGCTCTATGTCGATAAAGTTTGTCAAGCAAACATCTAAAAGTTAACCGAGTGGAAACTAGTTAAACTAAAATATATAAGCCTTAGTTTAATAGTGTCTTAAAGGCATTTCCAGATTGTCAATTATAATAAAAATTCCTTAAATCTTAACTGCTTTTGCTTATTCTAAAGTAATATGAATTTATTCTAAAGCGATATGATCATTGCCAATCTTGAAGTGCACACCAGATATCTGTAGGCAATGCCCACTGTACACCAGTTGATTGAAGTTGAAGTATATCAAAGCAGCGAACAGGCATTGCATTGTCCGACATACTGACTTAATTATTTATTCCATTAAGCAACCGAACGTGCCGAACAACCCGTATTAATTTTTATTTGTCTTTCAACCTACGCACAAAGCCCCATGACAAACAACTTAATAACGTGCATATAGAAATGTTTATATATTGATAAACAAAAAGGAAAATCGTAAAAACAAAATTTCAATTACAGATCTTAAATAAATTGGACTCAATTCTTTTCGCTGTTTGTTGTTGCCGACAGGCAAAAGAAATTTTGTTTTTCGTGAACTTCGATGCGAGTGCTGCTTGGCCTTGTGGGTGGGTGGTTGTGGCCTGTTGGTTGGTGGCTCGCCTAATTAAGTGCAAATATCCAACTTAGCGACAGCTGTTTACAGCAAATAATTTAAGCTGTTTTGCACATTTTTTTCCGCATCATTTTTTTTGTTTTTATTTCCAATTTGACTTGAAAAAAACACACAAAAAAGTTGCACATGATCTGTTTAGTGCCTGGGGCACGGAGCACTTGAAAATGCGAGTTGACCTTGTGTTTTGACGGCTTGTGTTGAAAAAGCTTAGATTTATACAATTTATATACCCTAGGAGTAGCCACCAAATGGTGTAGAAGAGCTTGGGTTGTTAAAGAATTTCCAAAGAAAACCAAAGAGCTAGAAAATTGCTTGATAAATCCGTTGAGAACTAATTAGCTCATATTTTGCATATATCATCATCTATATACCTCCATGCCGAATAATAATAATAAATACATAAACTGCTTTTTATCAAGACCCACAATAAAATGTTAAATTGTTAAATAAGCCATTGACGTTTGCCATTAACTAATTATCATATAATATAGTGTTTATACATTTATCTCAACTCTGTTGGTTTTAGAGCTAACGTCATACCAATTTGCATGGGATTGTCTCTTAAAGATATTAAGAATAGACTGATTAAATTGATACTATATAAGAACTTGGCAAAGTAAACATAAAGAGAAATCATAAACAACATAAACAACAATGATTTTTATATAAACACAGATAATATCACGCAGAAAGAAGTTAATTGCAAAAAATGGAAAATATATTTACCAAAATGCTCACAATACTAGTATATCATAGTCGAACATACCCAGCTAAGATATATTATATATTCTAAATATATTATATGCATATTATTTGCATAAGGTTAGCGAGAACGGAACTCCATTTATATCTTTCTAGCTGACTACAAAAAATTGCACTTGAATAAGCTCTCAGAGTATACACACATATTTTTATATATTTGTATATATATATATTGATTAATTAGTAGCAAATAAATAATAATACTATACAAGCCATATGATGTATCTCCAAAGCTTTTTCGCTGCTGAGCCAAGCATAAGCAAAAACAAAGTACAATGAAAACCGGCTTTTAACCTAAGACCTTGGCTGAGCACCAAAGAAAGCGAAAGTATTTACATTGTAGCCTGATTTATGATTTAAAAAGTTGCATATCATATACATATGTATGCAAAAGCAGCAAACAAATATTTATAGATTGTCAACTTTCTGTACAACATTTGATAATACTATCTAGGCAGCTCTCTACTTTCAAGCTCTCAGTTATTTATGAGCCAAAAATAAAGTTCACATTTGGCCAGAAAGTTCTTGTGTTGAGCAAAAGCTCTTAGGTGTGAATTGCTGGTGTGACAAATGCGCCAAGACAATAAAAATAAATAACAAAACAAACCTACAAAAAAACTGCTGCTATAAACGACCCTGCCCAGTCCCAGTTATAGGCTACGCAGAACCCAAGACCAGGCCGTTCACATTTGTTCAACTTTTTTGGGTTATATCTTTTATATTTTCGCATTTCGTTGCTGTTGTTGTTGGTGTTGCGTGCGTTTGGTGCGTCTATCATTGGTAAATCAAAATTGGTTACTTGGCCCCCTTTTTGGCCCGAGAAGCAACCGAAGAAGTAGGTGTGTTGCCAACTCGTCTGTCCGTGTGTGAACCCGTCGCTAGCTGCTCTATTGCCACAACAATTGCATTGAGTTATTATTATTATGTTATGAAGAGCGAGCACAGCTCATCTGGCTGGGAATTTCGCACTTTTTCTCCATATAAAAAGATGTCTATAGACGCTCGCAGCCTCTGAGCTTACGATTTGAGTCCCTACTCTTCACAACTATGATAAATGATTTTCTGTTTCGATTTAAGCCAAGTTTTAGTATGTTAGACGTTTTTTAGCTCAAGAAGTTCAGCTTACATGGAGCTACGTATATAATACTACGCATAAATAAGCAAAATGCAAAAAATTGTACCGTCACGCAGATGCCAATCTAATCAGCAGTCATAAAAGGCAACAACAACAACAAAATACAAATACAACAACTGATAAAGAGCATAATCCAAAAACGGGCAAACTCAAGAACTTGTGCGAGTTGTAATAACTTATTATCTAATCAGATGATTAACGGCCTCCACCTGCAAGAAAGTGAAATCTCCCTGTATTAAAACCAACAGCATAAAATGTTCGAAAATAAAATTATGCAGTAAAAACACACAAAACTGGGTTCAAGGTACGAACCCAATGCATAACGGTAAATACTTGACTTGACTATATATATAAATATATATATATATATATATATATATAAATATTTCTGTTTTAAGTTTTTGAGCTCGTAAAACAAAGTTTTGCATGCAATCGAGTTGCAAGCAAAAAAGTGAAAACTATTTGCCGTTTTAACGCTATTATAGCATGTCTGCATGTGGATTATATTTATAATATATTTTATATATATTACTTTTTAGGAGAACGTACAAGTCGAGATTTGAACTGCGCGACACTTGAACAGATTTGTCCAGAATTGGCCACACTAGACTACACTATAAATTTAACGGACCCAGTCACGCACAGATGCTAAGCGGCTTTTTGTGGCATTTATTTGACTTTTTGCTTTAGAAAACTTTATTTTTTGCGGCGGCCAACACGTCGTATGCGCAATTGTAATCGCATAGAATGCGCTCAGAAATGATTTACACGTTGGCAAAATTATTTATTATTTATTATTATTATTATTATTATTATTGTTATTTTTGGGCAGCAGACGCACCTCAAAAGCGGTTGTTGCCGTTGTTGTTGTTGTTATTGTCGTTTGTCCGCTGCGTTACCGTAAAACGCCAAAACGTAACTGAAACTGAACCTGAACCAACTTCAACACTGACGAGCACCTCTGAAGTCGTCCGGCTGTCGACGGCGACGTCGACGTCGACTTTGTTGTCGCTTTTATAATACCCAGCACCCACTGGGTCCCCGCAAACAGGGTATCATGATTTTATAAAAATACTTGCAACATGCCCAAGGATGCGGAAGCAGCTCGAAGACCCTGTAAAGTAGCAACAACCAAGTCGATTACATTTCTGCATCCGTCTGTCCTATAGGACTCATCTATAATTATTCAGTTAGTTGAATCCACCTCGAACTTCTCAAGACTTTGAATCCTATGTTCTTGCAATTATTTTCACGGCACACAGGGTATCTCCTATTCGGCCCCTCCCGACTTGAGCACTTTTACTTGCTATTGTTGCTGTGCTTGTGTTTTGTGTCGGTTATCGCGCAAAGTGCTCGTGCGCATAGCTGCCGCAAAATAAATATATGTATATAAAAAAAACAACAGCGCGAAATAAAAGAAAATAAAATACCTGAGCAGCAAACGTGTAAAGTTGACGCTGTTAATAGCTAAACAAATGCCCTGCAGGCGCGACCCACTACAACGTGAAAGGTAAACCAAAAACCAAAGACATTTCCCTCTAGTCGAAAAACGAAGTAATTTTTTCGCTTTTCGGGTTTCGTTTTTCACTTTTAATTGTTGCACAAATTATGCATAATTTCTTAGACGGGCTGAAATGACTGGCATTTCCGACACTTGTTGTTAGCCAAAATGGAAAAGTTAAACAAACATCGAAGAACTCAGTTCAGCTCAGCTCAGCTGGTTTACACGTGTGTTCAGCACGTGATCAGCTGACCACGTATACAAACCCTGTTCCTAATGCGTATTAGCCACAATTGTTCCTACAGACAGACCTTTATCTTATTATGCAACCACGTTTGACTCACTCTCGTTCCAATAAGCCTTTCGACTTAGTGATATAATCGTATGTGCATATAACGTAATTTGGGTCAGAGATATTGCAGCTCTCCACTGCAATTACTCTTTATATGATTATATAGATTTATAAATGTGCCTTAAGCACTGCTAACAAAAAGTCTCTACTTGTAAATATTTAGAGAGTTTTGTAAATAAACAATCACATTTACGAGTACGAATCATTCTTATCATCCGAGAACAAAAAAAACATGGGAAAAGTGTAAAATATTCTAGTTTAAATTGTCTAAGGCATGAGAGACGTATATTAGTCACGTATGATGAATACAATTATAGGACAGACAAATAATACAATAACTGATATGAGAAATCTTTAGTGCGTCAGTCACTTTGAGATAACCATTATTAAATGATGATAAAGAATATTTAAAAATATAAATATTTAAATTAAAACTGTCAGCTGCTCAAACATTTTAAAAAATTGCAAGAGATTGTTAACAACTGAAGTATGTGAATTTATCACAAAAAATCATGGGAAACAGTGGAATGATTAAGTAATAATGGTTCCGCCTGCCGAATCCTCGGTCCAACAACAGTTAGGTATATTTAAAACCCAATATTTTCGATTTGAACTGGCCTAGAATGATGCTACATATAGTTTAGAAGACTGGTCTAGGTAGGTCGATAGATCTAGGTATCAACGAATGTGTTGCAAATTTCTACATTCAAACATTCCGAATACACTCTTTTCAGTTCATGATAAATTAAACAATTAAGTAATTAAGTTCTAGACGCTAATGCCGAACTAGTGAGTACTTTAAACGCTTTCCAAGCAGACTCCATAACTTATACTTGTAAAATAGTTTTCGACTTTTTTGAATTTTCGTCAGACATTTAAGTCAAAATTGTCTAATAAACAAGCAAACAGTGTTTGTTATTATTAAAACTGACTGAACAAAAAATAAGTAATAATTCATTACATAATTAGAAGACGACCAAACAAAAATTAAAAATTCAATGATTCAAATAAATATGAAACTTATTAAAGCCATCCTAAAAAGGACAGAAAATAAGTTTTTGAAGTACATTTTGGAATCCATTTTAGAAGCAGGCACGTTATCACAGAATACTTGTCTTCTACAATTTCAAAATCCCCATTACAAATTTGATTCGCTGAAGACATTTAAAATATCAATCCGATGAAGCTGATTGAACACAAAAAATTTAAATTCCAATACTCAAAGCAAAAGAAAATAATAATAATAATGTAGAATATTAAGGAATTGCACTTAAAGTATTTTCCATAAGCCAATTACGGTAGTTCACCAAGTAATAAGATATCGAAAATAAGCAAGATAATAAGTCTCACAAAATGTTCTCCCCAAAAAACGTCTATTGCAGGAATGCCATGCAAAGCGCAATTGGACAAAAAGCCAAGAGCTATGTGCGCCAGCTATTACCGCATAAAATTCCCCGCTAAGAACGTTGCTAATCCGGTATTTCTGTTGTTTCTTTTTTTCGTGGAATAGCAGTTCCATCACGTTTCCAGTGCTCGCATGAACATGCCCGAGCAATTGGTGCACGCCAGCAGCGACAAAAATATTGTTAACAGGCGCTTCTCGTATCGATTTGATAAGTGTTTGCTTGTTGCTGTTGTTGTTGTTTTTGCTTTGGCAGCAGCAATTTTGGGCTGGTGTTTTGTGTTTTTATACTTTGATTGTTTCAGGTGATACGGGCCGTGCAGACGAGAGAGTGTTTGCCTTTTACATGTTACGATTTTTGACGGCTCCTAATGCGGGCGTCGGCTTCCGCTGCCAATACAAATACTAATAATTTATAAGCAACACTTAAAACGTTGGCCATGAAATCGTGGCCAAGGCGATGGGTGGGGTACAAATAAAAGCCGTTTGACTTGGTTTGGCAAGTGCAAACTAGAGGCGGCAGAAGTGCAGGCGTGGCCCACTATAGTTTGTCTACGATAAACGGTACTCATATCTCTCATGGAGGTAAACTGGTATGTGTAAGCCTTTCGACCCGTTTTTCATAATAATAATAGTATGACTCGAGTTTTTTGCTTCTTTTTGTTCAGAACTCAAGCCAGTTTTGTATGTTATGTGTTAATAGGTGGCTTGTTGAATATCAGCGGTTAATTCAATATTTGCTCATCGTTACAGCTGGAATTCGCTAATGTGCTTTGACTTTCAAACTATCTAAATACAAACATAGATATTTGCCCAGTAAAACAAGACTAATTGGCAGTGGAAAAAAACGGAGAGAGAGGCGCCGAAATAGATCGTGCTGGAAGTTAAGCCGGCATTGCATTCAACCTTGACAAAGAAAATTTCAATTTGCTTAGTGGCAGACAAAATGTAGTTATCATATCTGGAATTTATATTGGTCCATATAGCGACACGTCGCTTCAGCTTCAGAAATTGTATCAATTTATGGCAAGAAGCAAACGAAGAACCAAACCAAACCAACCCAAATAAATACGCACGCAATTCTTTCTAATTCTATATGAGAAGAAATGCCGACAGCACAAAACTTTTTTGATTGGCTTAATTATGCACAATAAATACAGTTCGTCCATATATGTATGTGTGCGATATGTTATGTCCGATATCATATTTTGCAGCTTTCTTTTCTCATATGGTAAATTGTTGGGCGCTGCCAATTAAAATAGAAATTGTTGACCTACCAAAAAATTTTTATAGCTCGCTTACTGCATTTGCATAATAAATTGCTACAAATGTTTTTCCTAACAAACTCCAAAACGTTACAAAATATTTCGTCGGCGTAGTTGTTACTGCAAATCACACGCGTTTCGTTCAATAGAGGACAGAATAACTTTCGAAATACACACGACTTTTAAATTGTTAAAGCGCAAAAACGCTCTGCACAGGCGCATAACGTGTTTTAAACTGAGCGCAAAGACTGAGTCGATCGGTCAACAACGCGCGAACACACCGCCAACAGCTTTAATAATAACAAAAACAACAACATCAGCAAAACCACCAGCAGCAGCAGCGTCAAAAACACAAAAGCAACAATAGACAGCTTTAGTGAATGAAAGTGTATTTTTTATGCTCAGCTGTCTCTATTATTGTTACAATGACAATGTGCAGTTTTTATGCATGGGCCCGGGGCTTACAATAACTGTCCTTTACATTCCCACAATACCACAGTATAAACAATGAGCAAAAGCATGACGAAAATCTAACATATGCTGCGCTTGTAACGCACAATGAGCATAATTTTTAAATTGAAGCGCGAGCCGCATATTCATACTATCGATAAAAATTGCATGATTTTACAGCACTAGTTTTCAGTGTGCCTTAAAAGCTATCGAACTTAATCGAAACTGGCACCTGGCTCAGCTGTTTTGAAGAAGCAGCATACGCGTTTTGCAACGAAGTTATTTGCCAAAAAAATTACAAATACGCCACAAGATCATGGCTGGACGTGAAGCCGTCAAACGTGCCGTGCAACAGGTGCGTCCTATATTGTCCGTGGACAGGGAAGAAGCACGCAAACGTGCTCTCAACCTGTACAAGGCCTGGTATCGTCAGATTCCCTATGTTGGTAAGTCCATTTGTTATGTCATCAAACTGTCCCATCGGCTACAAATATAAACAATATTTTTTTCAATCAGTTATGGAATACGATATTCCAATGAGTGTCGAACAGTGCCGATCCAAATTGCGCGACGAGTTCGTCAAACATCGCCAAGTGACGGACATTCGTGTGATCGACATGCTTGTCATTAAGGTGAGTCTAACTAAAATGATCTTTGTCATAAACTTATGCTCCTTTAACTTATTAAACAGGGCCAGATGGAGCTAAAAGAGACAGTCGAGATTTGGAAGCAAAAGGGGCACATAATGCGCTATTGGAAGGAATCGCAGGATCCCAAACCCACAGATTTTCTCTCAAAGTTTATTCAGGGCGTTAATTAGCTATAAATAAAACAAGCACTGTGCAAATGCTTTAAGAAATTGAAATAGTTTAAATACAAAGATTAAACGTTTGGCACGAAATGTATAACTGAATAATCAAAAATTTTTGGGCGCGCTTTCGAAGCACTTGATTGTTGTTTATTAAATTACTTCAGAAAGGAATAATGTATACGAAGAAACTATTGTGTATATACCCTACATACAAGGGTATGTGAACTTGGTGGTTTGGTTGGGGGAAACGAAATACAATTTAAAATTATAGCAAAATTGTGTAAAGTATGCTTTGTGATAACGGCTGCTGATTGTTACTGATTGATGATAGGGTTGATTGATTGATTGATTGATAGATGCAAACAGTCTTCCAGCTCTCGTTAGCTATTCAACGTTGATACTTAAAATTCTATGCAGGTAAATGTATCCGTGGCCTTCTTTACTTCATGGCACCAGTTCCAGCAGATTATCCAGTGCGCTAATGGAATTCGAAAAGAGATCAGTGGTAATATCATCATAGTCCAAGCCCATGCGTTTCAGTTCCGTGAAGCATTCATCACTAAAGCCCGGTATTTCCAATGAATTGTTGCTCTTACTGAATGCATCATGGCGATTGGTATAGCCAATGCGTTCCCTAAACATTTCAGCCAATTGCTCATCAGTCAGCTCCACCGCATGCATCTTCTTGGAATGTTGACGTATCCTTAAATTTAAGATTATCTCATATTTTCTATAATTACTTGTATTTGGCCTTAAACTTACTTGCCGCGATCAGCAAACTCTTCGGGGCAGTGCTTGCATTTGTATGGATAATCTGTATGCTCGTATTGATGTTGTCGCAGACGTGCCCGTGAATTGGTCTCGAAATTGCAATTCTCGCAACGCCAGATCTTCGACTTTTGATGATTACGTTGTTCGTGCTCACGCAGCAAGGCAAAATTTTGAAATTTACTGCCACAAATGCGACAGCTTACCACCTCCTCCTCCTGAACATGGGCACGTTCATAGTGCACACGCAGCTCGGCCGCATTTATGTAATTAAGCGAACACTTGGCACACTGATAATGCCGTTCTGAATGCCGTTTGCGATGCACCGACAGCGATTCACTATTCTTAAAGCTCTTCATGCATATTTCACATTCGTGCAATGTATCCACTGCATGTTGCTGCTGCAAATGCAGTTCGTACTTGCGCATGCTGCTAAATTGTAGTTCACAAAAGTTGCAATGCACGGGCTGTTTCACCTGACAAAAGCGCTGGTGTGCCTGCAAGCTGCTCTTCAAATTAAACACCTTATCGCAGGCGGTGCATACAAATTGCTGCTCATTAATATCTGCACCCAATTGCTGTTGCTGTTGCTGCTGCTGCTGTTGAGGCGTATGCATGCGTGTATAGTGCGTACGGGCTGACCGCTGATCCTTGAAGATGCGTCCACAGGCGGGACAATTCTGTTGCACGTAGCAATACATTTCTGCAATGGATTAAGATGAAAGCTTAACAATTGTTTTATAGTTTCTCGTCTCTCATCCAGCACACACCAAAATCGCCATCAATTTTGTGATGCTCTATAAGATGCTGCTGCATATCCGTCCGGCTATTAGTCACATAGCTATTACAAGGCCGACATTTAAAGCTTTGATCTATAAATATTACATTATTAGATAGTTGTAACCCTTGCCACTTAGCTAAGCCCTACTTTTAGTCAGCCCTATGATATCATCTTCAGGCACATCACAATTGTGTACTCGCATATAATGCGTGCGCATCTGTTTGGCCTCCGTGTGTGTGTGTTTGCAGATGCTGCAGCTGAGCAACGGTATGTTCACATTAACATCCTTACTAGTCGTTGCTTTTGAATGGGTGTCCATAGAGCTGGGACTTGAGCCACTCAATTCCTCCGTAGCTATAAATAAGCAATTTAAATATGAATCAATTTGTTATCAGAAATGCTTTGAGCTTAGTGCTTACATTTTAATAGTATCGCTTTAATGGACTCAATGGATTGCAGTTCCTGGTTAGTTTGGCCGCTGCTATTATCATCGTTCAGAGTCATATAGAGCGCGCGTTGTATTAGATCGCCCTCAACGTCCGCCAGACCGGTTAACTCACCATTCTTGTTATTAAAATTATAATTATTGTTGTTCTCGCTGCTTTTGTTATCATTGATATTAATACTATTGTCATAGAATGTTTCACTGTTCTTCGCATCCGATCCATCGTTCTCATCCTCCTCATCCTGATCATTGCTATCATACTTAACATCGAACAGGATAACTGTAAGGCAGATAAATTAAAGATACATTTTTTAATGATTAAGATCACTTACCATCATCCTCCTTGGGTGGCTCACTGTTAAGCGACATATCGGTGTCTAGGCGGGGCATTTTTGCACCGCGCATATAAAGCACATTCTCCTCTATGGGAGCTGGCACCCCATCGTAGCTCTCCACGAATTGCTGGAACTCTTGACTGAATTGATTCCAATGCAAAAGTTCGCTGCTAGCCTTCCGCTTTAGTTCACCTGTTGTCGTTGTCGTCGACGACGTCTGTGCCGGCGGCAACAACTTAAGGCTCTGCGACTCAGCGAATAGTTTACGATTGGATTCCAGGGCGAGTTCTACAAAATGCATTGTTACCTCAAGAGCTCGGCAACAGCGGATGCAAATTTGCATGGGCCACCTGTAGCCCCCGAGAGACCGAGCCGTTAACGGTAAATTGGTGCACTGACGTAGGCCTTGACCGTAGGTCCGCGCATTTTTCAGACCCGGTATTTTTACATCCAGTTTGACGGTCTGACGACTTACTGAGAGGCACGCGCGGCATTTTGTGTTGTTCACTTTGTTCATAGCGAGCAACGCGTTGGATTTTGCAGCATCCGCTGCGGCGGCCATTCGATTGCAATTCAATTGTTTTTTATGTGCACGTAAAATCTTTTTCTTTTGTATTTATTTTTTTGAAATAAGCTGGTTTTACGGATAAGAAGTTAACAATGCCGCATTGGCTTTTCACTTGATTTTTTTCTTACTCGCGAATGTTGTTAGAGAATCTTGAACAAGAGAGTTACCTATGAACTGAATCGATTCGATACGAACAAGTTCCGAGGAACTATGAATGTTCAAATTTCATTCGATAAATCAATACGATATATCGATAGATGACTACGAAGAGTGCAGATAAAAACTCGGCGGTCCGCGCATATCTGAAATGACTTTAAGGAGTGCTGCACAAGTTAATTTTTATAAAAGTGAATATATTAGCTGGCATTGCCTTTCTTAAATCCCAAATTGAATATTAGCTTGAATTCAGTAAAAATAAATAACACGGAGTTTGTTTTATATTCATCAGAGAATAATGGACTTACTAGTCCCATTTAATCAGCTACTTAGGCAAATACACGTTTATTTTAAAAACAATTTTCTTTAAAAGTACACTATATTTATACAATATATGTACACATATATAAATAATATAGATAGTAATATACTCGTTGATAAAGACAACACTGCAATTTTAGTAGATGTAGTTGTAATTAATAAAACTTTATTACTGTTACCATAATATGTATTTAAGTAATGATGCAGACATATTTAATGTGCTTAATTTCAAAATTCAAATCTTAAAGATGCAAAACAAAAACTGAAATTATGTTAATGATGTCGCTACGTAACCATAATAATCATACCTTTTCACAAAGGTATAAACAAACAACGTTCTACTATATAGATATGCATACCTTATTAGATATATATATAACTTTATACATATATATCAATAAGCATACTTGATTGCCGTGATAAGTGTAACTCTAAAATAAAGGAGACGCTAAAGCGTTCGGGTGAGTGTGACACTATATGCTTATACTACAAATATCTTTGTACAGGTTACAACTGCGTGGGTTGCCATTAAATTATTGAATTCTGATCATATGTATTCTCAACTTGATGCGTCAGATGGTTGGCTAGTCAGATTGCTCGATATCAACCTTCAACGATCTACGTCCACGCAATTTACTTGATGACGATATATCATTAAAGCAATAAATTTTATCTATCTCCTGCTCGGTCAGCTCCCACTTGTGCTCCCGAAGCGCATGTCTGCGAAAGCTAAAAACAGAAAAATTGTTTTAAAAATCAATTAACACAGTATATATAAAGAATTATTAAACACTTACGGATTGCGTCTCATATACGTACGCACACATTTAGGACACTTATAAGAGTGTGTGCTCTTGTGGCTGGACATATGATTCCTGAGATGCAGACTAGTAAGCATATCGCATCCACATTCTGGACAGATATACTGCACGGGCGTGTGGGAAGCTGTCTGATGCCGTTTCAGATGATGTTTGTAGTTAAATGTCTTTGTGCAACCATCCACGCCACATTTCAGCGGAGCCTGTGAACCGGCGCTATGCTCTGACAGTAAATGCTGTTCCAGATCAGAGATGTTTGCAAACTCTTTGGGACACTGCTTGCACACAACATTTACCGGCGTATGTCGTTTCATATGATAGTTAAGTAGCGTTACGGTACGGTATGTTGTATTACAGATCTTGCATTGATGCTGGTAGCTGATGCGCGGTGATACAACGCCGCTGGAATGTTGCTCCAATTCATGCTGCACCAGCTTGCCGAGCTCATCGAAAGTTTGATTGCATTGCTTGCACACAAATATGGGGGTACGGGGCAGACGAGCGCGAAGATCTTTAACTGGCGATGGTTCCAACGCGTCAGTCAATAGCTTATCGGTTCCATTCAATAAATGACTGGGATTCGGTACAATGTTGTAGCTATCGTTGTTCTTAAGGGTCGTGGCATGCTCACCGTTGCCCATAAAATCTAGATCAAAGTCAAATGGCGTGGGCGTTGGAAAGAGTGTTGAGCCGACGGTTGTTGTTGTTGTCGTTGTCGGTCCTTCTTCAGTTGTTGTTCTTATTGATGGTGTTTTTGCTTCTGTGGCTTCCGTGTTTGATATTGCTGTTGCTTTCGTAGTTTCAGTTGTTGCTGAATCGGTTGTCTCGTGTTGTGCTTCTGGGTGGATATCTGTGCTTACATTTTCCGTTGTGCATCCTGTGTCCTTGTCTAGCGACGATAAACAAGGATCATTGCACATCAGCGTAGTTAAATAACATTTTTAAAGTGGCATTTGAATCGTTATGTTGTTCCAGTTGTTGTTCCGGCATGTGTTGGGCATATTTGGAATTTGAGTTTGAATTCATGGTTGCTACGCTATTGACCCTCTTACCGCATTTTCCATTGCCATCGCCATCGCCTTCACCACCGCCATCACCATCGACGGAGTCAACGAAATGCTGAGCCAATATGTTCGCATCCAGTTGAGTTGTTGCTCCGGATATTGCTGTTGTTGTTGTTTTATTGCTATCACTGGCATTCAGTGGCAATGTGGTTGTAGCCGTCGATGTGGTCGTGGTGGATGCTGAACTAGTTGTCAATTGAGGCGCCTGCATCTCAATAATTGTATCCACTAAATGACTACGTTGCAAATGTCTTGTAAGCGTACGTTTAGCCGCAAAAGATCGAATACAGCGTGGACAGTCATAGGGCAGTTCTACATAAATTACAGAGGCAATTGCAATACAACATAAATCAATAATAATCGTTTTACTTACTGCGTATGATAAACACCTCGTTTGCCTGCGTAGAGCCTGTGTATGTTTGAGAAGAAAAATGCTTATTTATGTCTACATTTAATTTGAATATTAAGATATTTACCACCATCGTTGATGCCATGATGTGCATTTAAATGCTTGCGCATTTCACCCTCCAGCTCGCATTCAAATGGACATTTTGCACACATTAGCGTGGGAGCTGTAAAAGAACACGTTAATAAAGGATTAAGTATTAAAACTGAAAACAACTTAATAAACGAATATATAAACTAGATATTTACGCTTTACCAGTGCATAATCCATTAGCGAAGGTTCAATTTAATATTATCAAATGTGATTGTTAAATTACATTTTCTGAAATTTTTTCATCCACTATCAGACTAACATTCTATGAGTTTCAATTTAAATTATAAATTCTAACTTCTTGAATTTATAAAGTTATGGTAGAACATTTTTCTAACTCTCCTTTAAATACTTACTTTTGTCAACATAAACATTTATCTTTTCAATAGTTGTACGGGCCACAGACACCTTATCGCCCTTGGCTTGCACCATGTCCCTAGTGGGCATGCGTTTATGCACCGTCTTATAATGCCGAATGAGCAGACGTTTCATGTTGTATAGATTTGTGCACAGCTCACAACGATACGGCGCCAAACCTGCAGAGCAAAAACTAAATGAAGTTATACAAATAAAAACGATTTATAAGATATACACTCACCGCGATGTACAAACATGTGATTCTCAAACTTATATTGGCTGGTGAACTTTTTATTACAATAGATGCAATACGGTTTCTGCAGATGCTTTGATTGCTCATCATCAAAGTCATCCACGTCGTCATCGTCACTGGTAAGCAACAGATTTTGATCGGCAGCCTCATCATTGTTGTCATTTTCATCCTCGTTTTCAGCATCTTCTTCATCTTCTTCATCCTCTTCGCCAACCTCGACATCTTCAAAGTCCTCAAATAGATTTTCCGCGTCAAAATCTAAACTGATATTATTATTATCAATAACAATATCATCTCCATCCACGACAGGCATATCATCGGCGGGTATGGTACAAATAGCAGCGACATCGGTATTATCTATAAAATCCTGCATGTCCCCAAATATGCTCGTGTTTGGATTTGTTGTCGATGATGTGGTTGTTACCACACCGTTTGTGTCCACTGAAATTGTGGTCGGGGTTGCTGTTGGTGTTGTTAAACTGTTGGCAAAAGATTGCTCGGGAAATATTGAAAATGTGTTTGAATCTGTAGTTGTCGCTGTTGTAGCATTATTATTTGGTAACTGCTCTGCAGTCGCTGCATAGAACAATGATGTGGTATCCACCACCACATTAATGTCATTCATAGGCGTTACCACCGTGGTTGTTGTTGTTGTTGCCAGGGGTGGCTGCGCCAACCCAGTCGTTGATGAAGTTGCAGCAGTTGTTGCCGTTGACGTTATGGGAGGATCTTTAAATAAACAAATTGAATTTATACCAAATTGATATTTGAAGTTATAAAACCTACATTTGATACCCAATGGAATATCGGGCTGAGTGGATGCATTTCCACTGCTTAGCATTGTATCAGTATTCCTCTGCTTTGGCTCATGCGTCCAACTAGGCCGCAGTTGCACCTCACTGGGCACTATCAGATGCTTATCGCTATAGTGCACACGCAATTGTCCACTGGTGGGTGCTTCGAACAAACACATATCGCAGGAATAAATGCGACTTCTATCCGCCGGAAAACTCAATTGTGATCTATCCAAATGATTCGAACGACTCTCGTTAACACAGGACTTGTGCTCCGTCGTATAATGCTGAATGAGATCTGCGCTGCGTAGTGAATAAAAGGAGCACTGATCGCAATAGAATTTAGGTAAATCTAAAAAGGTACAATTGCTTAGATAAATCAAATCTGTCATTTTAATTCGCAAAGACTCACGACTATGCGTTAATTGATGAGATTTCAGACGTGCCACCGTGGGAAATGCTTTGGGACACAGTTTGCATTTATGTTTCAGGGCACCAGTGGATGCGGGTGCTGGGCGCGGCTTTGGCTTGACTACAAATAGAGAGTAAATATAAGTCGGAAGCTAAAAACATGAGTTATCAGTGCCACGCACCTGTTATCTGTGGCAACACATTATCCACAACCATATGGCTTAAATCGATATCCATTTCATTATATGTTAAATCGTCCTTGGAATCATGAAATAGATTGTGCAATGTTACATTACTTGTTGCATTGGCGTTTTTACTATCGTCAATGTATTCGAATACCACACCGCCATCATTCACTTGCTGTAGGGAGCCATCGGGCATGACCAAAAATTCGGCACCGATGCTGACATTGGCGCTATTGGCAGTCCCTATCGTTGGCTCGGCCGTCTGATTGGTGGACTGTATAATTGGCAACGAGTTTGCCAATTGTTGCTCTATATCACGTAGCTGATCCGCATCAAGTTGAGGATGCGAAAAGTCTTCTGGTGTCAAAACAGTGGGTATCAGCAGTTCCATATCCTCCAGAGTGCAAACCTTCACTTGCTCATCCTCAGCTGGTGTATCTATTGGTATTTGTTTCGGCGCTATTATTGCGTTTACAGCTGACTGCATGGATCTTCGGATCTTAAGTTGATGCTCGATTTGGGCAGCCGTCAGGCCGTGTACTTTGCGGTAATGCTCCGGCAGCTGGCGATGCTTGAGCGTGACAAAACTGCACAATTTGCACTGATGGCTCGATTGATCTTTACGGGAGTACGTGTGCGTGTGGATAGAAAATACAGAAAAACGGTAATTAGTTTAAACTTCTAAGCGCCTAACGATACACATTGACCATTTTTAATTGGCATAACAAAATGAATATGGAATTGCATATGGGTGATATAAACAAATAACAAAGTAACATACATTTCTTTTATATAGTATACAAAATGTATAATTAATATAAACAATGGTTGTCATATTAATATGAACGTTAGCATTGAATTTTCACAAATGAAAATAAAATAAGAAGCAAAATATATAATTGTTTTGTCTACCCTCATATAAGAGAGACGATATTGGTGCCACTGCGTAAGACCTTCACTACATTACATTATTCATGACACAATAGTCAAACAATCGGCAATAACATAGTACCACCAGGATTGGTGAGAAGTTGATATGATTACATTGACCAAGTGTTGACTTTTTAGGACAAACGAGTATTCACCGTGCATATAATAACAAATTGTTAAGCTACACCTGAGTCATCACTTTTTACCTGCGTGCATACGTATGTGCTGCTTGAGCTCCATACGATTGGATATAATGGCACCGCATACTTTACATTCATGTCGCACAACAGGCTTTTGTGACTTTTGCTCCCAGGGCCTGGACTGCGTCGCATCCTCACTCTCGTTCAACTGCAACCAAAACAAATGATTAGAAAACACACACAAATGGAGCAATAGGCGTTCACACCCACCTCCAGCCATTGCGCTGACTGTTGGCCATTAAAACGCGTTGGATTCTTCAGCTTCCCGGGACACAATTTACGACAGAGTATTTCATGTGCTCGCAGGCCGTTTTGAATGAAATAGTAGGCAATTTGCAAACTTTTACTGCACTCCACGCATATATATTGTGGCAACTCGGGCTGATTTTCGATACGCATGCAGAATAATAGTAAACGTAGTAGGGGTATTTTTGTAGAAGACGCGTCACTTTCGCCACCGCCGCACTCGATGAGTGAGTCCAGTTTATAGAATTCTGCCTCAGATTTGAGGCAACAGCGACACAAAAATTTGTAATTTATTGCCATGTCCTGTGTTTTTACTCGCTTGTGGGCCATGTTGGCACATCAACGACGGTTAGACGTAAGGCAGCGGCGGTGGTTATTGCGATTTTGGACAGCATATAAACAAATAATTAAATTATTTTGTTGTGTCGCGCACTAACGCAAAAATATTGTTCATCTAGCCGTTCTAGAAGCGCAGACATTAAAAAAGCATTAACAGTGTGACGCCGTCGTTTTAATTGAGGGTTGCAACTTTATCATTTTGTGTGAATGGCAAAACAAAAATGATGAAACGTAATCGATAAGTGTAACGACTTATTTGGATAAGGAAATATGAAACGAAGCTAATTTAAATTTTATTTAAATTTATAAATGGGTTCATTTATTATAATCGCTGAGCTTAGTTGACTACTATTCGAGCTCGTCTTCAAGTTCTAACGCATGCATTTTTTTAATATGACACTTAAGCAAATAGTTTTCACGATATTTCTTTGGACAATAGGGACAATTAACTGCGTGGGGCAAATGTGTACGTCGATGTACAGCTAAAGAAGAGCTGGATTTGGTTGAAACACCGCAAATTTCACATGTATAATTGCGCTCTCCACTGTGCGTAGGCAAATGTGCGCGCAAATCCCACTTGTTTGCAGCACAGTAGCTGCAAAAAGTACACTGCCAGCGTTTCGATTTATCTTCGTGATAACGAATTCTATGCAAACGCAATTTGCAGGCATGAGGAAAGCCCACATGGCATACATCACAGACATAAGGATAGCTGCCGCTGTGTGTCCGGTATTTGTGCCGTCGCAGCTGTTCCTCATTGTAAAAACGTCGCTCGCACTCATCGCAGTTTACCATCTGAATATCCTGAGTGGGAAGAAATTCCAACAGTTTATCGTAATAATTTTGATAGCGACAGCGAAAGCTAGAATTATCTTTATGCATCGCATGCTGCTTCTGGAACCATTTGAGGAGCGTGCAGACACTGCGACAGATCACATGTGTACTGTGTGACACTTTAAATCGCTCGGCCAGCGTTTGACTTATTTCTTCTGCACTTTCCATGCGCTCTGCCTTAAAGTCCTCGTTTCTGTACTCCTCTCGCCAAAGATATTCATGTTGACGTATTTGATCAATAAAGTCAAGCAGAAGTTCGGGAGGGGTACGCAGCATGCTGTAGAATGGCTGATTGGGCTTCTGGAGGACAACTAAATTAATCATAATTGAATTCATATTAAATTCGCTGACCTACCTCAGCCTCAGGTTCCTCGAAGATCAACACGTCCTGAACTACACCCTCTACCTTTACATTCAAGGATTTTTCCTCAAAAACAGATTCATCTGTGTCTGTCTCCACATTTGTATGCTTATCTACACTGTTCATTTCTTTTAGATTTTGCAGCTCCAGCTCTACTTCAGCTTGAACTTCCGTATCCAAGTTTGGAGCCCGTTGTTCCTGCCATTGATCCGCCGCATGGCTTGTTTTCAAATGACTGAGAAACAGCAACCAGTCCGTTAAGCCTACTGTGTTGCACATACAACATTTGATTATAATTTCGTTGGGTTCACCTAATTTTAAATAAACTCTTGCACTTTCGATATAATTATTGTTTATATAGTCTCTGCTCATTGTTTACTAATTAAACATGCCAACTTGTTAATATATATACTCTTTTTTGCCATTCACCCTAATTTTGCACTTGGTATTTTTTAGTATATTATTATAAATTATCGCCGGTACAAAAATTGTGTACACCTACCATTTAATATAAGTTGTTAACAAAGAGTTGAGTCTTTTTAAGTTTGTAAAGTTTGCTTAAATGGCAAACAGTTATGATATACCCAGTTGGGCTGGCAAACCGCCTACTGGGCTGCATTTGGATGTGCTCAAAGATGACAAGCTGGTTCAAAAACTTATGGTTGATGAGAAGCGTTGCTATTTGTTTGGCCGAAATAGCCAAATGAATGATTTTTGCATAGATCACGCCTCCTGCTCGCGTGTACATGCGGCATTTGTCTACCATAAACACCTGAACATTGCCTTCCTCGTTGATCTCGGCTCCAGTAAGATAATCAGCTAATCTGTAGCTACTCCTTTAGTTATTTCACATTGTTGCCATTGCAGCCCATGGGACATTTATTGGCACCTTACGCCTGGAGGCACATAAGCCAACACAGCTGCAGATCAACAGTACGTTTCACTTTGGGGCCTCTACACGGAACTATATACTGCGAGAACGTCCCTCAGCGGGTGGTCAGCATAGTAATATTATGGAGGATCTGCCACTGAGCGAAACGAGCGACGGCGCCTTGCTAGGTTTGCCCGAGAGTCAAACAGAGTTAGATGTACGAAAAAACTAAATAACCACGTGTTAATTTATTAATACTCAACAAATCCTTCCAACAGAACCTGACCGAATATAATACGGCACATAATCGTCGTATATCTATGCTGGGAATTGCCGATGACAATAATTTGCGCAAACAGAATGCTTTGAAACAGGGACGCAAGAGACGAAATGTCACCTTTAATGACGAGGAGATCATCATAAATCCCGAAGACGTGGATCCCAATGTGGGACGATTTCGAAATCTGGTCCAAACGACTGTAGTGCCAGCCAAACGTTCACGATATGAACCAAATCACATGGGTCTACATACGGGCAGCAGCAGCGCAGCTAATGCACATGCCAACCATCAGATGTTCCAACAGAGTATAGTCGAGATGAAGCAACAACAGCAAAATCAACATCAACAGCAACACCAACAGCAGCAATTACCTACAACACCCCAAGCCGCTACCCACTCGCCTGTTAATTCGTTATATCAAGGACTGCCAGCAAGTAACTATGATCATAAAGGCAACAGCGAATTTGAACCGATTTCCCCGCTGGGCATTGGCTCAAAACTGGGTCTGATGTTGCCGAATCCTGCTCCAGATGTAACGCCCATATATGAAGAGCCAATGATTCCCAGCTCGTCTATAGCTCAAAAGTTAGCCATGGCCAATGCGAATGGTGCGTAGAATGAAATATAAATTTTAGGGGAAAGATTATCATTTTTACACTTTCATTGCAGTACGTCGCTTTGTGGATGATGTGCATGAAACAAGTGGCGAGGGCGACTCCATGTGTCCGCAAAAGAAGAAATATGCCAAGGAGGCGTGGCCTGGACGCAAACCCATGCTGGGGCAGTTGTAAGCCCTATCCCGCAATCTTGGCTTTTTCCAAATAGTGTGCACAGCTATTCCAAATTGGAATCTCTCCGACGCGCTGCTTGCAAATTAATTTTTCCCATTTCTAGTTCAGTAACAATTTTTATGAAAAAAAGATAAAACTAAATTCCTTGGCCTACATTCTGCAGTTGTGTGGATAGCGTGGGTAGGGTATAACATCCCTTATGTTTTTAACTCCCGTGACCAGTTGCAGATATCGCTCAAATCCCATGCCAAATCCTCCAGTCGGCAAGCCACCATATTTGCGCAGGTCCACATACCAGCCAAGGTCCTTAGGTAATTGCGGATGTTTACTCAGTAGCTCAGCATCAGATTCACGTAAGCTGCCGCCGCACAACTCGCCAACCGAAGGCATCAGCAAATCCAGAGCATGAACGCGCTGCGGATCGCTGCGTGAGACCCTCATATAGAAGGGTTTTTGTTGAGTAGGCCAGTTCAGAACAAAGACAGGTGCTCCGCAGTGTGCAACCAGAAATAGCTCTTGCTCTTTGCTGAAACCGTCATCCGCGCTAACAGTGGTCTTAAATTTATCTCTATTAGCCACAACTATCGCCAAGGCTTCATCATAGCTAATTAGTTTCCAAGGCGCCTGCAGCCACGCCAAGTCAGAGCTGGCTTTGGCGCTACGTTGACAAAAATGCAAATCGGACGCGCAGTTATTGAGTAGCCGCTTGGTAATCTCCTTCAGCATGCACTCCATGAATGTCGCCAGCGTATCTAACTCATTCATATACACCATCTCCGCCTCGAACATATAGAACTCGGCTAAATGCAGCGGCGACTTGGAATTTTCCGCACGAAAAGCGGGCGCAAACGTGTAAGTGTTGCCCAAGCCATAAGACATTGCCTCCAGATGCAGTTGACCGGAGACGCTCAAAAAGACCTTCTGATCGAAATAACTCTGCTCCACGGGCACATTTGGCCGCGACATCTGTTTAAGAAGCTTTTCCGAATCGGGTTGAACGCGAAAGACCTTTAAGAGAATGGATGACTATATTAGATAATCCAATTGCTTTATTCATAGGCTTACTTCGCCAGCTCCTTCGCAATCATTAGTTGTTAGTATGGGCGTGTTTATCTGCACAAAATTCAGCTCGTCCATGTAATCGTGTATGGCTTTCTGTGCCTTGTGCCTGACTCTCATCTGGGCGGCAATATAGTCGATGCGGGCGCGCAAATGCAGATGCTCTCGCACATATTCCGGTGCATGCTGCTGTTTTGGTGAAAAGGGATAGCCCTCCTGCAGATGACCCTCAGCTGCATGATTATAAAATATGAGCCGAGTGTATTATATAAGCTATATATTTACCTATTGATTGGACGTCCTCAGCATGCAATTCGTAATGCCCATTGGGCGCCAATTGCACACGACCCACGGCTCTGACTACGTCGCCGGATGTTAGCTGCTGCGTATCCAAATTCCGTGGAACAACCAATTGAAATTTTTCGCTCGTCGAGCCATCGTTGATATCCAGAAATATATTGTTCTTCAAACGTCGCACATTCTTTACCCAGCCCTACAATTAGAAAATAGTCATGAATCCCATAATAGTCGGCTAAGCCTTGTCTTTTTACCTGTACTTCCAGCGTATCTCCTGGTTTGTTGCAACCAGCTATTTGGGCAATGCGTTGAACGCTGCTATAATATCTTCTAATTAAAAACATTGCGCCCACATTTCTTTATCAACCAAACAGCTGTTTTAAGCTACGGCTAGTACGCTGCTCCAAATACATGCTGCCTACTGTCCATGGGCGAACAATATCATGCATAATTCTTTAGCATATCTGATGGCTGATTGTACATTTGAAGATATACAAACAATTATGTTAATATTTTAAGGATGCAAATTACATTTATTCCAAATTAATATTTAATTCATATATTTGTACTGCATACCATTTTTAAGCTGCAGCTTTCTGAAAGTATCGATAGCGATCGATATCATTGATAGTTTTAAAATTTAGCAGTTACGTTTCAACGTGATTAAGTACATTTAATAGTTTGTACTTTTCAATTTCACTGAAAAGCTTTTAATATACATGTTAATATACAATACACAACCCTTAATCAATTATAACTTATGTGTATTACATGTTTGTGCTGCTTATCAGCTCTGAAAAGCAGGTGGAAAGTATCGAATTATATTGATAAGTTTTTTCCTTTCTAATGTAGCTGCTACCTTTCATCGTGCTTTAGAGTCTCCAATATTCTGTTGTATCCAGTCATTAGCAATTTTCAGTAATTTTGGATTATCCACAAATTCCTTTTGATCATGCTGCTTAGCGTCATTATCTTTGCCGCCTTTACGCACAAACGCGGCTTCGCCCGACCGAAGAATTCCAACTTCTGCCATTTCATTCATGTTGACAGACTTATTTTCACGAAAGTTTTTAATGCTTAAATGATTAAGTAATTTTTCCAGTCCCACAACATCGGGCGTGCAGTCTAAAAATTTGCCAACTTTTAATATAGTACCTTGTAAATCTACTAGCATGTCTTCATAGTTGAGATAAAGCACATTTGGCAGTTTACTATGTGCCTTTGCCTCTTTTATATGACTGTAGTAAGGCAACCAGGGATCTGCAAGTGTATCATTTTATACATATAGGAAGAGTATTCAATATATGTACATACTTAAACCTTGCTGAAAATAGCGCCAATAACGTTCGAAATCTCCTATGTAGCCCTGCGTGCGAAACAAACGATTCAGATAATAATAGGACACAGCTACATCCTTGGGATTGCGCGCCACATAGATGATCTGAAAATAATACGAGACTATAATAGAAGTTTTTTGTAATTTGAAAAGTCAGTTACCTTGCATTGGTTCTCCAGCACACTTGGAGGTATCAAGGAAAAGGGGAAATGGGTTTTAATAAAGCGACGCCGATCATGGGGTAATTCACCCAGCGTCTCGTAACCCGGTCTCGAAATATGGTCAATAAACCCGAGAGCAGCAGGAGAATGACTATTCTCAGCTTGAAGTTCTGCCTTCACTTCATCGTGTACGAACAAGGGAAATCTGTATAAAAAGAGTTTATAGCTTAAAAATATGTCTAATATATATGTTCAGTGTTCACTTACTCCAGAAAGGGAAAACGTTCAGTGAGAGGACGTTGTTGTGCCTGCTCAAAGTCAAGGCCATTAGCTAGCAGCCAGATGAGCTCTTGGGTCCAAGTTGTGCCCGATCGCGGAACAGTTGCTATCCATATATCATCGGGACGCGCCTCGAAATTGTAATATTGCGCTGCATGAGCTTTAAACTTGTGTGGAAAGAAGTAGCCCTCGGGTCCAACTTGCACAAAGCCTGTGCGCTCACCTGCCAAGTGTATTTCGATTATGTTCGATTTAAAGTATTTTCAGCTACCGCCCACCTGTAAAGTATTCCAGCAGCTCCGCATTGATGGTCGCGTCCACATCGCGTATGTCATAGGGAAATATAGTTTGGCACTTTTCCATTGCTGTACGAGACGCACTCGACAAGAAGCTAGCATTAACTAAATGCGACGACCGCCCAACTGGTTGCGATTGTGGCCGGGAAAGCGTCATGTTAACACGCACACACACACACTCACTTACATACGCACACACTCACAAACACTACATTTGGTTGCAACACTTTCGGCTACGCAGTGAAAGTGACCTCTGTGGCCGGAATTCGACAGCCGCTTGGCACAATATTCAATTGCAATAAGTGTCGAACTAAGCGAAATGTAATGCTAAGTAAAATATATATAAGTGCTTTGCCAGGCACTGCATATACCATTTAAAACAATCTACCCAAACTAAAATCTTCATCAAAATCTGGCATCGTACATGAAGTTTGAACCTCGACTGCAGAAGTTAAAGTTCCTTAATAATAATATATTAGAATTGTATTTAAGACGAATTAAAATGTTAAAACAAAATTAAAAACACAATTTTTAAATTTATTTTTTTTTTGTTTTTTGTTTTGTGTTTATATTCTTCGCAACTCAAAACAATTCTTTGGACAAATATCACAAAATTGTATGAAAACTATTTATAACTCAGAAGCAAACCACAAAACTATTTTATATTATTATTTATAAATAATCAGCTTGAAATAAATATATTTATATATATATTTTTATATATTTATATATATAAATTTGATTCAGTGTAAAATTGTATTAATCAGCAGAAATTAAACACAGAAAGATGTTAAGATGTTATCATAGTTAAGTCTAATATACCCTTTATTTCAAGTATATGTTATATGAGCACAGACAAACGATAATCGAGTTGCTTTTAACCATGTCAAGACTTGAATAATAACAAAAGCAATTAAAACAAACACTAGCGCGTTGCGTTGATTCCGGCAAAAAGTTTATTGCGATTGTTGAAAACTGTTAAAAATAATTGTAGAAATGATGCAGCTGTACGTGTAGTTGTTGTTGCTGGGTCTAGCAGGCTGGCTGGGTGCAGCGACGCTGCTTGACCAGACGCTTGGGGCAGGATTGGCCGCCACGCTGGGGCTCACTGATGACATAGCGATAGCCCTCGGTGTAGCCGGAACCACAGCTCACGCTGCAAGGTGACCAGTTGGACCACTCAGACATAACACAGTCCTTGGGCAGATCGCTGGGCGTGTCTACATTCTCGCCACGTATCTTGCTGCAAGTGTGCAGGCAATCGTTCTCGGTGAGGAAATTGTTGCGATTGCCACGGCAACCGCCGTAGGTGAAGGATTCGCACCGGTTGGCTTGAGCATTGTAGGCATAGCGTTGATAGTTGCCACGACAGGGACCTGACTCTGGCTGCTGCACGCATATCTCCTTGGCTTGTTCCATGTTAATGTTGCAGTCTAAGGCGTGCTGGCATTCCCTTTGTTGATGCAGCTCCAAGCGTTTGCTGCAATTCTCCTTCATCGGGCCGTCTTCCAGCAGCACCAAGCGTTTGCGTATGGAGCTACCACGCCCGCATATACCTGTGCACGGACTCCAATCACTCCATTGGGTAGTCGGACAATCGGGATCGGGCAGTTCCACCTGTTCGTATGTGCAATCCGGTCGCATGCATTTGTTCTTCTCCACAATTGTGATGTGGGGACAGCGTTTGCGTCCCTGAGGACTAACAAAATTACGCGTGCGCATGGTAATGCCAATGCCACAGCTGGCCGAGCACTCCGACCAGACGCTCCAGGGCGACGTTTTGCAGATACCGGCGCCTTCACCATTATCGGTGATCAACGATTGCGAATTGGCCATATTTTCGCCCTCATCATCGTCACGATCTTGGCCAGCCGAGCCATTGGCACACTCCGGCACATCCGCCACACACATCTCTTTCGACACCAGTTGACGGCTGCACTTGCTCTGCTGTGCCTGCTCGGCATTCAGATACTGTCGGCTGCGCATGCGTATGCCCTTTCCACAAGAAACCGAGCAAGGACTCCAGGAAGTATAGCCGCTCACACGACATTCAGCTTCGAAGCAAGTTGACCGATTAAAAGGGATAATCATGAGTAGTATTTAACATAAGACTTACCCCGTGTATCCTGCTCCTCGGCATCATCGGACACCTCCAGTTGCAGAGCTTGCAGAAAATCGTCATCGCAATTGCGTGAGATAATTTTCTCGCGACGCAAGTAGAGCTTGGCCAGCGGCGTCATTTGCTGGCTCTTTGGATTGTAAAAGGGTGCGCGTGGATCCTCGGGATACATAGTCGTAATTCTGTACATGCGTTCGCGTGGCTGAGTCTCAGAATTGGGGGACTACAAAAAATTTAAAGTTAGTTCAAATATAAATAAGACAAAACCATAAGCTTTTACCATATATGTTATACCACTGTCAGTGCCCGCATCCCAGGGATATAGATCAAAGTCCATAGACTCCTTCCAGCTGCAATCGGAGGTGCAAAGATCTACTCCATTAATGCCCACCACCCAGTCAGGTGATGGACCAAACATGGATGCCAACGAAATCTTGGGATGCTTGCGATCAACGCGAAATTTAGAAGAAGTGTTCTGATTGACATTTGGATACCATAAACCAGCCGCTTTGATGAGCGTACGCAGTTTGGGACCTTGGGCACGCAGCTCCGTTTCCAGGGCCGTGGGCGAGCCCCATTCGGCCAACGAACGGAAACCATCCGTGGCGATGTGATTCTCGCCCCAGAAGGAAAAGTTTGTCTCATGCGAAGCGCCAATTACATCAGAGAAATGCGTCAGCCAGATGGCAAAGGGGTAATCCTTTGGATGCGTCTCATTTGACCAGATGCCCTCGAAAACAAACTGCCAAGACGATACGTTAATTACATTGAGTATATATATAAACTATCTCCGACTTACGCTATATTTGGCCTCATCACAAGCACAGCACTCCTTATTCACAGCAGCTGCGCTTGGCTTGTGCTCGCATATTACTTGGGTGAGCTGACCATCATCCGAGAACCAGGCTCGTGGACCTTCATATACCATAGCAGATAGTGAGACACAGCCCGAGCCTGCCTCTGGTGCCACCCACATAACCTGAACTTCAGTCTTGGGCAAATCATCTGCTTCGGAGACTGTGTTGACGCAGCGATCGTTGAATTTGGTAAGTGAATCGCTGAAGAGTTGGAAACGACCAACACGGCGTGGACTGGCCACCTGCGCACGCCTGGCGCCAGTGTGCGCCTCAGCAGCAATGGTAAAGTGAGTAAAGTGCTGAATTTTTGTATGAGTACGTGAGCCAAGCAACAGTACTGAAAATACAAAATTAAGAACATTCGTAAAATTTCAAATAAAAATTTCGCGCTATTACTCGATTCTTTTAAAATTAAGTTGAGTATCGATTATTCAGCTTGATATTTTGCTAAGTACAAGTGTGGCTCTTATCGATAGTTAAACATAGCGGCTTCAGTGCTTGATCGTCCCGCGTTTTTCACTTCAGTTTGTTCTTCAGTTATTGCTTTAAAAATTATCAAAAACAAAATATACAAATAAAAAATGAATTGCTTTTTCAATTCGCTTTCGGAAGGCTGTGTGAATTTCGAAAAATGCGGCGATGTGATCGTTTCACCGAAGGACAACATGATTGGGATGTTTTGTCATTTTTGTTCTGATATTTATACAAATCTGTCCGAGTTTCTTCATCATTTGCAATGGATGCACAACGATGTCCTTAAGTTTACCGAAACGTACAATGTCTATAGCGTGGAAGAGTTATTGTCATCTGCCGACACACAAGTAGATGTCCAATCGCAAGCAAATAGCAGCAGCAGCAGTGATTCAGGAATGCCAGCAGATACTGCAGATGCCACTGGCACAACCTGCTTGAACAACGGCATCAGCTGTACCACACAAACCGATGCAATAGCGAGCATCGCACTGAATCAAAACATTTTGAGTGCCTTAGCCAGCTATGAAGTGGATTACCAAGAAACAAAGGCCAGCAAGAAAACAAATTCACCGAAAAATGTTTTGCAGTGGAATACAGAAGGTTAGTTCCATAAATTATTATATTATAAAATACTCTTTAACTATCTATTTTTGCAGCTGATAGTTGTTTACCGGTAGCTGATCCAGTAACAGACGTCATAGCCGAAGTGGAAGCCATGCTGTTGAACTATGAGCCACAAGCTGATGAGAAAACAGCTCCCAAAAAGGCAAAATTGCAGGTTGCAGATGCTTCCGATCATAACTTGCAATTGGAACAAATGTTTCAAGCAGCTGGCTTGGTAGATTTTGAGCTTTCCAAACCTGATCCAGTGGACATAACTGAAAAGCGGAATTCAAAGCGTGGAAAACCACCAATGGAAACCATAAAACCTAAAGCTGAAAAGACAAAGTTGACTTGCGATTATAAGAGCTATGCCATAGCCCGGTCTGCCCGCAAGCGAGAGCAACAGCAGCGTATGCAAAATATTAAGAAACGCATATTTAGCTCGCTGAAAAACGATTCGCGTAGGCTACATCGTGTACCATTCAAGCCCGCGAACGAAAATACTCTGATTGAAGAAGACCTCCTTTTAAGAGCTCAAAGCGTGGCTAAGCAAAAGCAATCTTTAATTAAAGATCAGCTTGTAAAAATCAACCAACACAAACAATTGTTGCCCACAAAAATAAAGTGTAAACTTAACGCTAAGTCAACTCCTTCAGTCCAAGCTGATGTAAACCGACTTAGATCTGATGAGAAGCTCACGAAGGATTTCGAACTGGCTACACAATCAAAGCCAATGAAACCTAAAAGTAATAATCCAATTAAAACGGAACAAAAAACAAGGCACATCAATGTGGACCACGAACAGATCAACATATCAAATCAGCACAGGGAATCAAGTGCAGCTGTCACAAAGAAACTTGAAGAACTGCCAAAGCTAGAGATAAACAAAACATATTCGCAAATCCAACTAGGGAAGCTTATACTAGGATCTTCAGTAAGCAAAATCAGCAGCATAGATAGGCCGCTTCAGAGAAGAGCTTCAATAAGCGAAGGTAGTTCGCCAGTTCTAAAGGAAAGGCCAGCCAGGCGACCCTCTTGTTCAGAGCCAAGCATTCGCAAAAGTGAGCTACAATTTAAGCTGGAAACTACCGATAACGAGAACAAAGAGTCTTCAATTGTTCCAGTTGACACAAAAAGTAACAAAACGGATCAAAATATACCTAACAGACTCTCACTGAATTTCGATTTGTCCGAAAGCGTGGTAGAGTTTCTCCAAGTAAGTCCAGAGCTGAGTTTCTTTCAACAAAAATAGCTAATCCTAAACATAATAAAATTAGCAATTTAAAGATATGTTATCAATGACTCAGTTTTGATTAAGTCATATCAGATTGAAGTAAATGTCGAACGAAGTCGTTTTGGGTATTGATTTATATGCTTAATTTTACTCTTTTTCAAGAGCGACTTGAAAACTTCCTTCGTAGATGCTGATAGTTTGCTGGAATTGGCGGAGGTTAACGAATTGGAATCCAGCAGTAATGCCTCTGAAAATGTACTTAAAGAAGTTACAAGCGAAAAGCAACAGCAACAGACACAGCTGAGAACTCATACGGATCTGACAGCAGAAATTAAATTCAACTCTGAAGCTAGGGAACTGCGCACGGATTCAACTCTCCTAAGAGCAGTAGGCGTAAGTGAAAGCATTGCAAAAAATTTAATTTATAAATACCAACTCTCTATCTACACACAGCTGTCCATTATAAAGTATGCAGATTATGAGGAACTAAAACCCATTGAATTAATCGATACTATTCGAGGAAAGGCAGCTAAATTTGGCAATATGCTGAGAGTATATGGTACTGTTTGGAATCCCAAAAGATTTAATGCACAATGCACACAAAAGATCCACAAGGAACTGCTCTTGCTCACAGAGGAAATAAATACCCAATTTAAAATCAAATTAGATGTCAGCGAATTGAAGCGAATTTTAAATTTAATTAATGCCTGGCATGCTCATCAAATCGATCTTAAGTTCTTTAAAAAGGTCGCGCTGTCTGTCACAGTGGATCATTATCTGCAGTTGTTCGCTTTTCTGCCCAAGATAAATCGCTGTGTGTACTATTGCGAATGGTGCGACGAAAGCAGCAGCAACAAATCTCGCTATGAGAAACATCGTCTGACCCATCTGTCCCGATACGCCTGTCCACATTGCCAGCGAGGTTTTAAGAAACAAGGCTATCTGTTTAATCATTTACGCATAGTACACGGCCGGGATCATTAGAGTTGTTCCATATACTAAACTGAGTATTAAGTTTTCTAATACTAGTTAAATCTTAATTTTTATATTTTTTAACATAACTTGTAATCTGTTTTGGATTTAATTATATATCTAGTCTTTAATTTCTATATCAATGCCAAACATTAGACAATAGAAAAATCTACTTTATTCAATTTAGCTTAAAGAATTCCATGACATATAGCAAATCATGACCTTAAAAAATATGAAGCGTATGTGCCATAAGTTTTGTATTATCTTTATATGTTAAACAAAATTGAAATCCATGAAATTATGTAAAGTTAAAATAGATCTGAGATCATTTGTTGAGCAAAACTGAAAACTAATATTTTTAGATGTGAAATCTAAAAAAAAGAGAATTTCATGGCATAAAAACTTGTGTAAGCTAAAATTTGATAATATATTAACTGTAAAAGCCTAGGGGTATTGCAGTTAGCTTGCACCATGTAATGATTAGCTTTTATATCTACGTCAATCTGTATTTTAAACCAAATTGTGTACGTAAAAACCAAAGCAAACAGGCGGCTGCAATACTCTTTAGTTATTAGAAAGTGTTACATTTGTGTTGATAAGACTTCAGATTTGTATAATATTTAAATATATATATATTGAATATTAAACTGTACTATACTTATATTCAGAACACTGAATAAAAATGTTTTTTTAGTTTTCAATTATCAGTTGTTTCATTGGGCAATGAAAGAATTAAAAATTAAAATGATTAAAAATTAAAATTGCTTAAAATAACTAGTGATATATAGTTAAACTTGCTTTAATATTTTAATTATTTTTTATAGTTTCAATCAAATTATCAATAATTTGAATACCGAAATTTGTTAAAATTGATTCATTTGAATATTGTTTTGTACTTGAATTTTGGTCTTGTGCAATGGAGATTTTGTGCCGTGTAGCGTCACGAGCAAGAAAGACACACACGACACGATCTATATACACATCTGCTGAATACTTATTGCTTATCGCCTTCGCTTTATGCTGTGCGCTTTAGGGGTCACAAGGCCGTGACCCTCCCTAGCGCTGATTAAGAAACGCTTTGATTTTTTTTTGTAGATAGCATGTGTTTAAGGTCCGCATAACACTTACAGTTGTATGCCTTGCCGGGCATATAGCCATTGGGTCCATCAGCCACAATTAATTTGTATCCGTTGTCGCCGCGTGTACGTCGGCCATGAGGCAAGTGTGTGGGCGCCCTGGGGCAGCCAGCCGTTGGACTAATTGCGCCTGCCACAAGACAGAGAACAACAGCAGCGCTGATAAACGATGGCAGCGAGTGCCACATTTTATAATCTTTTCAATTTTCTTTTTTATTTCCTTGAGCGAATAAATAATACGCGACCGTCTCCGACAATGCTCACCAACCGACTGACTGAACCACTTTCAGCACTTTCCAGTTATCTTCGAGGGAATGTATTATATATACATATATTCTGATTGTCTTACATAGTCGTACGTACTATAAAAGCAACATATGAATTTCCATATGCACTTTGCTTCTTCAGATTAAAACAGCATCTGCCTGGACAGCATATGTTACATAAGATTCCTAAAGATTTCATATCAGAAATAAATTAATAGATAATAAGAATAGAGCCCCTTTTTTGCATTTAAACGTTTTAATCAGTAAATACGAACTCAAAATCAATCCTGAGAAGAAAAAATATACGCATATTTTCGCTTTCAATAATTATTATCCACAGAAAAAAATATATCTAGACAGATGTAAAAATATATTGGAAAACAAGTATTATTGCTCTAGTTAAACGACCTCTACTTTACCGGGATCCCTCTTTAAACTGATCATGAACATGCCAAGATAACATCACAATAGCATCATTCCCTCGCATTAACCTGTTGGGAATCAGAAGCAAAAAGCAACATATTCTTCATGTTACTTGATACAATTTACCATATATCCGAAAAATATCATTTAATATATTTATATATAATTGTACGCAAATATTTTTATTTCGTTTTACAGTTTCGCTCTATATATACATATGTATATAGTATAAATGTTTCCATATAATTACAATAGTATTATTACATACATATACATACATATAGCTTTTATTTTTGGTAACAATTCTTTCATATTATCTCGAAATGCAGCGTTTTAGTAGGTGTATATTTATATATATAGCTTATAAATTTGTAGGTTGGCTCTGCGCTGCATTTACATACAAACATGCTATACACACATACTCAAATACATACTTTGTCTCATATATATATATATATAGATACTAAATGTATATAAATCTAATAAAGCCGTAGTTAATCAAAATAAACAGCTACGGGCGTTTGCATTGGCATTTGTTAAGCAAAATTGAAAGTTAAATTATAAGGAATGGAGCAGCATAATTTCTGCTACCTGAGATACACGTAAATGTTGTTTCATATATAATAATAAACATAAAACAGGATCACATGATTTGCCAGAACTAATAGTAATAATAAAATGAGATATTTTTATATGTAATACATTAAAGCATAGTTTAACAGCAAATCACAAGCAACGAGCAAAGCTAATACTAAAAAGTCAGTATAGGCGTCTCCCGATGATCCAAAAGATCTGTAAAAAACGGAGCAAAAATATTTTATTAAAATACTTTTCTTTGTGTTTTTATTATTATAATCAAAAATCCATTTACTGACAAATCATTGAAATGTGCTCAAACTGAGCTATAGAAATCATTTTAACTGTTTAGCTTCGAGAGTTTGATCATCAGTCGCATCAAGCACTCGGCATTAATGCAGGACTTACCCTTGGCTATGCTCCACCAGGGCAGTGTCACATATGTCAGGAATGCGTTGAGCGGCGTCGACTGTTGGCGTCGATTCTCCTTCCAGAAATGAAAGGATTGCGTGAAGCCGCGACTGGTCCACAGAGGATTATAGGCGCCATCGTCGAGCTCTGCAAGCATAAAGAAATAAATAAATTAGTGAAGCAAGAAATTGACATTTGAATTAGGTTAAAACGTGCAGAGTGGATATTGGACAATATTATGTGTATGGTATTTAGTTAACCTTTGAACGCCTTCTTGGGCAGATCGCACCAGTAGTATATATTGGTGCCATCGGGTGTACGACGCTTGGGCACCAGATGCAGCACCTTGTGATAGTAGGATTGCTTTGCTGTGCGCGGCAATGTAGCGCTGCTGTGCGCCGTGTCATTTCCATTTGCCACATCCGCTTCGCCATTGAGCAGTGGCTGCTGCTCCACCGACTCCTGCTCGGCCGATTCCTGCTCCGGTTCCACATTATTGTAATTGTTTGCGCTGTCTGCTAACAGCTGCAATGGATGGCTCTCTGATTTCACAGGTACACGTAAACACTTCTCGAAACGCTGCGCAGACGTCACATCTGCTGGCGGCGTAGGCGTTGTTGGCGCCTGCTCCACCACAGGTAGCTCTTCTCGCCCGCGCACGCTTATCAATTCTTTGCTGTCACTCTCGCTGAGGATGGCAATTTTAGGAGCAGTTGTAGCCTCGTCAGCGTACAAGGATTGGCCATTTAGGGAGGTGGCATCATCAGCAATTTCATATTCCTCAGTTTTGGCAGCAGCTGTTGTCGCTTTCACATGATTGTTGTTGTTGCCGGTTTTGCACTTGATAGCGACTTTTGACCTGTCCTTGTCCTTGTTTTGGTCTTTATCCTTGGTCTTTTCTTTCTCTTTCTCCTTTTCCTTCTCTTTCTCCTTGTCTATGGCTTTGGCATTGCGCAGCCTTTTAGGCGACATCTTAGCCAGCAGAGAGCTCGCCCCATTTGCTTTCTGATTCGTGGACTTTTTGTCGTTCTCCTTATCTTTATCCTTGTTCTTGTCCAGCTCTTTGGGCTTGGTCAGACGCACACGCGCTGGCGTCACCTTTCTAGGCATTGGCACACTCGTTCGTCGATCTGCAGCGCTCAAGGATACGCTACGTGTAATATTGCTGCTGACCTTCCGTTTATTTTCTAAGCTGCTGAGCCTCAGGCTGCTCCGCTTACTGACCACCAGCTCGCTCTCCACGCACAATATGCTCGGCGGCTTGGGCTTGAGCCGTGTCTGCCCTCGCTTGTCGGGCATTTTGCTGAGGCACGCAGGCGTCTCATTAGCCACATCCTCACAGCTGGGACAGTAAACCTCCGACATTTCGGGTGTGTCGACGGTGCTGGTGTTCGCCGATGTCCAGCGTTTTTTGCACTTCTTGCCACCGAAACAATTGCAGCCGGTGCTGCTGCTGCTACCTCCGTTGCCTCCGTTGCCACCGTCAGTGATGACCTCAGTCGCGGCGCTTAGGGGCGGCGGAGTGACCGCTGTGACAGCCAAGGCTGACGAATCGCTAGTTGTGGTAGCAATTACTTCGTTGTTTATGGCAGCTGGCGTTAAATTCGTTTGGTCAGCTGCCAATTTGAGCGTTTCACAATTCGGATTTGGATGAAGTTTTGCCGCGGATGCCGAGAAAGCAGGACGTTGCTGATCTACAAGTAGATATAGATCGGTTTGTTGCATTTTTTATAAAGCATATACAACGACACATACAACAATCGAGCGAAACTCGACTGACAAGCAACACAAAATTTAAATTTTGGCCGAGTAATAAAAAAAAAGCAGCGAAACAAAATTAATATTTGAAAACCGGGATAGCGCTATATAGGGTGGTTCACTATATGTGGTTTATTTAATGGGCTTTGCGTTGGGACGTTGGGGAGCAGGTGGTGTTATAAAGAATATCATAGAAAACATGGAAAATGAGTATTCATTGTGGAAACCCAGCAAAAGAATCGCCTCGAAGCTATTTACAAATGATGAGTTGGCTGTATTTGATGAATATTAATAATGAATATCCCTTATTAACTAATGCCTTACTATATATTTTTTCTATTCTCAAGAATTCATTTTCATTATATTTGAAATGCTTATTAAAACTTTTTCTAGGCGAACTTCCCTTTATATTATTTTTTAGTGCTCTGATATCGCATTACACCAATCCTAAATAAATTATCCTTCATTTTTTAAAATAAAATTTACAATATTTAAAAAGTAAAGCAAACGAAAGTTTAAAACAAAAAAAAATCATATTCTGTAGTTGTTATTTGTTTTTGTTGTCCTGCTTTCTCGGCAAAGTCAAGTATTAGATATATACCTGTTGTTCTTTTTTGGATATATATATACACACATTGTTGTTGATTAATTTGAATTTGAAATTTGTTAATTTAAGAAAAATCGTAGGAACCACAACATGTTTACAAGGAAACACAAGACGAAAGCAAAGGAAATGAAATCAAATGAAAGCAGAGCAAAGCGAGCAGAAAAAGCGCAACTAAATAAACTAAATTTGTATTTGTCTACAAATCAAGAAAAACTATAATTGGGTTAATATTATCTACAAATGAGCAGAGAGCGCATGCAAATTATAGAGAAAACTATGTCTGTGACATCGTTGAGTTAAGGTATACAAATGTAGGAATAGTATAGATTGCCTACCATCGCGCAAGTCGCCAGCCTCGATTTCGGATACCTCACTGGCCAGCGAGTCGAGTCCTTCGTTTTCGGAACGCGCTTTGACGCCGGCACTGGTGCTTGTACCGCTGCCCACCATGTCCTGGTTGGTATTCTTAGTACGCCAACCGTATCGTGAGAAATTATTCAGGTTTGCGCTCGGATCACTGAGTCTACGCTGATGACGATACGTGCAATAGTCATCGTTTTCCTCCTCCCATTCGTCCCACATATCCGTGGCACAGAAGCCCGGCTCGCTGGTGGGCGTCTCAACGCCAGAGCCTTTTGGCTTGGTTACTGCCATCTCGGCATGACCTTTGCCCTGTGGCCCCTTCATACGCACGAATTCGCAACGCGTTTGAACTCCTGCGCCACTGCTGAAAAGGCCAAAGGACATGCGTTGCGCCACCTTAGAGCTCAGACTTGATTGCTGCAAAATCAAAATATCAATATTGAGTTTTGAATAAGATAATCAACCTCACACTAACCCTGGCATCGTAGACCTTCTTGAGCGCATCGTAGCGTATGGAGCCGAGAAAGATGACACCCTGTACGGCACCATCTTTATCATTGGCCACCAATTCAACGCAAACCATTTCGCCATCCCGCACCAATATATCGCTAAATACTTCATCGAAGTTGTCCACCATAAAGCATATATGTGGATAGGTAATCTCTTCGCCCTCGCCCTTGGTGTCCATCTTTCGGCGACTGGGACTCGCGTAGACACGCTGCGAGTGCCGTCGCAGCACCTGCAGTTCCTTGGGTGAGGTTCTTGTACATATGGCTAAAGTTAATGTGTAGTCGAACTGATGTATAACCATGTTCAAATAGACAGTCTCTTCCCAGTCTACATCTGGATCGCCTATGGGCAGCTTACGTGAATCCTTGCGAAATACCTCAACTTCAGTCTGCAAAGGAAGAATATTAATGTTCCGTCCAGGTGTACGATTAACGTTTACCCACCTCATATTTTGGCATATGGCGCGAGGAGCTTTTCACGTGTTTTTTGCGCACAAAAAAGAGTAAATCATCCGAATCGATGCTGTGCACGGGCTCCGTTTGAAATAGAAAGTGACGTACAAACAAATCCGTCCAATAAGTAGTGCCCTGAAGCACCACAAAGCCACCATCTGAAAAATAAATAATAGGGGTTTCGTTAATTAAAAACTTCTAAGCTCAATTCAATAAATGTTTCGAAAAATCACTGTTAAGTTAATAATTAAAATAAATATGTGTAAACAGTATATATTAATGATGTATTTCCTTATATATTTACAAAAGAAATAAAGTTGACATAAAAGCCTGTTGAAACTTCGAATGAGGCCAAATATAATCTATAAATTAATTTTAGCATATTCAAACATACATAATTTTATGTAAAATGGTATGTATTTATAGGATTGCAAGCCCCTATAACTGTTAAGCTATTGAATCTTATATAAGCTCAGTAACTCAGTTCAAATTCGAAAATCGAAACAAATGTTGCTTTGAGACGTTTTTGAAACTATTTTTGGACTTGTTGTGATAATACTGTTGATGCGTGTTCAGACTGAGTTAAAAAACTAGTAAATCCAATTAAATCAAAATAGATGTAAGCAACTGCAGCTGTAAGATATATTATGATGGCTAGGTTTTAACCATAGATTGAGACACGAGAAGATTTAATATAAACAATTTTTTGTTCTGTATACTGTTATGTATATATATATATATATATATATATATAATATATATATATAAATTGTTACGTTTTTATACGATTATAAAAAAAAAATAAAATAAATTTTTAATCCGTGAAGTAAGTCTTGCAGCTTATCTAGCCATATACTATCTATAAAGAATTCTCAATTATTATTCAAATAATTGTATGATCTTTAAAGCAAGTGGAAATGATAAAAATACTGTGATCACAAAACAATAGATTTGAAAATTAACAAAAAAAAAATATCTAATATATAAAAATATATTCAGTGTTTAAGACAACGCAAATACAAATTTCTTATAGTTTTTATTCTCGAGCAATCACAGTGTAAAATATATATGTATGTATATATGAGAACCAGATAGATGTAAGCATATTCGTACAATCAACTTGAAAAGTTTAGTCGATAACAGTGCAAATACATTTATATTCATGTTTTGCTCACAAAATTGATATCAGCCTAAGGGGGGGCTTTTCTATTGGTACTTTTCTATAGGCACATACACCAAAGCCGATTGCAGATTCAGACAAGAGCCTTAAACACAATACAAGACCGAAACAGAAAGCGAATAACATACATATTTATGCAAATAAGTGTGCTAAATTGGAGCAAAATCTAAGCACTCATGCGAACAGCTGTATACATGTGTAAGTGTATGTGTGTGTTCTGCGCAAGGTTGGAAGGAGTTGCCGGATGGGCGTTTGACAAATCGATAATGTGCAAATGTAGACAAATTTTCCGAAAATCTCTTGTTTTATCTTCTTCATAATACGATATAATTAATAAATTGTTATATTTACCATCCTTGAGCAGCTGCCGCATCTCTTTTGTGCGCTGGAAGTTAATGTCCTCGAGCAGCTGCTGGAGCGGTGTTTGCGGTTTAAGCAGAGCGCCCGCTGCGCTGGCCAAAGCCATGACGACCTTAGTGTGGGGACTTTTACAAATTAGCAAATGTAGACAACGATGGGAAAACAATTATTTCACAATCTGCTATAGTTGTGACATGTCTGTGTGTTGCTCACTAACATGTTTTGTATAAAATTTCCATTTTTTAAGGGAATTTTTGGTTAAGCGAAGCGAGTTATTGAGCAACTGAAGCAAAACTGAGAACTTAATTTGGCTCAACGAGTGAACCGCTTCAAAAGCACTCAAATTGTAACTGAACAGCAGGAAGTGTCGGCGTCGAATGCAGCTTTTGTGCACTGCCCATCTTTGTTTTTTTGTCACCCTATTTTCGGTTTGGGGTTGCTTGATTTACAGCTGCTTTGCTTGCATTGGCTTCATTTTTGTCAACCGTCTACTTTATTTTGGTCAGTCAGCTGTTAAGTGTCGTCATGACAATAGCGAGCTTCTCTTCCTCATATTCAACAAAACAATTTCGCGAGACAATGTGAAGCTTTTGCATAATACGTATATTAAACAATAGTAAAGCTGTAAATACCAAATGAACCTTTCATACAGCGGTTTCTCTTATCGGTCGCCACCACAGAATAGTTCCGATAAAACTAACTGTGAGATTTTTGGCGCCAACGGAAGTGGTACTTAATCGGAGTGTGTTATGAAAACAAGTAATTCATAAAATTTAATGAAAACTCGCTTTCTGTTAAGCACATCATCGTTGTGTTGCTGCAGTAATTGGTGACTTATTTGTAGCAGCCTTACGTGACTATCGGCACTCAAGAGTGCGAACTGGCTCCTAGAGCTTTATAAATAATTTGCCGCCACATTTCAGTTCCGATAATACTGCAATCGATTTTGGCGCTAACGAAAGCATCGTTCCAGTATTTTGAAACGCAATAAATGCCTTATGTAAAATTTGCAACGAATAAATGTTTTAATTAACCACATCAGGATTTGATTGCTGCAGTAGCTTCATATCATTTTGAAGGTCCTTCAACTCTCTAAGCATATTCCGTGCCAATTGACCCTCCGGAGTGCATATAGGTTCATAAAGCAGCATACGAAGCGATTCCCGCATCATAATTTCAGTCTGCTGAAGCTCTGCCTACATAATTGCTATTTTAAATAGTAAATATAACTAAAAATGTATAATATAAGTATTTTACCATCAGATCCGCACTGTTATGCTCCTGTTCGCTGAATAATTTCCGTGCAAGTTCCGCTTGAGTGTTGGACAGTTCATAAAGAGCTACTGCTTTCAGACGTGATATACCGGGAACCACCACTTTTAAAACCAACAATATTTCCTGGCACAAGCGAATCTTACGCTCATAAACTTTACGACTGGGTCGATGTGCCATATTCTGCAAGATCTGCCTCAATATGGAGGCTATATGCTGCTTCAGATCGAGCATAATATAATGATTGCCATGAAGCAGACGTCCCAACTTGGCCAGCAACAGCTCCAGACGATAGATGTCACCGTGGGCATGAAAAACCTCCTCCTTAGCACGCTCCAATACATTGGACACAAACTCTGGTTTCAACGTGTGCTCCGGATTAAGCAGACACTGCCAGACATTAGTGACAGGCTGTTTTACTATATATCCACCGGCACAGTGAACACATACAAAGCTGCTCATGTGCGTACCCAACTCAGTGGGATCGAGACAGCGAGCACACTGGCAATCAAAGCACTTGCCAATCTTCAAAATTTTCCGCCTCTCTTCCGTGCCCAAGAGAATGTTCGTATAGCAATTGTACAAGACCTCTCCGGCTGCTATGGATCGATTTGCATAGAGCTTGATGCGTCGCTGCTCGTCAATAGCCGCTACCAGGTTGGGAACACAGCTGTGGACAAAGAGACCGGCTTTCACATAGAGCCCCCGCATGGAACCCCCCAACTCCGGGGCCCGTATCTCAAAACTATTGATGTCCGCAATGCCCAACATACGTTGCAGCAGCTCTTCATTGATGCTCTCGCCATTACGCAACTGCAGCAGCACTCCGGCTGATTGTAGAGGCTGTATCACCTGCTTTTGATAATTGAGCCAGATGTCCGTGCCACGACGACGTGTTAGATGTGCTTCCATTTGGAGTAGCTCTTCATACTGCGAGTGCATTTCCGCATGCTCCCTCAATAGTAAATATTTAAGAGCATTGACAATCTCCGGATGCGCTGCCAGCTGTTGCACTTGCTCCAACTGCAACTCCAGCTTAGCCAAACGTTGGCAATCTAGGTCAAGATGGTCCACGCAATCCGCACAGAGCGGCATTAGACGGCACTTGCTGGCCACTCCCCGAACAGAAAAGATGTCACATAATGAGAAGCTCTTCAAGATTAGGCTGGTCAAGTACCTACCCGCAAAACGTGGATGTCAACTGATGACAGTTACTGCAACGTCTATCGGCATTGTTGGCAAGCAACAACACAGGTTGTTCCAGCAGCAAAGTTTCTCCGGCTTTAATATTGACTGCAGCTACCACATACCTTTGTATATCAAGGATAGACAAGGATGACAGTCAATGAGGCATTCGAATATAATATTGAATATGGGATTCAAGATGATAATATGAGATTCGATAAGGTTTTTGTTCGATTGATCCACCCACCTGCCCATCGTCTCGTCTTCTTTTACTTCACATTTCTTGGCAAAGTCTTCCATTCTAAATGCTTATTTTACTAGTTTTTCTTTTGGCCAAGTTTTGCATCTGGTCTTGCCAATTAGCACTCGTAGACTGAGGGCCCGATATTGTCTCGAACGATACTGTGACTCGTATCTATTTAGATTTATTTATATTTAAAAGCGATTCTTAATTTATTTTATCTCGATCTGCGTTTCCTCTACCCATTGCCCGATCTCTGGCGCCTCTGTACCCATTGGCCGCAGCTCTAAAGAGAATGCGCTTTTGTTTGGCTATTGACCTTTCTTGCGACTCTGCTTTAGAAACTCTCACAAGATTATTTTTAAATCGAATCGAAGATTATAGCCGTAGCATTATTGATTGGCTCATTTCATTAATGATATCTTCTTTTCTACTTCGAGAGCCTTTCCATTCAATCATCATCTGCAAACTATAAAAGCAAACAAAATTTGATGAAATATAATAAACTAGAGTCGAACAATATATACTTTTTGCTAGATTTATGCTAACCTAAAGCCTTTTTTAAATATATTAAACGTATTTATCCAAGATTGTGTCATTCCAGAAAGAGATTTAAAATGTAAATGTTGGCCTTATATTGCATTCTAGATTCCAATTCAGATTAAAGATGTCAAAAAACTACGGGAAACATAGTTTGGCTTATATTGTATTTTATTCATATTATATCAAATTTGTACACATGTATTGTAAATGAAAATGTTAGCTTAAAGATCTTTTTATTTTGGACTCACAAAAAAAGATAAGCATTTCCGAATAAAGAGAACAAACGGTTCAGCAAAAGGAGATATATGTCTATGGAACTTTAGGTTTGACATTGTTTTCGAAATTAATGAATTTCTAACTTATGTATTCTAGCTATTGTACTACTATCAAATCCATTCGAAACGCTCATTTCTAATGCTTTCCATACTTCATTAGATCAGATTCGATGCGCTCTAGCTCCATGGCAATGCGTTCAGTTAGAAACCCTTCCGCCGAATTCTCCGGCTCAAATTGTAATAAATCCAGTGCTTCCTTAGCCACCGATTGGGCACGCTTCAGTTGAGCCTATATAAATGATGGATTTAGACAACTATCAGTTAGCTAGAGATCATATACTTGGTACTCCACTTACGGCGTATTCCTTCTTGTCTACATCGCCTTCAGCGAACTGTAGTTCGCTTAGTTCCACAAAGGACAGTAGGTACTCGAATAGAGCAATCGCATAAAGCTTAGAGATGCCGGGTACAACGGCTCGACAAATGGGCAACAAATCAGCACAGAGCTCCACGCGACGTGCCAACAATTTCTTGCAAGGATCATTCAGAGAATTCATGAGAGCAGCTGCACGCAAAATGCTGGCAATATTTTGTTTGATGTCCAACAAGAGGAAATGATTGGGATGCAGCAGCTGCTTGTGCTGGGTGAGGAGGGACTCATAAGCACTCAGCTCACCCTTCGCATCGACCAGAGCCCCGCCAACCTCGGCGAGCAGCTCGTGCACATCGGCAGCTGGTATAACAGCTCCGCAGCTCACATCGAGACAACGCCAATTGCCAGTGCCAGCCAAGTCGCAAACAGCATAGCCATCAGAGCAATCCCGACACTTCATGCTGCTCATGTGGGTGCCCAACTCCGTGGCATCTAGGCAACGTGCGCAGGCGCATTCCATGTGCCGAGTCATTCGCAACTGATGCTGTCGCTGGCTGGTGCCCATTAGTGGATTCGTATAGGATGTGTAAATGACGCTCCCACTCTCGAGAGGCACAGCAGCATATAGCTTCATATTGAATTGCTCGTCGAGAGCGACCACCGTGTTAGGCACACAGCTGTGTGGTAAACTGGCTCCGCGTACATAGACGCCTTTGAGTGTATCTCCATCCCTTGCGGTCACCTCGTAGGCGCTGCTATCAATGCGTATGCAATGAGCATGCAAAGCATCCGATGTCAATTGCTGATCTGGCAAAGCCTGTGCTAAGCCACTGTCCATTAAGGGACGCACCACATGCTCCTCATGCTCCTGCCAGAGCCCCTCCTCATTACGATAATCCTCCAGCTTAACCGGCCTTTCCAGCAGTATTTGGCACTGCACCCGCTTATCGGGCTGCTCGAGCAACAATAAAAGCTTCAACAGCGCACAGATGCCATAGTTCTTAATTAGGAGATCCTTGCTAATGCCACTGCCGGCTCCACTGGCAAAGAACTCGCACTCGAACGCATCGTGCTCGCTGCAATCCATGCACAGCGGAAACACTTGGCACTTGCGACATATCACATACGATTCCTGCAGGCATTGAGCGCACTTCAGTTGATCGCATTCCCAATGGGGCGCCACTAGCAGCGGCTGCTCCTCCAGCAGCGTCTCACCAGCCTCAATGCTTAAGCTGACAACTAGATGCCTGCAACATTTATATCAATATTAACTAATATATAAATTTATGTTTATCCAGTGTTTTTCCAGCACCTGCCCAGTTTCTCATCGTAGATATCTTCCAATTTTTCGCTGTAGTCTTGCATTTGTTTCGATTACGTGTCGTACGTCTACAAAGAAGCAATAAGACGAAATTCGTGTTTTCACGGCAATGCGACCGAAGAATGACTGCCAGACGGTTTACTTGGAACTTGGCAATTATAAATATAGCAGGAACGAGACTCTCTCGGCTGGCTGCCTCGCTTTGCTAAGTAGTTTGGCTAATTGAGTGCGTAACCCCGCATACATATTAGACTATTTTTAGTTTTTAGTTGTCTCTTAAGCTGCAACGACGGCCGATTGTTCTCTTTATTGGATGCGTTTATCTTAATGAATTTTCAATACGCTCAATGGGTATCGATAATACTCTTTATTGGTTGCGTATACTTTGAATGTATTTTCAATATGTTCAATGGATATCGATAATTAACGGCTGTAATTAAAACTACAGCTATCGCAGAGCGATATATCGAATTTCAATGTAACAGCTTTCGCATGGTGTCAACATGAAAACAGGTGGAAACGTTGATTAATGAAGTTGGTATGTTTATTTTTAGATGTTCACTAGGATTCACACAATTCAAAACGGCTTAAAAATTTGATACTAAAAATAAAAAATGAAATTCGCCCTAACATTATAACAAACAAAACTGTATAACTTTATGAAAATTACAGTGTTTACTTTAAGATTGAACTCTCGGCTTTATTAAAGCTATCGGAATCGATAAGTTGTTATAAGTGGCAACGCTGCGAAATTGTGGAGTTTTGTTTTTAAACAGCGCCAGAAAAACCGAAGGGTAGCTTGATAGTTAGGACACTGCAACAATTTTAAAAATACCTCCAGAATGAAAGCCTTAACTATGTTGAATGAAAACCATAAGTAATTGCAGTTGATTTTGTATGCATTAAAGTTTTATTTAAAATATTTCTTTGCCATTTCTTTTCATGATTTATATTGTTTTTGTTTGCTTGCTTTTCCACACCTGCCTTAATTTGTTGTTGCTATGTTCTGTGTAGCTACCCATATTAAAAATTATGTTGTTTTAAATTATAATTATGGCTTTTGCTCTGCCGATATTTTAAAACTACATACAAAGTGTTGTGTATATGTGTTTTAAAATAATTTAAAGTGTTTTACTTGCGGCTGTGTTTATGTGTGAGTGTGTAGAACATACAGATACATTTTGTAAATGGTAATAGTAATAATAATAATAATGATAATCAGAATGCCTAATGCATTCGATGCTCGTAAAAGATATACATGTACATATAGATAACTATATATATATATATATATATATATATATATATATATATATATATGTATATTTAATTTGATTCCTCTGTTGTTGTTGTTTTTGCTTTTTAACACTACTTTGCGCACAAGCACACAGGCAGACTCAGACAAGCTTTAGGCTGCGTGTCTGCTGGATGTGTGTGCGCGACTTTTATATGTAAATATATATGTGTATGTATAAGTAGTAAAAAATTTAATTTGTATATGTTTTATGCTTATTTACTGCGTTTGCCAGATGCATTTAAACACCTATTGGCCTTTTGTACTCTACGTGCCTTCTTCGCCTCCATTTGCTCCATGAAAACTACAGGGTTCAAATGGGATTCAGGAGTTGCTTCAATTGATTCGTTATTGATTGGCTGGAGCAATTGCAACTGTTGCTCCTTTCCTTTTTCCAGTTCATTGTCGTTACGGTGCAGCATTGGCACTAATTTAATGGACACTGGACTCACAATTACGCCGCTGCGTTGATGATTGCCATAAAATAGTTTTGTCGAATAGCCACAGTTTCCGCTACCGTCGACATGTTGGCTTCTTATATCCTGAGACGACGTTGTCGCATTGGACGCAATTATATTGGACGTTGCAGCGATTTCGTTGTCCAGCATCGTTGCCGCATATTTACGTTTAAGATTTTTGGCAGCCGTATTTACGGCCAACAGCTTTGCTGTGGTTGCTTCATCTGGCAAGGCAAATGAATTCGCAACGCCCGCGGTTAGCTCACTGTCGTCCACATTGCCCCCAATCGTCTCTTCGGGCTCGGTCTCAGCGTTGATTATGATTATGTTATCCGGATCAACACCCTGGTTGACCAGCGCCTTGAAATCCTCGTGCGGTAGAACTGGAGTCACCTTCAAATTACATGAACTGCACACCGATGGTATGGCAGGGCTCTTAGAGCGCCAGAACTGTAGCTCGGTTTTGCACTTGTTGAGTTCCTACAGAGATCGGAATATAGGAATATTTAATACTTCATATTTTAAAATTGTTCTTTCTTATATGCACCTGCAACAATGTGGAAAATTTTCGTGCCATTTCCTCATTCTTCTTGTCGTTCTCGTCCAGACGATTAGCATATTCGAGCGTCTGCTTCTGATGATCCGCCAAAAGATTTTGCTGTTCAGCAAGCTGTTTGCTCTGCTCTGCGGATTTGCGTTTACAGTTTCGTAGCTCGGTGCGCAGCACCGATAGCTGATTATTGTACATCTTCATGCCCTGCTTGATCTTGCGTATACCCTTACGCAACACCATGTGGTTCTGAGGTGGTGAGTTATTCGAACTGTCCGAGAGATCTGAGCTAATAGCTAAGGTAGCTAAAATAACACAGAATGCGTTTAATCATTAGTTAAGGAGGATACAAACTAAGAAGAGTGCGACTTACGCCGCTTAGTGGTAACGGGCAATTGAAAAAAGTCCTTGTTGAAGTAGGCCAAGCCAGGCAGCGTAGGCTCAATTCGATCCTTAAAGTACTCCATGGCCATGGTGGAGAGATCAAAGAGTTCATCGGTGACACGATAGGGACGCTGCAAGCGTGGCGTAATACTGATATAGTTCAAAATCGAGTGTACCTCATCTAAAATCTAAAACAGCATAGAAATCGAATTTAAATAGATGAAAACTAATTATAATAATCTTCACTTACGGCACCCGGAAAGAAACAGCAATGGCCACGCTCGATGTGCTTGCCCATAGACATTTGGAGCAATGAAAGTCGCATATAGCAAGTCTCGATAATGTCACATTCGCAGGCCAATGGATGATGCCGGCGAGCTGACTCGCGACGCGGCATACTCGACTTTATCGATTGAAAGCGATTGAAAGTGGTCTTAATTTGCTTCGCGAATGCCGCATTCAACATATTCATGCAAATGTCGTTCATGCGATTTGACACCTGCGAAAAAATTTCATACCCAAAATATGTATATTAGTTTTAAATTCATAATTGGTTTTAAATTAAGAAGCATCAAAGAGCACCAGCACCATCCCGCATCCCAAATTTCAGCGCATCTCATAAATATATCAAATTACGATTGGCTACCTACTACACTACATACTCACAGATACACGCATACACCCATACACGTGCACAACACACGCACACTTAGGCAAACAGACGAACATGAACACAAAATCAAATGCATGACAAAAAAAAACACGAAAAAATGTTAGTGATGGCGATGTGTGTTGTACCTCTGCGTGACACGATTGGTTTGTTTGTTTGTTTTTTTTCTTTTTAATATTCATATATACAATTCGACTTGTTTAATAATACAGATACAGATAATCAATCTAAAAAGTTTTACAAATTAAATGCCAATAAGACACACTAAATTTGTATTCAATTAAAAATATACTTCTAAAAAGTTGATTTCCCCTAATACAGCCTAACTTCTCTAATCAATACTTAGTGTGTCAACCATAAAATCATATATATGGTTTATAGGCTTTAAACTATAATTCTTACAAGAGCGACTATACCGTACTTCTATTCCTACCTGAACGACACACAGATATTGCATCTCGTCCATTCGTGTTGACATTTGAATGAGAAAATAATAAATATTACAATAACAAGTGACACACAAGCACAAACAGGCATCATGCTCGCCCGTGTCACGAGCTACGCTCAGCACTAGTCGCCGACGACTTTTGAGTGGCAAAAAAAGATATATTACAACAGCAACAATAAGTACAAGTGCATGCAGGTAGTGGAATAACATTCCTCTGCCTCTCGACCCATCTATCGACTACTTAGCCAACGACTACCCACGCGCATTCTACTTACATTTTGCAAATTGCTTTTTATTGATTAAATAATGAAACTTGCTTTGCACTTGTAACAAGCCTACCACTCCCCTGCCCCTAGTTCTGTGAACTCTCACGCTCAGTGACTGTTGTTACTTACCAATCTTAAATTGCTGATTTTCTTATAATCCAAGTAGCCGAGCGTTTTGATGATCAGTTCCGTGGGCAAGTCCAGAAAATTCAAAACGGGCGCGATGGGGGCAATCTGATGTTGTTGCAGCTGCGCTTGCTGCTGCTGATTTTGATGGTGCTGATAATGTGTGGTGCGACGCACCACTGTGGCACGAGTTGCCATTGGCGTCTCATCGTAGCCACCGGCGACACCAGCACTACCGCACATTTGGCGCGTTGAGACCATAGCGAACTAACAGCAAGTGCAGTCAGTTGTTTATCTCCAAAAGTTGTTTGTAACAAAGTGTTTTGAGGAACAGGCTATATCCGCTTTGATGGACAAATGCTATAAAATGTAAAGGGAGGAAAAATTTTGGTAAAATGCAGTTTTTGATTTCGATTATCATCGAATAAATTTACAATCGACCGATGACAGGCATCATTAAATACAGCTCGTTTGATCAAATCTGTGCGTATGTGTGTGTGTGTACAACGCTTAGCAGTGGGAAACTCTTGTTGAGAGCAATTTGCTACGCACTTTAAGCATAGTGTTTTTCTTACCCGTTTTATTCAATGGAATTATTGTGTGTACATTGTTTTTTGTATTGTATTTAATACGCAAAAGCGTTTAGTGCACAGCACTACACTTTTTCGTTGTATTTGCGACGTTTTCATGGACCTTTTACACAATTTTTCTCGACCAGCACAATTAAAACTACATACACGCAAAAAAAATGGTCGAACACATAGGAAACAGCGATTAATGCTATCGATATGTTTCTGTGTGTGTATCGAGCTGGTTCTTTGTGCCCATGGTTGCCATACTGTTACGCCCGCCAAATGGTAAACGATTAATGTGCAGTGGCAACGCTGATTGATGTTAACTAAACAGTAGTCTATTAAGTGGGGGCAGTCAGTTCTGTTAAGTCAAAACTCGCTCAACATGCAGGCTGAAAAAAACAGCAAATGTGCTCATTTTCATTAATTGAACACAAATTGTACATAAATTAAAACAAAATTAAATGGTAATAAATATAATATTCGACACTACCGGACATCTATAGCAAAACAGCTAATGTGAAAACAGTGAAAGCACCAGAACAAAACGGTTTGTGTGTGTGCGAGTGTGTGGCTTACGACTGCGTGTCAGTATGTGTGAGCGTGAGTGTTGACAAAAATATAAAAAAAATTATATATATAGTGCTGTAAAATCAAAACAGGAAGTGTATGCAAGATAAATGCGAGGAGACAAATGTTAATAAAAACAGAGGGACATAAAAACTTTAACTAAAAACTAGCTCAAAACTAAACTAAACAAAATTCTGCTGTGTGGGGGCGTTTTTTCTTTGCTTTTTGAATAACTTTCTGTGTTATTTTGTTGTTGTTTTCAACTTGATGCCGCTTCAGGGACGCTTTTAAATATTATTGAATATCACGTCATTTGGTAACGCTCGCGCGCACTCGCTCTCTCGCTCACACTCTCTCTGCAGTTACTGTTGTTGTTTTTGCATATTTAAAAAGCAAAACTCACACGCACACACACTTCCACATGCAACAAACTTTTTTTTTGCAGTGAAATCGAAGACTTGCATTTAAATGAATGTACAAGACTTACTGTTGATTGCTGTGTGTGTATTTGTATGCATGTGTGCGTGTGACTATGTGAACGTGTATATGTACGCTCTCGAGCTCGTTTTCATATGTTAATGCATGTTTATAATATTGTTCGTCTTTATCTTAAAAAATAAAAAGTTTCGCGCTATCGCCGAACAGCAGCAGCCGCTCCCATTCAACATTCTTGCCAAGCACACACAAACACTAAGCGGAGCCACAACGGAGACCAAAAACAAAAACAGCAATAAAAACAAAAACAGCACACGGAGCATCAGCAGCAGCAGCAGCAACATCAGCAGCACTTGGATGCCGATTGCCTGCCCACGCCCACAATGACAGCCGCTCCGCCCGCCCACGATAATGGCGAGCAAAACAACCAACAACAACAACAGCAGTACGCATTAGTTAAGCGCGCCGAAGACGAACGTGAGGATATATTCAAGCGCTATGAGCTGGGTCTGGATCCCCACAATATTGTCGACTCCTGGGAGAATCCCACATTTGAAATCTATCACATAACAGACAAGTAAGTAAGGATGGACTTTGTTTTTCTTTGTTTCATGCGATTAGCTGTTTTTGTGAGTGCGTGTGCGTGTGTATGTGTGTGTGTGTCTGCTGACTAATGCATAAATAACTGTTAATCGCAACAATGTAACCAGATCTATGGGCCAACAATAGAGGGCGTTTTATGTGTTAAGAAACTGAAATAAATTTATTTCAAATGAAAATACACAGATTAACTAATAATCTTATTGGCTATGTTGAACGTGAGCTTATCTTGCCCATTTTCCTATCCACAAGTTAATGGAATGTATGTCATCGTAGTGTTAGTTATTTTTTATATAAGTTTTACTGCTATCTTATCAGTTAACACTAACAATTGTTAAATATAATATATAAATAACAGTTAATCGCAAACAACGTAACTAGATCTTAAGGCCAACTAAAGAGAGGGCGTGGGGAAGTGTCCAACAAAATAATCAATAACTGTTTATCCAGTCAATCAATTTTTACGTCAATTAACTCATTCAAAAATCATTCTTGGCTTAGTATTGTCATTTCTTATGTGCATAAAAAGTTCAGTTAGGAATTTGTACACCTGATGGAATCGTTTGCTACTTGCTGGTATCTTATCAGCAGTGGCAATTGTCAACGTTAACGCGTTTTTAATTATCTTGTTTTCAGATACGGCTTCATGCATGATTCCCGCCTGCCATCGTCTCGCGACTCTCAGGAGGTGCAACGCACGAAGATCGAACTGGAGCGCGATAAAAAATGGGTGAAAATGCTAAATCACTGGCCACCGCCGCATGAGAAGCTACATAAGCGCGTCTACAAGGGAATACCGGATCGAATGCGTTGGCCGGCATGGAAGCAATTGCTCAATGTGCAGCAGTCGATGGACAACAATGTGGGCGTGTATGCTCGCATGCTGCAAATGGCAAAAGAGAATGCAACAGAGACGCGGCAAATCGATGCGGACGTCAACCGTCAGTTTCGTGATAATCTGGCCTATCGGGAAAGATATAGCGTTAAGCAATGCTCACTGTTTAATGTGCTGAACGCCTACAGCATCTACAACTCCGAACTGGGCTATTGTCAGGGCATGGCGTGTGTGGCTGGCGTATTGCTGCTGTACATGCAGGAAGAAGAGGCATTCTGGGCACTCAACACGCTCATCACAGATCGCAAATACGGCATGCATGGTCTATTCATTGAGGGCTTTCCAAAGCTGACACGTTTCATCGAACATCATGATCGAATTTTGTCGAAGATAATGCGCAAGCTGCATAAACATTTTATGAAACACAATGTCGACGCCCTGCTCTATGCCATCAAATGGTTCTTTGTGGTTTTTGTGGAGCGCGTGAGTCAACAAGAAATATATGCCAAATCGTATTCGATTTAATTTATAAATCTCTTTGTATTTTCAGGTACCTTTTAGTCTAAGTTTACGTGTTTGGGATATTTTTCTACTGGATGGCGATCGTGTTATATTAGCCATGGCTGTTACCATACTCTATTTGCATAAGGATGAACTGTTGCGTCTGAAAGATATGGACGGTATTATTGAGTATCTGCAAGTGAAGCTGCATAAGAATTTTGGTTACAATGACGACGATGCCATTCAAGCGCTCGAGCGCGTCATGAAGAAGTTGAAAGATCTAAAACTCGATGTACCTCCGCCAGCGAAAACCAATGAGTTTCCCACGCGACCGCTCGGCATGTTCGTGGAGGCGGATCGCGAAAAGAAAACTGGACGCAGACGTGACTACACCGATACGGAAAAACAAGTCTTAACAGATGTGATATCAAGGTGTGAACATTTGCACATTCAAATTGCATACACGATGTTAATCTATTCAAATTATTCTCATATTGATAGACAAGAACAAAACGCAATTGAAGTACAATCCACGGTGTCCTATGAGACATCCGAGTGCGCAACTGGTAAGCTTTTATATATAAATAATCATCTATTCAACGGCACAAATACTAAACCTGACTAATTTTATATACATTATTACTAACGCTTGCTTCTCTACTAAAAATACATATTTATGAAACACACATATACTTATCCACATATATATATATAGCATTTGATTGTAATTTGTAGTGTGTGTGGTGCAAGTATTGAGATCAGTTCACATATATATATATATTTATTTAAATTTTGATTTAAAATCGAATCCGAATTAAATTGTTATGGCTTACAAATAGCTTATAGTCTTATGATCGTCATAATTTTGTACAAAGTTTCATTTTTGTAATTTTTTGAGTGTTTAGCATATTTATTTATTATTGTATCTCCCCATATGTATATTTTAAATTTTTATGTTATATATATATATATATATATATATGTATATATAAAATAAGGTCGATATTTCGTTCGTTCATCGAAAAGTTTTGGTATTTGTTTAATTGCTTTCGTATAAAAGAGATAATGTCATAATTCATAAGAGGCGTCTTTAAGAATTTCCCCTTAATTTTCAAGGCTTTTTATTAATTGTTTATAATGAACTTCAACCTAAAAATTAAAAAAATTGTTGCATTGAGTACGCATCGTACAAAGTTCGCCCAATTAAATGATTGTAATTTGGCTAACTTAAAAACTGGACTATGTGATACCCTGTTTTTTTTTTACGGTTCTGGGATGCGGTTGAGAGTTCTGGTTGTTGTGTTCACTAAAATTGGAAAAAAATATATTCTATGTATATAAAATGATGAATGGATGCGAGATCAACTACTTATGTATATATAAATAATTAAACCGAAGCATAAACCGCCGCTTATTAAATATGCGTTCAGTTCACATGTCATTCGAGATATATATATATTTAATGTTCCATTTGAATTACATTTGTCTAACAATGTCCGCTCCATATGTATATCACACGCATTTATTCAAACGCTTCTCAATGTCTGCGCGGGATTATGTCTTGTGGAAACATGTTTAAAACTCTGTGTGTGGCGTCTATCGAATATTTAACTAAAACAAAAACATTCGAAACAAACAAAAAACACTGCATAATCTCTATTGTTCATAGGTGATGCGTATTCAATGAAAACTTATCAGAGTATGACTAGTTTAGCCACTTCGCCGGCAATTAGTAGCTATTCGCTATATAGCAATGGCTTTGTGATCACCGGACCCGAAGACAGTCGCAGCCAGAGCGTAAACAATCTCAACTATCACTGGCAGCAGTCGCAGCAGCAGCCCTATGCCTATATGCAGCACATCTCAGCCGATCGATTGTCGAATCAAAGGCATAGCTATAGCAGCGATAGCGATAGTCGCAATCGACTCGATCTGGATAAAGCGCTGGAGGCCCTGCAAAGCCAGCAACTGCAACTGCAGCACGAAAATCATCATCAGCAGCAGAGCAAACGTATCCTGGTCGAGAACGGAGTTGATAAGCTGACACAGGAGAACTTAACCAAAGCTGTTAATCATACTAATGAGAAAAACTATGATGTCGCTATTGTTAATGATGTTGATGATGATGCGCTGAGCGTGGAGAATACGCGTCTTTAGTCTGTGTATTTCGTCAATCTCCAATCGTTTATATGTCGTAGCTTTTAAGTTTAAGTTTAATTTTTGTATTTGAATTTATAAACTTTATTCGATTGATTGATTTGCCGTTGCTCAACTTGAATGCCAATTGATTAGTTACAAATTTATATAATATAATAATTAGTAATTAGTTTTAATTTCTATTTCTATCGAAAATTGTTGCTTAGCACACAAATTTGTTAAACGTAAATTTTTGTTGTTGCCTAATGTCAACGTTTTGTATTTAGCGTAAATTTCTCAAACACCTAACACAACTGATATTATCTATACATATATATTGAAATCAGTCATATATATATTCCAAAAACAAAAAAATAAAACTGATAATTCCTAAGATACCAACGATTCCAGCAATACGTACAACGATTTTCAATGCACAACCTAACTAAAAACTTAACCTAAACTATTAACTACTCTATACATGTATTTATTATTGCCCACAAACCTGTTACATACCCCATATACAAAAGTATATATATATATATATGTTAAAATGTAACTGAATATATAAATTATATTCCTGCCTAAATTAAGTTTTGCATTTATGTATCATTTCTTTTGCTACTTAAAAACACACACAAAGCCAAATTCAGATTGTAGCCCTAGATAAAATCATTATGTAGACATATATATATATATATATACATATATATATATACCTAAAATAAATATATATGATTTTTTGTACTGAAGATTTGATTTCTTATTGCCAGTTTTTGTTTTTATCACACTTTTGCATGTTAAATCTAGAAAAACTCTATTGCAGCATAAAATTAATTGATAATAAATTAAAATATGAAATCATTTTTATTTTGCACAACAACATACACTAACAAATTAATTAACAACAAATTCGAAAACAAAACTAAATGTAAAATTATTTTAAAACAAAAAACCTAAAAATAAAACACAAAAATCTACAATCTACATTGGAAAACGCAACAATTGGAAATCGACGAACTACTTCTAAACAAATTGGCGAACGTTAACTATATTACACTCTATAAAAACAAACCGAAACGAATACATAAACTATTAGTTACGCTTACTGTACCCGAGGATTCGCACTCAATTCGAAGTTCGCTTGCAGGTACTTCAGTTGCCTCTCACGGCTCATCGGAAACCATGTCGCTGGAGGACAATAAGTAAAGTTTTTATATTTCATCAATATATTTAAAATATAAATAATTATTTAAAACCCTGTTTATTGCAGTATTCATTTAAAAACCGCAAATATGCTGCAAAATGCACCGCAACGCGAACTGCTGTTGGGCACTTGACGTCAGCTGCCGCCGGCATCTCAAGTGATGTCCGCCGCGGCAGTAGCAACAACAACAACTACTACAACAAACACTGCTGCAACATCCAATGCAACCATTAGATCAAATACTGCAACACCGCCACCCGTGCCGCCGCGTTCACCGCTGGCGCTGGGCTGATTAGCAGCCAGAATGACGAAGACGACGACGACAACATCGATGTCCATAAGAATGTCATGCTTAACCGTTAAGACATTCTAATTGTGCTCCAAGTCCTGTCATCGTCGTTCTTGCCTAGTTTTTAAGCTTTGTCGCCTTGCCACAAAAACTGATATTTAAACGTAAGGTAAAATGCAAGCCAAAAAAAAAAACAGTTTCGAAAATTTCTAGTTCGGGTTAACAAAATTGTTCGCAAGAAATCAATCAATCAATTATTTGGAAATTTTGTTTTTTTGTTATATATATATTATATATATATATATATATATATATACGTATAGACATTGTATATAGATACTTAACAGAGTGTGCTTGTAAAGAAACTTTGCACAGAGCCAAAAAACAACTGACAAGGGCCAAGCTCCCAAAACAATATGAAACTGGAACATGAAATTATAAAGAGCAAGAAAAGCAATCGAGAAATAAATACAAAGATATTTGTTGTAGCAAGAGCAACATGTATTTAATACAAAATAAACTAAACAAAATAAAAAGTTATTGACCTATTATAAGCATGTTGTAAATTGTAATTGTATATATATACCAAAACAAAATACAAAGCAACGTTAAACAAAAATATATATAAACAAATTCAAAAATTACGTCCATGCTACCAAATATTAGCAAGTGAGTTGATATATATACAACAAGAGCAAACGAATGATTATGATTATGATTACAATTACGATTATCTTCATGTATGTATAGTTTTGTATGCCCAACTATGCAAGTTTATATATAAATATATATTTAATGTAAGTAATTTATATATTTGAAAAGAAGAAAAACGACTATGTATATGCATGCCGGTTTAGCACGCACTGAACTTTGTGTTCGTTTAATTAGCAGTTTGCTTTTCTCAAAATAAGTTAATTTTAACTTAATTTAAGTTACAAGTTGATTGTAAATTAAATTTTTGAAGTGCGTTTCCAACATAAACACAAGTGTTTTAACTTTTGATAAATCTTCAAAGGCTTAGGTTTCCGTATCGATTTTTATTTTGCCGCCCTTCTCAAATATGTTGCCCAGATCCTTAAGGGATACCTCAGCTGTACCTCGGGGTAGCGGCTGCGGCTGATTGGGACCCGGCTTCCATCCGACCAGGTAGATAATTTGAAATGTCGCTGGGACGCCTTCATCATTTGGTTTGCCGTAGAGCTCTTTGTAAATAGCACTGGCTGCCAGTAGCGTTTCACGGCTTAGGTGAGCTGGCCTATTAAAGGCAGCATTGTTCTCGGCCATACCCTTCAGATCCCACATTAGCTCAAACATGCTGGGATAGCCAATGACTACCTCATCCGTATCGATGGTTAACATCGTAAATCCAGCTCGATTCAGCAGCGAACCAATATCACGAATTTGAGTAAAGGGCGAAACATGAGGTGCAATCCCGCCCTTTCTCTCTAGCTCCGCCAACTGCAATGAGGACCGCAGCTCATATAGGGTGTCACCACCAAATAGCGAAGCAATAAACACGCCATCGGGCTTTAAACTGCGTTTAATACGCGAAAAACATCCGGGCAAATCATTGACCCAGTGCAAGCTCAAGCTGGAGATGATTAAGTCCATAGAGTTCTCTTCAAACTGCAGAGACAAAAGAAATATTTAGATATTCATTACGAATAACAAACTATATGTGTTTACCCACATCCAGTTGCTCCTCGTCTTGCAGCAATTTGCTTATTTTAAGGCCTGGAGTGCCGTGCGCCTGCTCCAGCATTGTGGCACTTGTGTCGGTAAGGGTTAAGTGCTCCACACATTCAGCCAAGATGTGCTTTGATATATAACCACGATTGCAGCCAATATCGGCGGCTGTTTTAAACTCGCGCTTTATGTCAAACACCCGATCCGCTAGACGAAAGCCCACTTCCTCCTTCAGATAGTCATAAAGCGCCACATCTGTGCTGTTAAGAGTAATATCGTCATAAAAGAGCTCAATTTGACATAAAAGTAGATCTCACTTGAGTGCCGCTCGTTCCTTCTGCAGTCGCTTTGCATTTCTGTCGAAAATATTCATGTGCGATTGTTGCATCGAAAGGCAGCGCCAAGCGCCACAATTGTTTTTTAAACGTTTCCCACACGTTTTAAGCATTATTGAATAATATTTGTTATGCTGTAATGCCGGCAATAGCTACGAAAACAATAATACAGGAAACAGATGTTTTGCAGTAAACGTCGCTTATTTGAGGCCCATGAAATACACTCAGTATATAACAATATTTAATACAAATTTATTTTATATTTCTGATTTTGAGAGCACTTTATCTTTTATTACATTGTTACATACAATTATTTATTTTTTTGTGCGCAGTGTTGAGTAATTTTACCAATCAAATTTGTATTATCAAACAGCTGATTTATTGTACGGCACATACGCTGTTCACAGAAACTGTGCTAGGTTAATGCGGTATATACTAGAATATTTATCCATTAGTTATTTCATTTAACATTTCGCTAAATGATTTACATGAATGCTGATTAATTAAATTTTAACGTTAAAATAAATTGCTAAATGTCTGCACTGACGCAGAAATTGCAAACCCCAACGATTAGTGTTATGGATGATGCTCAGCAGATTAGCAGTTCACGCTATGCAGCACTGGCTGGTTTTGTTTTGGCGCGAAACGCTGAAAAAGTAAAGATAAAAACTGAACAAATTTCTAATATAAAAAATGAGTTTTTCGCGCAGTTCACTGCGCTATGCGCACACCAATGGATACACAGGACTGCTGTATACGCCCAAAGGTGATTTCATGATCACCTGCGGTACTGATGGCGACATACGCCACTGGACCTGCATCAGCGACGATGATCCTCGCTCCACCTGCTTGGGCGAGTTTGTCATGTGCATTGCGCACACGGGAACCCGATTGTTGGCGTCAACAGACCGCAACACGGTACACGCATACACATTCCCTGACATGGACAGTGATGGCATACTAATGCGGTTCACTGCACCTGTTACGTGTCTGCGAGTGTGTGGATTGTTTACAGCTGCGGGCAGCGAGGATACGAGTATTAAAGTGCTAAAGGGTGACAACGCAGGCGCCGAGACAATACTTGAGGGGCACAAGGGACCTATATTATCTCTGGATCTGTATGCAGAGCGACATCTGTTGGCATCGGTAGCAGGTGATGGACTGCTTAAGGTCTGGCAGTTTGAGACGGGCGAAGAGCTGAAAAGTATATCAGGATTGCCGCGTGTTAATAGCTTTGAGAGCGCAAGCCTATTTGGGACACCCAGCTTTGAGCCACTGCGCGGTGAACAATTGGCCTATGCACTGGACAAGGAGGTAATTGTCCTTAATACGTCCAACTGGGAGGTGGCCTACAAGCTGCAGGATGATCGTGTCTCCAGCAATTATAGTTGCTGTCAGTTCTCGTCGAATGGAGAGCGTTTAGCAGCTGGCACCACTAGTGGGGAGTTGAGCATCTTCGATGTGGTGCGTCGTAAAGCATTGCCAGTGGAGGCGCCGCCCAGCGATTGCAAATCCATTACGTGCCTCGCATGGAATCCGGCTAATGTTGATGAGTTGGCCTATTGCGATGCCACTGGACAATTGGGAACCATTTTTCTGGGCGAAGAAGAGACAAGAAACGGATTAGATGGTGAGCTGGAGGACGAGCAGGAAGATCTGCTCACAGGCACAGGATTTGAATTTGAGGGCGCTGATGATGAGAATGTGGCGCAGCCTGATGATGGCGATGGCGTTAGCCTGGAGCAGTTGAAACGTAAAGTGATGAGCAATACGGGATATATGCCAGATGAAATAGACGATGAGCAGTCGAAGCATTCAATAGCTAGTAGCTCCGTTGTGCCGTCTGTTCCTCAGATAAAGCTCTTCAAGCAGCAGGATGCATTTCAGCCAGGCGCCACACCAAGTGATTTAGAACATCATTACTTGGCCTGGAACGATGTGGGTATTGTCACAGCACATACCGAGCCGAGTGGTGACGGTGCTATCGATGTAGAATTCCATGATGCGAGCGTGCATCACGCTCTGCACCTAAGCAACAACTATAATCAACATAATCTGGCAAGTCTCAGTCGCAGCGCCTTGGCTTTAGCGTCCACGGAAAGCAGCAAGCTGGTGGTCATCGCCTTGGCTGCAGCTGGCAACAAGGAGTGGTCGTTAAGTCTGCCGGATTGCGAGAGCGTGGAGGCGCTGGTGGCCACCAGTCAACTGATCGCTGCGGCCACCAGTAGTCACTTTTTGCGCCTCTTCACCGTTATGGGCACCCAGCGAGAGGTGTTGAGCTTACCTGGACAGGTGATCGCATTAGCTGGACATGAGCACAGCGTTCTGTGTGTTTACCATGCCGCCGGCTGCAGCCAGAGCCAACAACATTTGGCTGCTATGTTGGTTAATGTGAATGGTTTAAGTATACGCGTGGAACAGATCGCGTTGCCTTTGACACCGGGAAGGCAACTAAATTGGCTTGGATTTACGGATATGGGCTCGCCCAGCTTTGCTGATAACATGGGTCTGGTGCAGCTTTATCGACGTGCCAGCAATGCCTGGTTTCCCATCTGCGACACCTTGAAACAGAGTTCTAGTGTGTCTAACAACTACTTCATAGTTGCTCTGTCAGAACGCAGACAGATTATTGAGGCTGTGCTATGTCGCGGCAGCTCGTATCCCATGACTAATCCACGTCCTATGCTCCAGGAGCTGCGCATGCAGCTACCTCTTTGTGATATTGAGGTGGAGAAATCTGAGTTGGAGGACACGCTCTTGAGGGCAAGCTTGATGCAGTGGGAAGGCGCTGAGAAGCTACAAAAGGAGACGGCCATCAAGTTATTTGCCTTAGCCTGCAGCAGCGAGTGTGAGACGCGTGCACGTGAACTAATCGAATCTATTGCCTGTACTGAGCTGCTTCAGCTGGCAGTCAAATATGCTTCGAAACGAGGACGCATTCACCTCTCAGATAAATTGTGTGAGTTGCTTCCGCAATTGGAGGCAGTACAGGAGGCGCGTAAGCAGCAGCAGCTACTGGGAGCCAACGGCATTGCGGCCACCATTATCCTGCCCATGGCTCCAATGCAGGCCACAACGCCTAAATTGGCGCCCAAGGCGATGGAGCTGAGTGCCTCCAAGCGTGGCGCCTTAAAACGATTCTCCAATTCTCCAAATTTGTTTAAGGCAGCTGCAGCAGGAGCATCTCGTCCGTCCACGCCAGATGCCACCTCAGCACTGGACACACAGGAGAATTTATTTGGCGAATCCGAATCGCAGGCATGCGACTCTAAAGATGGAGAGCAACGTACGCCTTTAAATTCCGTTAATCCGTTTGCTATGAAACGCAAGCTCGTTGATACAGGCGTCATATTTGGCTCCGAGAAGCTGAAACTGGCAAAAAAATAAATAATTTTATTTATATAGTCTTTTATTAGTGATGTAAAATTAATAATACAATAAATTTAAACTATTTTCGACTTTAAATGCGAAATGAATTATTGCGGTGTGACCTGGTGTGCTTGGGAAAATACTGTATATCAGATTAATAGCCAGTGCAGGGGCTGGTCACACTACAGCGCTTGTTTTGCCTGTTGATAGCTGTTACTTAAAAGTAAATTCAGTAAAAGGTTGGTGCTTTCCCGTTTAAGTTATGTGCTCTTCGGGTTGATCTACGTTAACAAGATAAAGGGGATACCCACATATTGTGTACGTGTCTCTCAAGTAATTTCACAACTTGAACGCATTTTAAGTCACACACACATGTTGAATTGAGTTATATTTTAAATCGTGTTACACGCAATATTTTAATACATACAAAAAAAAACAGACAAAAATATATATATACAATACACTTTAAGAAGGCGTGGCATGTTTTTATCGCAATCAAAAATTCGCAGTGGTAAGTTTGTACATATATATATATATATATGCGATGTATATGTATGTATGTGTGTGCGTACGTATATAAGCATGTCTGTTTCGGGCTATGTATGGCAACACAAGCATATTGCCTTTATTAACCGTTACATGAAGCGCGCGCGCACATATCCCAAATCTGTCTCTCGCACACATACACATACAGACAAACACTTATCCAACCGAGCACAACGTACTTTTGGAGGAGAGTGAATCAGCTTATCCACCGATTTCTTCTGACAGCTATCAGGTCATAGCAAATCGCATGTATATAAGCTCTTTGACATCTGCGTCGTCATTTACCGTTTAACCATTGCATCGCGAAGGTTGTTTTTTCTGCCAATAAAAATTTTCACGAAACATTGCAATTGCGTTTGTGTGTGTTTGTGTGTAAGCGATCTTTGCGCTGTGTATTCAAACAAATAAAATCAATATTTAATTACAGTTTAAAAACCAGAAGCCAGAGTGTGATCAATAATTATTGTTTTTGGTACTTTTACTTTTAGTCTGTGTACGTGTGTGTGTGTGTGAGTGTGCGTGTATGTGTGTATGTACTTGTGTGTAAGAGATCGTGTGCGTGTATGTCCGTGCTTATAAGTACAGTGCAAAGCATTTTTGTCCTTTTGTACGTATTTACTATGACAAAAAATAACATCCGAAAAAAGGCCAGTGGCCAAAAGAAGGCGATCCCTGCCAATAGATTAAACATAGTAACAAATACAACAATGCCACCTTCCATTTTGGCGCCGCCAGCGACACCGCCGTCAACAACATTCGTAAGCTTCAAAAACAAAAACACTTCCAACAACAATAACAACAACAACAACAAACAAGAGAACAGTAATGCCAATAGCAACAACAGCAACAATGCGGATATTCATGGGATATCGCAACGCAAACCATGGGGTGAGTACATTAACAGCACTTTTTGTTAACTGTAAATATAAACGTTTCTTAAATTCGTTAGAGCGTGAGCTGATTGGCTGCTTTCTGTTAAAAATGGCTGACAATCAGGTGGTAAGCGCGCGCAGTAGTTGGTATGTGGATAAGCGGACACTTCGAAGGGAATTCGAGCAGCATCTGCTATGGGAGCCCAATAGCACTGAATTACGGGTTAAGCTCTCCATAAACGGGAGCTATAATGTAAGTATTTAAGTGGATACAAACGAATGTATTCATTGACATGAAATGCATATTTTGTTCGAAGATTTTCAGATCACTCTTATACACACATAAATATAGAGTCGGCTAACTTTTAGTTGGCATTTGTTGACTCATTAATGTAGCTTGAAAATATTAATAGATAGCAATTAGTTTATTTGACAGAGTAATATCTTGACTACTTTATTTCCAGCTTATAATTGACTTTGTTTTGTGCTATAAATAATATAATAAAATTAACGGTTGTGATCAATGTTTATCGCATAAAACCATTGGCAATAAAAATGGCTTAATCAGTTTGAGATGATTGATTATACTGTATGAATACTATACCTTCATTTCAAATAGAACATACAGACCTATCATTGCTTTCTTTGTTATTCAAACACTTTCAATTTTGTTTCGCTTTGTTTTGCTAATCTGCTTTATACTTAGCTTGCTTTATCACCTCTTCACATATTTCTTTATTTTTCTCTCTCTCGCTCGCTCTCTCTCTCTACCCCTCTCTCTCTTTCTGTATGCCTCTCTCAAGCCCTCTCTCTCTCAGACCAAGCGAGCACAGCTGTCATCATAAAATCTGTTAATCATATGCTTGCTCTATGGGTTTTGCCAGATTAAATTTTAATATACAGCCGGCTCATTGTTGTTTCTGTGAAACTGTAGTAAATGTTTGACCATGCTTGTTAAACCAGTTCTCTAATCTATTGTTAGGCATATATATATATATATATAAAGTGCATATGCATATACATGCATACATGCCGGTCTTAATTTATAATATATACATGCAAAATGAGAGAAGCAAAAATTAATTTACTTAACGGATGTAAATAAGTTCGGGAACTGTAAATGATGATAAGCAAATATTTTGTTCACTGGGTATTCAGGAATACGTCATCATCGTCATCAGATATATTCCTCAATTATTAGGGAGATTGGGAAAACCAGAAGCAAGCCTTTTGCTATTAGTGTGGGATTTACCTATGTATATATTTGAGCTATTCAATCAGTAAAAGCACCAACAAAAAGATGGGGAAGACCCTTCCTAAAATATACTTTTGTGTATCAGTTGCATTGTGGTATTGCTCTTTTATAGACTTCATCTACATTATATATACGATTTTATAATACATAAAATCACAGCTGATAAGAATTATGAATGCCAATTCGTTACACAAACACACATAAGTCCCATTAATGTTTACAACCGTCATCAATAATTGTGGTTATGTATTTATTTACAGATCGGTTCGCTGTTGCAGCGTACAAACTTTTTAATGAACACTCCGCGTGGCGACTCCAATTACCGCATCAAGAGTCTGGCTCTGATGGAGTTTCGTAGGGAGAAGTACAATGCAATCGATGAGAAGCAGCGGCAAAATGATCTTGTTGTTGTCAGCAATGCGACGGATGCTACGCAAGATGGTCCGATTACCCAAAGTAAGTATCTCCATGTTAAAATTGTTAAATAGAAGGGTGTATCTCTAAACTCTTAGATGTGTAAGTGTAATAACGGAATCTGTAAAAGCCTTGGACTGTGTTTTTTATTCTATACATTATGACTATACATACTGGTTATATATTTCTAAATTCATAGCTATCTAGCGCTCTGTCAAATATCAAAACAGACAGGGTATCTTCTAACTGAGCATACCCTTGAATCTTGTCCCGCTTGCTTGTTGTTTTTATTTAATCCCTTTTTTGTTTGGTTTGTTTTCAGAATACGTACTGGATGAGGCGGCCGAGTCAGTTCCATTGAAATATCAAAAGACTCAAAAGCAACATCGCAATTTAGACTTTGAGTTAAGTTCGATGGGTTGCTACATTTGTCAATGCAACTTTGATAGCATTGAGAAGTACGAGGAACATGTCGAATACCATGGCGACGAGTCGGACTTTGAGTCGTTGCAGGAAATGACAAAATAGTAAGTGTTATACAGATAATTCAAGTACAATTTACAATATAAGAAAACACTCTTATCTCTATATATATACTGCTTTCTATATATGGAAATCATGTATATATCACGTTTATTGTACTAAAGTAGGTAGCTTATAGTAAAAATTAACGATTATACGTTGTTCACGTGCAATTTATAGATCCAGAAATGTATTTTAATATATTGAACAATAAAGTATAAGTTTTGTTTCTAGTTATAAGAGGTATATTTTAAGTAGAGCTTCACTTTGACAATGCACTAGATGATTTTTCTCTAGTTTAGCTTTATTTTTAATTTAAATCTATAGCTCAAACTATATATACGGTATATATTTGGCCTGATAACAAATCATAGTTGAAAAAGTAAATTATATAAATATCTGTGTAACTGTTATATACATTTCAGTTATTGTTTGCTATCAGGTCACATTCTATAGCAAGTTCTCATGTGTTTAACATTGTACGTGTTACTCATTCCTGTTTTGCTCGCCTCAATGGACTTTTCTAGAGCATTATATCACATGATATTTGAATTCAGAAGTAGAATGCGTAGCTAGCTTTAAACCAATGCAAGTTCAACAGAAGATCATATAAAACTAGACTCTATCTCGGTTCATGCTTATAAGTTAATTGAATTATTTTCGAAAGGGCAATTAACTTCTTTTTAGATCATGCAACACTTGACTCTATAAATCTAGGTTTATATTTATTTTATTGTCTATAAACTCATGGGAGACATTCGGAGCGGTTGAGTCAGCATCAAGAAACCTTTTAATCCCACGCGAATGGCTCGTTTCTAACTCTCCCTTTCTTCATTTACAGTGGCCAGCCGATGTTGAAGCTTTCGTATAGGACCTGCGTGGATAGTCATTATTTTGGTTTTTCGCTGGAAACGCAACTAAAGGATATTGTGATTGAGAAATTTATTATTGTGCAGTCGCGTCAGTTTTATTATGTTTACAACAATCGATTGCCATTGGAGGTGGACGAGAGTGGGCAAATGGTATTCTTTGTCGACTCGCACGTGTTTATGATACTGCGTGAGCAACCGATTGTGATTGGATACAGCCAGCAGGTGAATGGGCAGCGCTATCATTATGTGGAACAGCATCATTTTATGCACACCGATGCGTTGCCCAAGGCCAGCTTCAATGTGAATCCTTATCGGCTGTCTAACAAAAAGCTTTTTCGCGGTGGTCGCCTAGAGCCGGCCATCCCACCAAAAACCGTAGTTACCGCACTGAAGCATGATGCGCAGGATGCTGAAATTCGTTTGGCTGAATACAACAAGGACTATCGTAACTATTGTGAATTGGGACGGGAGTTCACGCCACGCAATATATACGGGACGCTTCGCACTTTGCTTCAAGTAGAGGATATCGAGCGGCTGCAACGCTATGTGGGCCTTAAGCAATCCAAAATGGAGCTGCATCAGTTCGGTAAAGAGTTGTCGGTTAAACTGCAACCGAATTCAAGGAACTTAAGTGCCGAGGACATTCTCTCACCTGGTGATGAAGTTCTTATTATCAATGAACGGTGCACGATTGGCACTCAGTCAGAGGCGGGCAAGGCGAACAGCATCAGGCAGCTGCTAGACAATAATAGCCTATTATTGGAATTGGCGCTCAAAGACTTCGATGCACTCATTCAATGGAGTCAGAAGGTCAATGAACAGTTTGGCCTTCCCGAAAAGGAACGTCGGGAGCCTCGGGTTTATTTTGCTCGCATCCTGGGCGTATCGACGCAACGCGTCAATATCACCTGCGATCGGCATCTGCTAGATAATACGACTTATACGCTACTCTTTCGGCCCGTGCGAGCCGTTCTCCGATATCAATATCGGGCGCTACGTCAGTTAAGTCTTACCAACCCAGAGCATGTGGAACGTTTGCTGTTTCCATCTACAATTACGGGACAGTCGGTGGCTAGCGGCGCTTTGTGTTTCTTTAATGAGAATATAAGCCGTAATCCGGAGCAACAGCAGGCGGTTCAACAAATTGTATATTGTGATAAGCTACCAGCTCCTTATGTTATCGTTGGCCCGCCAGGTACGGGCAAAACTTCGACAATATGTGAGGCCATCTATCAGCTGTATGTGCGCCGACCAGATACCCATATCTTGGTCCTAGCCGGCTCCAATACGGCCTGCGATGAAATCGCATTGCGTCTACTGCGAGTCATATCGAAGGTTCCAAGTCAGTCGTGTCCTTTGACTCGCATCTTTGCCGCCAGCTGTGATCGACGCATCGATAATATTGATGACTTGCTGTTGGAATATTCGAATATGTATGCCTTACACTTCTATCCGGACGTGCAAGCTGTGCACGACTATCGGATTGTGGTGTGCACCCTTAGTTTGGCGGGCAAGCTGTCGACAGGTGGCTTTGGCCGTGATGAGGATAAACGCAACGTATTCTCACATGTATTTGTGGATGAGGCGGCCGCTTCGACTGAAGCGGAGGTGCTAATGGGAATTACCTGTACCATTGCCCCAACCACAAATCTTATTTTATCTGGTGATCATAAACAACTAGGCGCGGTACTTCAATCGCAACGTGCCGGCGATTGGGGACTGGGAGTATCGCTATTCGAGCGTCTATTGCAGCGTGAATGCTATCGCGTGGACGAGAATGGTGATTACAATGCAGTCGTGCAGACACGATTGCGACGTAACTATCGTTCCCATCCCGAAATTGTTAAGCTCTATAGTGATCTCTACTATAACAGTGAACTGAAATCGGAGGCGATATATGGTAAGTTTCACAGCAAAGACTAGACAAAATTCGAATAAAGAATAGATAATTAGATTACATTCATTTAGAACAATATATTAATAAACTACAACAATTTTTTTAAAATTTAGAAAATTATTATTGAACTACGAAAAACGAATCAAGACATAAATCAATTTATAACTCAAACCTACTTGTATTAATTAATATTTTTTAAGATCTATTTTTGACTTACTGAATATCTTAAGAAATTATGAATTTATATATATATATATATATATATATATATATATATATATATATATATATATATATATATATATATATATATATATATATATATATATCAAGGATTCGTTGAATGTCTTAACTGAACAGTTAGCACCCATCAAGAAAACAGAAAAAAGACTAATTCTTAAATAAAAATCTTGAATGTCATTTTGATTAAAAATATGTTCAATATTTTTTCATAATTTCAAATTAAACAGCGTTTTCTATTATGATTACAAAATATTTAATGTTTTTTGTTTTTATTTAGGAAAAGTGTGCATAGCTAAAAACTGGTTTCATATGCCCAACGAACATTTCCCTATAATGTTTCATTCAGTTTTTGGCACGACCATGAACTTGCAGAGTTCGTTGAGGTATGCTTATCCCAAATCATTCTAATTTCTAACAAAATAATAATTATCTCTTGCATTGGCAGCCTGTGCAACAATAAGGAAATCGATGCAGTTATGGACTATGTGAAAGATCTAATGTACTTTGGCATTAATGGTGATAAATTGGACCAAACGGATATTGGCATTATCTCACCATATAAGAATCAGTACCAGCGCATCCAGGAGCAGCTCAACATGCGCAACTGGAATCAAATCGATTGTGGCTCAGTAGAACTGTTTCAGGGCAAGGAGAAGCAAATAATAATTGTTTCCTTTGTACGCTCATTTACCGAAAAATTGGGCTTTCTCAATAATAGTCGAGTGAGTTTGAAATATATTATGATTATTATAGAAACACTATTATATGTTCGTCATTTTCAATACCTTTCAGCGATTGAATGTTTTGCTGTCACGTCCTATGTCTTTGCTTATATTAATTGGTAATCCGCGCACGCTAAGCCAGAATCAGGAATTTCGTCATATTATCGACCTGTGTCGGGATCGAAAAACGCTCGTCGGCTCGCCATATTATCCGGATGATAATAAGACGAACGAGGCGAACGGCGGTGCCGCTCAAACAGTTAATCCGCCGCGTTCTGGCAGCCATCCGATCAATAATCATAATAATAATAACAAAAATAACAGTCATCATCATCGGCAACAACAAACGGACGCAACAGCTGAGGAGACGTTGGCACACTCATTCAAACGAAGTAATAATAATAGTTGTCATAATTATCAATATCACCAGAGAAACCAAAGAAACCAAAGAAATCGTGATAGCGCGCATAAATGTCTATATACAAATGCATATGCAGGATCTTTAGCATTCCGAATTATCCCATAATTTATATATATGTTTATATACATATATATATATATATATATAATATATAATATATAATATATAATATATATATATATATATATATATATATATAAATATTTATATATTTATGGATTGAGTATGCATTGAATCAACCCAAACAATTCACAGATTTAAATTGTGTCCTTAGAATCTACTTTAGAAGTTTTCAAGATCGACGTAAACAATTCCATTCCATTTACGTCGAATTCCACATATCCTTTATCATTTAATGTATGTGTACATGTATGTATATAAATATTCATATACACACATAATTTTATTATATATATATATATATATATATATATTTGCACATAGATATACATATGCATTCGCATCGCAATATATTGCACCGGTCTTCAGTTGTTGGCGTAAAACAGCAAATCCAAGTTTCGCAAGCAAGTCCGATAATGGGGAGCTATTACAATTGCAGTGTAATAACCAAATACCGTCCATGTTTATAATAAATTGGCAAACGCATCTTTTGATCATGCTCGTGACAAATGCTCATTTGGCTAATTTATTTTCACACTTATCCTGGTGTACAGCGTTCACGTTTCTCTGGTTGCTTCTATTATTTATTTTGGTGAACGGCTACACATATAGAATATGTCTTTAAATATTTCATTTTTTTATTTAGCTAATTTACGCAATGCAACCTTGTCGGCGGCCACAAAAATTGGCTACAATAAAGCTGAGCTGCTGAAAATGGGTGCCCAGGCGACTGAGCAACGCAAAAAATTGGATCTAGACCAGTTGTTTGACGATCTGCCCAACGTACCGCGTTTTGTGGATAACGAGTCCGAATCAGTACGCTCGATTCGTGCAGAAATGCAGCATATGTCTCTTAAGCGGCCGCAAACAGCGACGGCTGCTGTCAGAAAGCCAGTGGTAAAAGATGCTGACCCATTAACGTTGAATAAAACCCCAACACGTACGGAAACGAAACGACCATCTCTAAAAGCTGAATATATAGTCGGCATTGACGCGCTCAAAATAATGTGCAAACCTAGTGCACCACCGGCCAGTCCAAATGTTTCGCGTTGCAATCAGTATAGTTTCGTACCTGTGTCCGAGGAGTACAGACGACCGTCGCCATATTTTGAACAGGGACGCTCTCCGCCCTACTATGATTGGGCCAATGGAAGTCCAAGGCCGCAGCCAAAACCACAGCCTAAGCCACAGAAGAAGAATAGCATTTGTGTTATATCATAATTGCATATATATATTAAGATTATGTAGTTTTTTCTTGAAACAACATAGCTTCGAGGCCTACGCGAGACAATTGAGTTCTCGAGTTATCCTTGTTCTGTATTTTTTGCTGTATGTCGCATGTTGCAACTGGGCTGCATTCTTTCGGTCAGTCTGCGCCATTTGCAACATGTTTCATTCAGCAAAAATTAAAAATGTATCTCCAGTATACAAACAAATTCGCATTGGCTGAATGCACAGTAAAGTATAGTGAATGCTCGCTATATTTCGCCAATTGCGAGTTTGGTTGAATATATTGTTTTTATTTATGTATATATATATATGTATATATATGTATATATATATATATATATATATATATATATATGTATGTGCATATATATATATATATATATTTATATACATATATATAGATGTAAATATATATATATATATATATATATATATATATATATATATATATATATATATATATTTATCTGTATATGTACATGTGCATGAATCCCAATCAGTTTCATCCATGTACATGTTCACTAAAGACAGAGTTAATTTGCTCAATCAAATTTTGTAATTCCCTTTTCGATATTTATAATTTAAAATTTCAAAATAAACAAGATTTGGGCCTTTGAGTTCGCTCATTCTATGCTCTGTTTCCTAAGTTAATTGTATCGTCAATTTAAGAAAGGGAAGATAATTCAAAATGTAATCAATGTTGAAAATATTTGAACTATGTGTTTAAGATAAAATCGAAAAGAAACCATTTACGGTGTATACGCTACCAGTTCCAAACTGTGGAAGATACGATATGACAGATGTATATGTACATGTTTACTAAAGACAGAGTTAGTTTGCTCAAAAAAAGTTTGTAATTCCCTTTTCGATATTTATAATTTAAAATTTCAAAATAAACACAAGATTTGGGTCTTTGAGTTGGCTCATTTTATGCTTTGTTTTCTAAATTAATTGTATCGTCAATTTAAGAAAGGAATGTAATTAAAAATGTAATCAATGTGAAAAATATTTGAACTATATATTCGTAATAAAATCAAAATTTATAATTAAATGTTTTGTATCTTCAATAAATGCTTCAAACTGTGGAAGATATAACATAAATCGAGGAGATTAACAATAACATAGTTGTTTAAATTGTAATTTTAAAATTGTTTTACACGATATCTTTTTGATCTTGGCTTGTCAACGCGAGTATATTCTTTGAGTATATTTTCAGTCTCTAGCTCTTTAAATATTCGCGTTTCTTTTATATCAAATATATTTATATATAGTATAGTATATATAGTAAATGTTTATTTACCCAATTTCTCACGCACCTTGTGGGTGTATCGGCAATGTCTTAACAGTATCAGATGAAGGTGACCGTGAGTATATATTCCATATTTTAAGTCTTGCTCCAATAGCGGCAAAATGGTTTTCGTTCATACGTCAGGCGGATAGACAGCAAGTCGGATATACATTTGCACTCCGTGAATGAGTAAATTAAATCTTTTTTGAACCAGTTATTAAAAGCAGAAAAGTGTAAAATAGTGACTATCCCAATCTCAAGTTTGGTGAAACATAACACATATATTCTATAGAAAAAATCGGAGACGTGTAAGCATCTAAGCTGGCTTTTCGTATAAAATGTGACGCAAACTGAACAATATTCACACAATTTTATTTCGTTGCAAAGGAAGCTCACGTAACATTTTTCAAATATACAGTATTCATGGTTTGAGGAAATCGAGTAAATTAACGTAACCCTTTAAATTAAAATACAGTGAAGCAATTGGCTCTAACAATTCAAGGAATCTTGCAAAGATTGTGCGCCTAACGATCGACATTCACATTTGCAATATGAGTGCGCGCGGCAAATTGACCACGCCCACTGCAACGTCCACGCCCATGGTCATGACAAACCCGAGACTAAATAATAATCGAACCGCAAATGAGGCTTTGCGTGCCACTAGACAGGCGGCGCCACTATCACCACCCAAGATCGGTAAAGCAGTTAGATGCACCGGCGGTGATGGCGATGGTGGCACCGCTGCCTGGAAGAAAACAAAAACCGCAGAATTGACTAACACGAGCCGCCTAGAACTGACGGCACGTCTGGAAAAGCCAACGATTGCCTCAACGTTACGTTCGGCCAGCATTCGGGGCAAAGCAATGGCCCAAAAGGCTGCGGTTCCTCGCAAGGAACGAGCACCAGTTGGCGAAACCAAGTGCTTAAATATCCCATCAAAACATTGCATGCTGCGCAAAGTAGGTGGTGGGAAAAAGGAAACCCTGGCAGAGGAATTTTTGCAGCACGACTCCGCCAGTGTGATCAAACAGCCAGTGTTAGAGATGGGTGTGCAAACGAATGAGGCGGAGATACTAGACCGCAATTTGCTTGTGGGAGATATAAAACTCCTTTTGCCCTCTCCGCAGTTAGCCAAGGAAATCGATATGGCTCGGGCTGAGACATCAATGGAGCAATCTCGTAAGTCAGTGATTCGTACCTTTTCACCTCACGAGCACGATGAGGAGCAGCATTTGGATGAATTGAAGCAGTACATGGAGCACAGCTATGTCAGCAGGCGCAAGCCGAAAAAACCGCCATTGCCGATGCTGGCTATTTATGAACCGCATGAATATAGCAGCGTATTCGAGACGATGGACGAGTTCTTTACACGCGACGTAAAAAAAGCCGAATCCCTTACAAGTATCCAGGAGCGCATTAAGCGCAAAGAACTAGAATTGATGAGTATGTTTAATGGCGTGGATGTTAATGATAAGATCGAATCCGACTCCGAAGGCGATTAGAGTCGTATTATCAGAATGCGCCTTTCACATATATTGTGACAAAATATAAAAATTTAAGTCAAATGGCCTGTGTGTATCTCAGGCATGGATTTATGATGGTCTCATTTCTATGTTGAATTAGGCATGAAAGTTTGATCAAATTCGGGAGAAAGATTATTATATAGATGTAGTTATCATTTATGATAATGTAATTTGTTTAAAATTTAATAAATATTGACTAGTCGACCAACCAGAATCGCCTATTGATGTACGCTACGTTTTGTGTTAGGGCAGGGAAGTCTAATTTATGCACTCCAACTCAAGCGTCGACAGACACACATTTTTAATAATCCTTACCTTTTGTAAAACGTTTGAAGCACGCGCTAACAGTTGAAATTACATTTTGTTATCGATGAGCATTGACCAGTGTATGCCACTGAGCTTACAATTTTAATGATTCATCGCAGTTATCAGCTGTTTAGCTGTTAAGTGTGTATACACTGTTTACTACTTGGCTGGCCGGTCTCATTCGGCCAATTATTTATTTAATTTTTATAAAGAACATAAAACTGACTAGCCGGCCAGTTAAATGTCAACACATATTTAGAGACTCCTATAAAGCCTCAATTTACACTCCAGAAACAGAACACCTATTGCTGTGCACTACGAATGCTGTAAGCATAGGAAAACATTTGTTATATATTCCAACTGCAACGTCTACATATGCACTCACATTCATATATATAACATATTTATAAATATACTTATACAGATAGGTGAGTAAGTGAAGTTCAAAAATTTGCAAATGTTGCATGTGATTCACAACAACCCCGTCCGCCAACAGACAAAGATGACACTTAAAGTAACGAAGCTTGCACTAACGAGTCGCCTCATCATCCTGGCCGTCCAAATGCTGGGCAATTGGGTTGTGCCAGATCATAAGCCGGATGTATTTCGCATGCCAATGCCCATAGTGAATGCAACGGGAACCGTATATGGCTTGAACACGCTTGTGAATTTCTGCTTAGGCGGTTTGCGGCATTGGGATGGCGAATACTTTCTCCATATAGCCTACTATTTGTATACCTACGAGAATACACTGGCCTTTTATCCGCTGTATCCGGTGCTCATACGGAATTTGGCCGCTGCTTGCGAGACCTTCAATGTGCCTATGTCACTGCACGCTCTCACACTGTTTATCGCTGTCGTCCTCAATTTGTGGTTCTTCTGTGAGGCAGCCAATTATCTATATCAGCTGACGCAACGTGTCTTTAATGATCTACACAAGAGTTGGAATGCAGCGCTAATTTTTTGTTTCAATCCGGCGAGCATTTTCTTCACTGCCGCCTACTCGGAATCGCTGTTCGCCTACGCCAGCTTTATTCTGATGCTCGAATGTGTTCGACCAAAGCAACAGTTTAATTATATACGCATTTGCATCAGCTTGACTGCTTGCATAATGTGCCGTTCCAATGGATTGATTGCCGTCGGCTTTCCCTTATACTTCTTTGCGCGCCATATGATTCTCACTGCAAACGCGAAACGCTGCAAACAGCTCTTCAGGATGTCACTGGCCATATTCATCCCATTGTGCATATTGCACGCCTATTATTTTTACATCTATCGAATGTATTGCATGCCCAGCATTAATGTGAAGCATCCTGATCAGGTGGTGCATTATGCCAGCGAGAGGAACTATCTGCTTGCTGGAAACGGACCGGAGGGATCACCTTGGTGCCAGTATACTTTGCCATTCCCCTATAATTATGTGCAATCTACCTATTGGGATGTTGGCTTCTTGCGTTACTATCAATGGAAGCAGTTGCCTAATTTTTTGCTCGCATTGCCCATGTTAATCTTCATGCATTGGCATTGCTGGGATTACTTTTTGTTTTTGGCCACAAAATTGACGCCGCAAGTTTCAAGCTGGCGAGAGTTGTTCAAGACACAAAAGTCACTACCATTCGTGCTGCATGGTGCATTCTTGACCCTTGTCTGTGTCTTCTTTATTCATATTCAGGTATCAACTCGTTTGTTGGCTTCAGCCACGCCCATTTTTTATTGGTTTGCTGCCGATCATATGCCTAAGTCACTGGCGCAACTTTCATTTCGCTCTAAGGCTGGAGCTCTGTTTCTTTGGTGCACTGCGTATTGTGCTTGCGGCACAGTTCTTTTCGCCAACAATTTTCCCTGGACTTGAATACAAGATTCATATTGGACAGACGTTTATGTGTATATTTACATATATGTGAAGCTATTATTATTTGCCGAAGAGACTGTAATAGGATTGGATATGTTGGTAATTTTTATAGGCAATTTTATTAACGGTATGAAAAACAAAAGCAAATTAAATTAAATAAAAGTTTAGAACCAAAGAAGTAATACATATACACATAAATCAAGAGCAATAATTTTGCTAAACGCCTAAATATATCAGCAATCATTTTTCCCGGCCTTTGTATTACTGATTCCTTTAATTATTGTTTGACCTACCTACCGCATGCAAGAAACATAAATAGGTGGATGGAGTTTCTCCACAACGATTTTTGTAGAAGACGTTTAATTTGTTAAAAATTAAAAAGGGTATGTTTGAACATATAACAAGTAAATTATAGCTATTTAATTATGTACTAATTTGTATATATATATTTTATTCTAATAAAATGTTATTTTTAATGCCTTTAAATAAAAGGAAATAAATGCGCCACAAAATATATTAGAATCGGAATAATTTTAATCAATTGGTTACATGAGTTATTTGATCATCGCGAAGAGCTTGCGATAGTCCTCTTCCAAAAAATCTTTGACTATCAAGCTGTTAACAGATACTTTAGCTTTATTTTTAAAAATATCGAATAAAGTTGAAAACTTAATGGATGAAATACCTCCACCGTGTTTGAACGTTTTTTTTGCTTACTCTAGTTGTGGTGAAGATTTCAAAACAGTTTTTACGCACAAATATCGATAACTTTATGCAATGTTGCTAAGCAGAAATTGATCGATTGAGTTGTATACAAAATAGACCTAAGCTCAACAAAAGAGGTGTTATAAAAAATACGATACGGCCGTAAAAATGGAGCAGCTTTCGGGTGTTATGATAATAATTATCATAGGCGGCGGTGTTCTGACTTTTGTAATGCTCTTTATATTCGCCAAACGCCAGATAATGCGCTTCACGTTGCGTAGTCGTCGTGGGCCCCACGTCCCAGTAGGTAACGATGCAAAGAAGGCGCTGCGCCGTGAAATTGAACGCAGATTGGACTGCATACAAAAGATAGCACAGGAGCCAAAATTGCTATGGACCGATACAGACAAGTATATACTGCAGCCGGGCCCGGAACAGGAACTTCCGCCCTATTACTATCGAATGAAGGCCGTGGACGATGTCAAATTATTAGAGTCAGAAATAGCGCGCGCTGATGGTAGCACACGTCACGCACATGAAAGCTTGCGAGCCTTTCTTTTGACTACGCTCTCTGTTACGCTTAATGGTACTGGGCAGCGCATAATACATCAGTTCTGCGACACATATGAGCACGCACGTCACGATCCAAATGAGTTTGGTAAGGACGAATACGAGGTTTATTATCATATGTTGCTCAAACTAATGGAAGCGTAAGTGCGAAATTTTAGTGATTATCGACTAAACTAATAACTGTTTTTTTCCTGCACTAGTGCTAAGCAGCTGAAGAACTACAATTCAAGGAAGGCTTCACCTGCGCGCACTCCACGTAAACAGAAAATGCATTCGTTGCTAGATCCAGCTCGATTGCGTCCGCCACCCGTCGTGGAGCCACAGAGCAGCGAGCTTACAGCTGGTCAGCATGCTAAAGTTAACATGACGCTGGGATTGCAGGGTGATGAACTTGTGGCCGCTGAGCTGGCTACCAATCCCTTGCACCTGCAAGCGCCAGCGGAGCGAGATCTTATCATACGCAACCGCATAAAGACGCCTACGCTGGATGATATTGCTGTCGAGCCAACAGTGGAGCAGCCTCATGGCGATGCGAATGCCAATACAGCGGAGCATGAAATAATGAGCATTTCGTCGGTACAACTGCAGCGAAACTCGAGTGTTGTCTAAAGGTAACTTATTATTTTCTAATTTATCGTATTAAATTTACATTTAATTTTTTGCATTTCTAAAATATGATATCCTTGCTATCAATTCGTTTTTTTTTTGCATTTGTCGATCAATTGCGAATACAGAACTAAATCTAGTAAACGACAAGAGTAACCAACCTCATTGTCGTACCACGCAATCAGCTTTACAAAATTATCATTCAATGCAATGCACGCACTGGCATCGAATACCGATGCATACCGCGATCCATTAATATCTGATGAAACCACAGAGTCTTCTGTGTAGTCCAATATGCCTTTCATTTCGCCTTGGGAGGCTTCTTTGATAGCCGCCTTGATCTGTTCCATTTTGGTCGGTTTTTCCAAACGACAGGTCAAGTCGACAACAGAAACATTCGGCGTGGGCACACGAAAGGCCATACCCGTTAGCTTACCATTCAATTCAGGTATTACTTTTCCAACAGCCTTGGCGGCTCCTGTGCTCGCGGGTATTATGTTGCACATAGCGCTGCGACCATCGCGCCACTGTTTACCGCTCGGCGCATCTAAAACTTTTTGCGAGGCTGTGCAAGAATGGACTGTGGTCATCAAACCTTCCACAATTTTGAAATTATCGTTAACAACTTTGGCAAGAGGTGCCAGACAGTTTGTGGTGCATGAAGCATTCGAAATGATCTTCATGCTTGGCTGATACTTCTCTAGGTTAACGCCACACACAAACATTGGCGCGTCTTTTGAGGGCGCAGAGATGACCACTTTATTTGCACCAGCATCCAGGTGCACCTTTGCAGCTGCCATTGTGGTGTATCGACCAGTACACTCAACTACCGTCTCGACGCAACTACCTTTCCAGTTTATTTTTTTTGGATCTGATTCGCTACTGACCTTTATCTTTTTACCATTTACAATAAGAGTCGTTCCCTCGACCTCAATCTTATTCTTCAATTTGCCATGGGTTGAGTCGAACTGTAGCATGTAGGCCATATATTTGGCGTCCATGGCTGGATCGTTAATTGCCGCAACTTCCACATCATTTCGCCTGATTGCCTCCCGTAGAAACACACGCCCAATGCGACCAAAGCCATTTATACCGATTGCCATAACAATTAAATTTTAATTTGAATGACGAAAATTATAGCTTATTTCCCACTACTTTCTCCAGCTCGAACTATACTTATACAAATTTGAAAAATTGAAATACTAAACATGAAAATCTAATGCAAAACAAATATAAAACTAAATTATATATATACATAATCATATTCTATTCATTTCAGTTTGACGAATTTCTTAAAGCTTATATGTTTTTATTTTTTCCAGACACTGATATGCCAGCACGTTCCACTTATCTGCATCAACAGTTACCAAAGTCGAGATAAATAGATTAGGAGTGCCGAATATTATTTTCCTCTCTTAGTTAATAATGCATGTAATATATGTTATATTATTATTTTAAGATATTAATATTAAATATAGGTGAATATATGATTATAATTATTGAGATTACAGAACTATAATTATAATATAATATATACATATATAAATATAATGTAAGCTATACAACTCGATTAAATTATATTTCTGTTTTTTCCAACTTTTGCTACGTTTTATCAAAACATTATAAAATGATCTAAATGATGTAATAAACAATGATAGCCATTGAAAGTTACGATTAATTTTGCCCACCAAATAGTGCACAGAAATTGTAGCTTATTGTTGTATTATTAACATTAATTATATTAATTTGTTATGTTTTTATATTTTTGCCCTGAATTTAAGTAATTATCTACCACTTCTCTCAGACTACCAAGTTTAGCTTTATAATATATGGAATTTCTTTGCCATTCTTATATGAAAAGACTTTAACTTATTTCCGACTGTGTCGCTTAAGAGGTTTTGAAGACTTGAGGTTTGTTTGAGGGTTATGATAAGTGGGCTTGTCTTACGTATTGCTTGTTATATTTGGTTTGCTCCTGGTATAAATACACGTAGCAAAATATGTAATTGTAAATAATATTGTCTTAAATCTAACCAAAGTTTTAGATACAATTTGGAATATACTGTTAGTATAGTTAATTGAATCATTTTAAATTAGAGTGACTATGCTTCTGAAATTTCTTTATTGAGTAGAGCTGCAGAGCTTTGCACTATGACTCGGTGGACATAAAGTCCACATTGATGTTTTATTTTTCTATGTTTAGATGCCAATTTTGTCGATTTACCAAGCCAACGGAGCACACATGAAAAGATTTTGCGAAATCTATTACATGTGAATGTGAATAAAAAAAATGATGTGTGCGTGTGTTCGTGTGTGCGGGTGTGTTTTGTAGTTGGTATTTTGGGAATGCTGCCGGCTAAAAGTGTAGCATACATGTGTGGACAGCACAGACTGCTCCTATTCACGCAGACAGCGCAAACACAAATCAAGCTGCAAGTCGTAAAAATTTTCAGAGGCCGCCTCTCGACTAGTTTTCGGTATACAAATTGCTGTTTGCTTATTGCAGCGTAGGCAAGGCCCCAGTCTCAGCAGCCCGTGCATAATTAACTGACCAGGCCGTAAAGAAAGCCAAAGCAAAAACTGTTAAAAGAATAGCAGAAATAATGGAATAACTGTTGCAAAGCCCTTCTTTTGGCAAGGAACGGTTAGCAAAGCATGCGGGGGAAAAGAAAATGAATCGTTTTGGCTGATTAAATTAAGTTTTAATACTTGGGCAGCAAAAATGGAGAGCTAAAGTTCTTAAAGCTTTTAAATCTTACCAGATTAAGTGGATATGAAATATCCTCATAAATAAATAGTTTAGCGATGTATGCGACCAACAATGATTCAGTTAAGGACTTGAACTTCTCAACTTAAAGTAACGTTTGATAATTGTGTATATTAATTAGATTTTTTAATATATACATACTTTAATAGCTACATAAGACACAAAAAACCAATTACACGTGTGTCTGATCGAAGGTGCAATACCTTACCTTAAGATAAGTGGGACAAACTGTATTTCACAGGCATTGTTTCAAGTACATTCCATCGTAGAGACCATGGCGTAGTCGCTTTTGGCTAACAATTTTTGGTTAAACATTTAACTGGCGCCTTGTTAGTCAGCAACATTTTATTGGTTAGACACACAACTGCTTATAAATCAATCGAGTGCGGCCAGCTGCCAGGCTCACGGTGGATCCGTACCCGGACTTGGATCCGAGGACTGGGCTTGGGCCGGGGTCGGGCCTGGGCAAAAGGTGTTTCAGCAAAATGCAAATGCGTATCCATAGGACAACGCACACAAAATCAGCTGCGTTGCTTTGCCGGGGGCGCCATTACTCACCTTTGTCTGCCAAATGGGTTCCTCCCACCCCATGCATAGCTGATGTATCAAAATTTCGCTTGCCGAAATGTAGCCCCAGAGGCAGAGTTTCTGTTCAAGCGGGGCATGGCCCAAACCACTTTGTATGACGAGCGAAGCACTCTCAAGCATTTCGAATGAAAGTTTTTGCGTGTCGAAGTTTATGAGTTGAGTTCTTGGCCAAATGCATACAAAATCCAACTTAAAACCTTCTACTTTAATCTATAGATTGTCAACTTTACATTGTTTCGGAGCATTGTCAACATGTTGCTAAAAGCGCCGCAACATGTTGTCAAGCATGCGACGCCCACACAAAGCCCGTTGCTCTCTCTTTTGATAGCTGTGGGCTCTCCTGGCACTGGCCGAGGTGAATTCTGACCCCGGACTTAAAAATGGGGCCGCCTATTACGAAATTGCTGAAGTTAACAGCAGAAGTTTTAGCCAATATATTATATTCATATTTATATATTGAAACATTCTATTTGGCCCGATCATAAACTTGAGCTAAATGGAAATTGAAAGTCATGTTAACAGCGCACTAGGCCTGCAGCTCGGAAACGGAAGCGAAAACTTTGTTGCGTTTCTTTTTGCTTGTATTTTTATTTTTACTGCTCAAATTTATGCGCAAAACTTTAAAATTGAAACTGTTTTTTGCCGACTGCAACGACACGAGCAAAGTTTTGCATTAAAAATTGCATCCAGTTTACGCCAAGGTTAAATCCAACCAAGTTTTTATGCCAACTGTTTGGCAAAGTCGAAAGCAACATTTTCTTTTGTTTAATGATGCTTCATTTATTTATGTCGAAAGTCGCTGATGCTCAGTAAAAGCCTGATGGCGCAGCAATGAAAATAATGTTTACAGATTTTTGGCATAGTAAAGGATTCAAGTCATAATTAAAAATATTTATAAAAATTATAATTGTTTAATACAACGTTTATCCTTTATAATATATATATTTATATATATTGAAAAAATAGGTTTCTACTTGAAACACGTTTCAACTATATATATAAACTCATATGCCCATATTCACTTTACGAACAGAGTAGCATTTAGCAGAAAGCATATAGCCAGTTTTAATTGGGTTGCCAAGCAACAAGTCACATAATTTATTATATATTTTTAATGCAATAAAACTATCAAATATTCATCTAAAATCCAAGGGAATGGCTCAAAAATATTCTTTATAGTTAAATAATATATTTACGAAGAACTATTTCTGTAATGCAAGTTCAAGCCCTATTGTAATGAAGGCACTCAAACTGGAGTACACAACTCAGGCGAGAATATTTATGCTTAATATTTATTTAAAATGCTTTATCATTTGGGGTCGCTGTTAAACGCGTCTCTCGGGTGCCTTTATAACGTATTTACGAGCCACTTGTTGTATCGGGCGCTGAAGTAAAATACAAGAGACAGCAGAAATGTAGAGAAAAACATAAGTAGAGGAACTTTAAGTGCCAATAACATTAAAGCAAACAAGAAAGAGTGGTAGAGTTGTGAACTCTTTTATGGAAGCGGCATTGACAATGGCCGAATTGTTGGTGGCACAACTGAAGCAGCTGAGCAGTAAGCCATGGCTATAATCGCATTTGGCTGATATCGTCAGCAGATAAAGTAAAATAGCTGCTGATGCAAATCAATGCATAATGTGACAGCAGCAACGGAAATTGTAGTTGTTGCAGCAGCAGTTGACGCAATGAAGTTTGCCAAAAAATCAGCAAATAATTCAAATTTAAATGCAGCCTGCAGCCTGCAGCTGAAACTGCGATTTGGATACGAGCTCGACTACAAATTGAATTGTCAAACACAACTGCTGCAGCATCAGAACAAAGCCCCGTTCACAAAAGTGAGCAACTGCTGCAGTCGCTGCGGCCCTCACTACGACACACAACAGCACGGAACGGAACAGAACCGACATTTCTCTCTAATTGTGCGCTCAAGTGTACTGCATACAGCCTGGTTACGAAATTAAATCAAAAGATCTATGCAGGCGGGAGACAACGCGGCAGAGGCGGCTCTAGTTCAAGTGGCTATGGCCAATTCCTTTCGGCCCCGAACAAAAAACTTTGCAATGCTTTTGGCTGCATTATTGGATGACATAGGCAACAGAAATGGACATTCAGTTTACGACCAGGCACTCCAGACAAGATGGTTCAAATTAGGCAAGCAGCACGAATAGTCTGTACCCTGTAGAGGGAACAAGCTGTCTGGAATGTAAAAGAAGCTAGAGCATTGGCCTTATAGCTTCATAGACAGGGAACTAAAAGCAAGCAATTGTTTGACTACATGCACTGAGAGAAATTAAACTTCAAATTCAACGACTTATAACTGTAAGATTTGTGGTCGAAATTGAAAAGAATAAAAAATATTGTGTAACTATATCCTATTCTACTGTAAATAATATAAATGAAATATATGCTTTATGAATAAAAATATTAAATGAGAGTATATTGGCTTTTCCATTTTGAGTGGAATGCTTCGCTCAGTCTGTCAGCTTAATATTGAAGTATTATAGAAGCTTAAAATTATTATAAATTTTGGCAACTTCTTCTGATGCGACACATTTGATTTCAGTTGAATAATGAACACAGTCTGGTATAGGCGTTTTCAGCCGGATTACAAAATCGTAATTTCGTAATTGAGACCCGGACAGACAACAATCTGTTTCAATGTAACTTTGACGTCAGCGAGGTAACTGACTTGTGGTAAGGAGAAAATCCTTTTCTTAACTGGTTTCTGTGGCTTTTGTTAGAGCATTCTTAGCGACTGGCAAAAACTGAGATTTTTACCACAGACTTGAGTAGATAATTGCAAAACCTACCACAACACATTATTTTTGTTGACTTCATCAGAGATCAGAATGTTGTTCTTTCACACTTAGCTTGCAATCGCTACAGGGTATCAAGAGAAAAGAAATAAAAACTAGTTTTATTACTGTCAACTCAATGGCGGCAACCATCCCGCCTACCTAATACCAACCCCAATCAATTTTAGAATGTGCTTTAGAATGTGATAGGATGATATAAGAGCAATTTCCAAGGCAATTTTACTCTTTAGAAACTGGGCCAAGTTGTCGGCTTATGAAAAGT